ACACTCTTGTTGTTATTGTCCATTGCGTTCATACGTTAATGTTATTCTCGTACGTTGTGTCCGTGTACACTGACGTTTCACTGTATAATGTATTCGCACTGATTTTGCTACAGCCGTCTTTCTGTACAATAATGCTCAAACCATTGTGTTAATTTCTTTATATGCGTTCAGTTTTTTAATGTTGTTTTGGAATTGTTCATGTACAGTTATGTTGATACTGAACATTTTTGTTTGTTTTGAATGGGGTTGTCAACATTTATTGTGTTTATGTTTTTGTTGTGACAAGTTTTGTTGTCTTGTGTTAGTGAAAACTGAAAACATAACATTTTTTTACTTTATTATTTTATGTTGTTACTTTCATATTCATCATATGTTTAAAACCCCATTTTTGCAGTACAAAAACTCAAGTTATTCCTTTTTTCGTGTACAAGTGCAAGTTTCATATTACATCTATTCAAGTCCAGACTCACTATTTAGCACAAATAGTGTTGTTTTCATTACTTCACATCTTAAAACAGCTGTTGTGCTGTGTTGTATTAGTGTCACTGATCAGCTGTTTTTGCCAAGTGAGAGTGTTGTGTTGAGCTGGAGCCAGTGTCAGGTCCTTCATACCAATCATACCATGGAGCAACTTTGTGACATAACTATTCTTTCTACGATATTTGACCCCACCAATCTGGTTGTGTGGTGGATCGTATATATTTGAGTTTTATCTAGTCCTTTTACTTCACTAACAAATTTATATTTAGGGTGTATACAAACTCCCTGGGAATATTTTGTGTATCTATTTGTCAAGACAATAAAAAAGAACACGCTTAAGCAGAAATCTAAATAAGTGCCTGGATTTCTGTCCGTCTGTATTGGTATGTGTTTTAACCAATATCTACATAACTTTTAAGCTCCTCAAATGATTGCCTTTCAACTTGGTATATGTATGGTGACAAATAGGACCCATCTGCTCACAAAGTGCCAGATTTATAATATATGGTGTATGTGGTATTCATGGTGTTTTTCTATCTTAAATACTTAATACTTTTCATTGAAATGGCGACCATACAAAGTAGGTATTTTAAGCCACGTATGAATGGTGATTACTGATGAGTGTAGGATGAGTGGGGTGATCTTGTAGTCTTGTTAGTGATCTCAAAGATAAGAAATGACTAGGCCTATACAAACAAGCATTTAGGATACTTCTTTTTAGAAAACCCTCACCAGTAACTTATCTAACAATGTTTAGATTGTTCGATTCGGTTCATAAACAACTAAGATATTATAATTTCCATGAATCGTCTAGAGCTACTAGCCTATCTCACCTTTACAACAATCTGAACAAATTAACACATGATACAATCCATAAACAATGCCCAAAAAATTTGGATATTTTAGTTGTTTCTGGACGGATTTTACCAATCTGATTACCGTTGGATTAGTTGTTATATTCCCCAAGAAAGGTATATTCTTTTATCTTTTAGTTGAAATTCACTCGTTTTTTTATATTATTTAATTGCTGAAATAATAACAACTCTGTAATGTAAAAATATGCAATAACTTCAGTTAAAGTGGTACTTGGACAATATTTTTCTCCTCTAGTCATTGAAACTCTTTGTTCATTCTGCATGCATGCCACAGGCATCATAGGCTAAATAGTATGTTTTCTGTGTTCATGCTAAAAAAAAACAGCAGATGAAAAATGTAGAATAAACAAATTAATATAAGTTTCAAAATAGCACTCTTCCTCTAGTAAAAAAAAACCTTTTTGTTATAAAATCCACAAACAATCAGACATTGCTCATCAAAGCATGTAACCCAAGGTATTACGTCTAAAGACATTTAGTGAAGTGAATAAAAATAGTAAATTCTTATTAGTATTTTCTAACTAGTTTTAGCTAATTCTCAAAACGAGGTGAATAAGAATTTGCTAAGACTAGTTAGAATATACTTGGATCATTTTGGCAATTCCTAGTATATTCTAACAGGTTAGAACAAACTAGGCCTAGAAAATACTAAGATGACGCAAACTTTCAAGTGTAAGATGAGGAAAACAAAAGAAACTATAAACAAAAATGAAACAGAAGAAACCAAAGATCTCTCACTTCCGGAACTTCAACGTTTGGTACTGCTACAGCAGATCAAACTGATCAAAATTCAAATTAAAAAGGAAACGTTACAACAGTTGGAACTTGGAACTACTTAAACGCCCTAAGAACTCTAGTGGAAGTGACATGATTGTGGGCGACAACATTGATGGCACTGACGGCTTCTTTGGAAATAAATACATTGTTTTATAAACATTGTTAAAGTCAAAGTCTCCCAACTTCTATTTCCTACCCCATATCTAGGATTTGTAATAAATAAAAAAATATAAAACAAAAAACATAAAAAACTTAAATTTTTGTTCATAGAAGCAAGCACTGTATGGGGGACTTTACAAGTGCACATGCTTCTACTCCAGTAAATGTACTGGTAAATGTACTGCTTGCACTTATCTACATCTAACTCACGCCTGACAGAGTACGTTTTTCTGTTCCGTACATGCATAAACATAGCCAGGATGACTGATAACCCTTTTTTGGCCTCCGTCACCAGAATGCTAGCCTGCCTACCCCTAGCTTAAAAATCTTTAAGAATATACTAGCCCTGGCTAGTAAAAACTAACGTTTATTCACCTACAAAGGTTAGAATATTCTAGTCATTTGATGATCTTAGAATTTACTAGGGGTAGTATATTCTGACTACTTTTATTCACCTAAAACTTAGAATATACTTGAAATCAGCTTAGTTTAAGCAAATACTAGTTTTTATTCACACCACCCATTGAGATTTTGCTCCTCCATTGGGGTTTGGCATATAAACCGCCAGATATAATTAATTTACTTTGTTTATTGTTAGTTATGATTGAGTTCACATATCTTTCTGCTTTTGTATTTTTTATTATCTAAAAGTCCATAAGTCCAGAGCTAAAACTTTGAATTTTTTTCAGCAACATTCAAAATTCCCTGCAGGTCTACCAATACATTTGTTAGCTCCAGGCTCCAACATTCTCTATTCCAAAATTACTACCAAATTCATCCCTTAGTTTTTAAAATATATTTCTTTAAAAAATCCACAAACCATCAGACATTGCTCATCAAAGCTTGGTCTAAGATGTAAAATATTAGAGAAAAGGCTCTTTTGGGGGTGGTAATTAGTGTACTCTAAAAGTAGTATTCACTCAAACCAGGTCTAATTTTATCAAAACCATCAAAAAGATGAACCTTTTGTGAAAAATTCCAATGCTTTTCTTTAGGAAGAATCATGTAAAAAATACAGGGTTTATTTCCTTAACGGCGGATACGGGGGTTGCCAGGGACCTCGGTCTAGGACGGAGCCTCACTTGGGGCCTCTAATTTTTATTCTAGATAAATTTATTTAACCAATAATGTGGTTCTCCGCTATATCAGGACACGATGGAATCTGCGCAACAGCAAAAGATCTTCACTATTTTGCCGTTAACGTAGAAATCGTTATGCACTATTCATCCATGATCGTGGAAGATGTCCAGGATTTTTTTGTAACCGCAAACTTGTATCATGTCGAAGATCATGTTCCCGCAAACTCGGAAGATCTTTATGATTTTGTTATAATCGAAGGAGACGAAGATGATGTCTCCCCACTCACGCAAGATATTCACTATTCCTCTGCGGCCACATGAGACGTTCATGATTTTGTCACGATCGGAGGGGGCGAAGATGACGTTTCCGCACTTGTGCAAGATGTTAACTATTTCTCTATTTCTGCTAGGAGACGAAGATGACGTCTCCGGGATTGCGCAAGATATTAACTATTTCTCCAGGGCCAAATCCGCCGCGATCTAGGGAGACGAAGATGACGTCTCCGGGCTCGTGTAATATGTTGACTATTTCTCCGCAGCCAAATCTGCTGCAATCGGAGGAGACGAAGATTATGTCACCGCACTCGCGTATGATGTTACCTCTTTCTCTGCTACCACAGAGCAATTTCAATTCCGCCGCAGCGCAAGATTTTAACTATTTTTACTCTCAGCCACATGAGTCGTTCATGATACAGCCGTGATCTTAGGAGACTAAATGAGGACTTCGCACTTGAGAATATATTCATGTTTTTCCACAATTTCGGAAAAAAGATTACGTTGTTTCCGTGACCACCGGAGCCGATGATGATGTCCACAAGACCACGGATGATGTACAAGATGTTGCCACGATCACAGAAAATGATGACAAGACAAGTTTCAATGACCGCGGGAGATGACGTCTACATTAACGCAGGAAATATTCAAGATTTGGCCGCGATGACAGGAAACGATGACGATGTTTTCATGACCAATGGAGGCGATGAAAAAACTTTCGAAAGAGTATTGAATGAGAGGTCTCGAATGATCCAATACGTACGTTTTCCTCAAATTGAGGCCTGCTTATAAACAGAATATTACGTTTGGGTTCCTTTGAATAATTTTAATATGGTAAAAATCATTTTGTGACATTAATTGTTTGAATTGTAAAAAATAAAGTGTTTATACACTTTGATGTGTAGTTTATGGCGTAGATGGGTTGAAAATGAATGGTTAATGAATTAAATGTTAAATGTAATGGTATGATCAGAAAGATCCACTACGTTTTCCTCAAATTGAGGCCTATTTAAACAGAATATTACGTTTGGATTCCCTTTCGTAGCTATGCGACAATATATATTGTGGTGCGTCTTTTTCCCAATACGTGCTAACGGAACGATATATCATTGTGCACGTTTCATTCGAAAAGTGTGAAGCGACGATATATCGTGCAGACTTTCGATCATGTGTGTTTATAGGCCCATATCGGTTGACTCTCAGCTGGCACGCATCCCTTGTTACACCTGGAGGTGATAGCTATCATGGCTGGATGCTATTCCTATATTTCAAACCTCTAGTTTGGTCTTAGGATAGGTTAAAATTTTAAATAATGATATTTCTCATAAATAATGTTCTCATGTGTAATGTGTTTTAGGTGGTGGACTCTCGATCTCGCAACCTCGCAGACGGAGGCCAGGAGCAGAGACAACAGACCAAGCAGCTGGAGGTGTTCCAGACGACAGTGCCTGGCGGCTCTCTACAGGTCATCCGCTCCAGCACCTCTAGCTCCTGGCAGAGCCACAAGGTAAAAACAACGTCAGCTACAGTACTGCTAACACACTATGCTGACTTATGGTGAGCAGATATCAACACAGGAAAATTCTGGGCAAATTAGAGAGAGAAGCAAAGGAGGATAGGGCTGTGCGAACTATTCGCTTGTGTTTTAAGAATTAATGATTACTTTGTTGTTATTCAATTACATATTTTTAGAGGAAGCCATACAGTGAATTATGTAATATGGTTTTGACCAATATTTACATTCCATGATTTTTCAACAACTTAACTGTTAAGCAGGGTTCACACTATGCTATTAGGTGAGACGATTGTCAGAAGACAACTGACTGGCATGATATCATTCGACACTTTGTGTAAACATTACAGGCCAATTGCCTTGTCAACTGCCCACACCATTTGCTCTGAAATTCAGTTTTATCCTGGATTAGACTGAAGACAACAAGCAGGACAACTATGGCCTCTTGACAATCCTCTATCATGACAATTGGCAAAGATAACTGTCTCACCAACTCGCATTGTGAAAACCCGGCTGTAGCGCTGAAATCTAAGAAAGGTGTCAAAACTGTAATCTAGATTTTTTTAAGATTGTTCTATTTTGATTGTGTGATTCAAGAGTATTTTCATCGCCTTTTGTGTCTATTAATTTTTCCTTTTTTTTAATTTCAAGTTTTGAAATATAAAAGTACATTGTCTGGATAGCCCATGTGGTTATAAAGCCCGCCCTCAAATCTGAAGGTTGATGGTTAAATTTCAAGCGAGATGGTTTCTAGACCCAGATTCCATTCATTGGGCCGTGAATTAATGATGCTATCTAACAAAACGGTCATTAGATAGTAACAAGACCAGGACCTTTCCCTTTCAAAATGTAAAATATGTCACTTGCATCATAGAAATCACACAAAATAATGATTTAAAATGGTTAAAAACAAGGTTTGGTATTGTTGCCATTTAGGTTTTTTTAGTATGCAAATTAAATAAATGGTATCAGCAAACTGACACACTTTATCCCATAAGCTTGTAAACAACCTTTATAGTAAGCAGTGGGAGTAACTTTGATATTCTATAGGGATAAACCATAAAAGTTGCAATAGCTTTTGAACCATAATTGTTACATCAATGCGGGGTTGCACTATTTTTGTTTAGAATTATAAGGACCATAACACATAAATTTTAACCAAACCCAGCTTTTTTTCTAAAATCCAATATGTTGTTATTTTATGGAAAATAACATAAGTTACAAGAACTTTTGAACCGTACTTTTTACGGAAAGGGATCTGTACCATTATGTTCAAAATTTTAAGGACCATAACATACTAATTTGAATCAAAACCGTCCTTTTTTCTAAAATCCAATTTTTTGTTTTTAAGGGGGTTTTATGGGAAGATAACATAAGTTACAATAACTTTGTTGGGGGTTGTTGGTTTTCAGGATAGTGGTTTTAAGCTGTAAAACTGGCAAGAACCTCTTCTCATGTAGGGATATTAATTGCCATTAAATGCTATTAACTATTGGACTAACAAAATATTTTAAATAATTACTGGTATTATACATTTAAATTAATTTTGGTTTAATATTGGTATTATCCTTTGTTATGGTTCTCTTACACATAGTTTTAATTTGTTTGTAGACTTTATCAAGTGGAAGTGGGTGGCCAAACAGTGAAAGACTTGTCCTTCCCAACTTGGATAGCCAGGACTTTGATCAACTCAAGGTAAAATAAACATACAATTGTTTGGCATTAAATTGATGTTGTAAGTAATGGGGTATTATGTGAAAGAAAAATTAATTCATTTGAATGACAATTACGGTTTTAGAACTTGAGAGCCTTGCAGCGATGTTTATTAACTACTAGCCACACTGTATATACTTGTGCTGTTTTCAACTAATATAACATCTGAACATCCAATTTAGAAGAAGGTAGTCAGACCCCTCAGTATCATAAAACACCTATGTGATGTTAAAAAGATAATCTCATATATTAGTTAAAATGTTATCAAGGTAACCTTTAAAAATTCAAAAATATTTCTAAAAACCTTGATCCGAAAATAAAAATTTTTTTTAAACATTCCATATCTCTCAAAATTATCTTCCCATTTAAAGAAAGTTATTTAACATTTGTCAAGTAATTGGTTCAGAATCATTAGGGAAAACCCCCTCGATGTGTCAATATAGGTAGGATAATTATTCAACCAACACATTAGTCATAAGTGAGTTTACTGCCTCTAAAATCCATCTTTTCATATTATCAAATGTGTTCCATTCACAATCTTTATATCTTATCATCAGCTAATAAAATATAAAATGTCTAATCATTAATAAATTTACTTTTAATATACGAGGGCTATCCAGGAAAGTGCTGCAGCAAGTCTGTGTTTATGGTGGTTTTCTGGAACCCACCTGGAACAAAACCTGTGGTATCCAAGTTTACTAACCACAATTTCATCAACTAAACCCAAAACTAATCGAAAAACAACGATTTTTACAAAATTTTTAATTGATTTTCACTACATCATATCGTTGTTGTGAATATTGGTTTTGCCATTTTTTTCAATCATTGCATCACTGCCTCACTTGACTTTCACTAATTATTCCTCGGCCATACGCATCACAAATCTGGCAGTAAATTTCAATCGGTTTGCAATTTTTTGCTAACAAAAACCTTATTACACCACACATTTCACAACTGGTGGAATTTTAACTGCAGCACATATTTCAAAACTCCACTGCTTAGAAAGTGCTTAGATATTATGCTCCAGCTACCATGCTGGTTAGGTACTGAGTGTAGACGCATTCTGATGTCAAAATCCAGCCCAATAGGTCTGTTACCCTCTAGATTGCCCTCGTACATTAGGAATTAAGAACACATTACTATAACCAGTCATATTGTTACAGTTGACATTGAATCCTCTCGATCTAAGCTCGCAAAAGTCTAAAGCGAGTGTTGGTCGAAGTGGCTCAATCAGCAGTCGTCGTCCACCCTCCAGGCCGCGCAGCATAGCTGGCACCAAGACAGAGGAGGGCCCTGACAGCAGACATACAAGTGAACTAGCTGCGATCTGTCACAGAGTCCATGAGCAAGCCAAAAAGGAATCAGAAAATTCAGGCCCTGTTACGAATGGTTTCAGCAAAAACAAAGAACTCACGAACGATAGTACGAGTACAGCGAATCTCGATTTGAAAACGTTTAGAAGCACTGCAGTCAATGAAGCAACAAGATCTAGTTCAGATTCTACAGGATCAAACAATCATATTAGTCTAATACGCAAGAAGAGTTGCTCAAGTGAAGACTTACATACTGTGATTGAGGATCGCAATGAAACTGACTCCAATAGTTCTGAATGGAAAAGGTCATCAAAAGTGAGAAGATCATTACAGTTTCCTCCAAAACAGAGTCCCACACTCAAAGAAACTATTGTCATTCCAGTAACTAAGAGTGTCGCAGAAATTAAACGTGAGATAGAAGCCAGAAAGCAATTAGTAACAAATTCTTTTAGAACTAATCAATGGAATAATTTGGCCGAGATTGAAGGAGTTCTTGGAGTTATTAATAATGGGACTCATGAAGAAAATCCCTCCAAAGATGACTCAGATCACAGAGAGGATGGCACAATAAGTCCTACAAAAACTAAAAAACGTCAAACTTTCATTACGGTTGAATCTTTAAAAGAGGTTCGAGGAAGGTTACGCAAATTAAGTTCTCCTACAGATGAAATTCCAAAACAAGATGATATAGATGATGGAATCGATACAGAGGCAAAGCCAACAAGTCCAACACCAAGAACTCCTGATGAATCTTCTGAAATTCCAGTAAATTCTGTAAAATCTTATGTGTATGGAATGGAGGTAATGCTTAGAAAAACAAAAAATCCAGTAACAGGAACAGGCAGCCTAGAATCAAGAAGCTCTTCAAAATCATCAACTAATGGTAGTAATCGCTCTGAAGAGTGGTACAATCGGAGAAAATCTTATGGATTTGAGCAAGTGAGTAGCCAACAGAGCAACTATACTTCATTTGAAAAAAGTAAAATTGAGTCTTCAACAGACAGTGGCATATGCAGATCATCTGATACTTTTCCGTCCTGGCAAAAATTGTCTGAAAAACCTTCTAACTTGAACAGTCCTATTAAAACTACTCATAGTATAATAATAAAACCTTACAGCGTTCTGGGTGATAGTAGTGTAAATGATATCGAAGGAGGTACTGTTGTACAAAAAGGACGAAAGACTGTTGTCAACCTCACAAATAATACAGTCAACACCTCATGGGCATGGAATTCTGATATAGATAAGTTACAAGAAAGCCCTAAAGAGAATTCAAAACAGTTATTCTCCAGAGGAAAAGTAGCTGATACTGTAAGGAATTTTCATGAAAAGTCAAATACAGACAACCAAAGACTGTCTGAGCCCATAACAATTTCAATTCCAATCCAGCAAACTTCAAAAACTAGTCATACTGATCCCTCAAACTTACTTTTAAAGCAATCAAAAACTTTGTGTGTAAATGACAACATTGAAACATCCACTCCAAGTCCCCAAAATGGTATAACACCATATTCAGAACTACTTTTTGGGAAGGAAATTGAAGAATCACAAGGAACAGAAGTAAAATCTTTGTTCGATAACATTCCATGGAGAGGTGGTAGAACCAAAACTCTATCAAACTTCTTTGACTCAGAATTCAAAAGACATTCAATTGCAGTTGATCAAGCCAAATATTTAGCAACTAAAAAATCGTATGGGTCTTATAATTTCAATGCAAATGGAGAATCTCAAAAGAAGCAACCAGATATTGGAACTGCAGTCATCCCATCCTCTAGTGATAGAGACCAACAAAGGGACAGTACTGACAGTGACCTTGAATCTAGTGCTCATGAAAAAAAACAGAAGAGGGTGGAATTTTGTAAAACTGAAGTCCACTTTGCAGCTGAGCCGGGACGATTTAATATAGTAGAAACAGATGGAAAACCACCTCCAACTAATTTGTTCAGAAGAAGGAGGAAAACAACATCAGATGTTCCAGTTCGTAGTGGTCTACCTGAAATCAGATTTGGAGATACCCAATACGAGAAGAATTTACTGTCAACAAACGAAAGAGTTATCGACAACAATATTTCGAGTGAACTACAGACTTACCAGGGGAAACCATCTATGCAAAGTAGTGAGGAGGAAGGAAAAGTAAGTTTGGATCATCATAACTCAAGCGTGGTTCAAAATCACGCACTTGTTCCCTTAACTACTCATGAAGATTATAATGTGCATTCAACAGAAGATCAGCTTAATCAAGAAGATGACATGCCCAAACCAAGAAGTATTCTCAAAAACAACATTCCAAAACCAAAACCCTACTTATTGGGGGAGTCCCCAGACACATATCCTAGTGAAGATAGTGGTTCATGGGGAGTTAAGTTAAAGTCTTTAAAGCCAGATGATGAAAGCATAAAGTGGCAGGATTCAGATTTGCCTAAGGAAACTGAGTTTCAGAGGCTACTAAAATCATTAAAACCAGCTGCCAGTAAACCTCCAGACTTATATGAAATCCCTCCCCAATCAAAACAATTCTCAACAGCTGCTGACAATGGGTTGGAAGTCAGAATAACATCATCCCAACTGTTACCAGATCATAGAAGAGCTTCTTGGTCAGTCGCAGATCGGGTGAAGTATTCAGATGAAGCTCGAGGATACTCTACAAAAGTGAACTTTGGTCCACAAGAGACAACAGTGGTGGACTCTGACAAGTCAAGTGCTCGCTTCAGTTCTTCTGAAGGTCTCAAGAGTAGCTGGCTCATCAACGGGCAGAATTCTTCCTTTGGTAAGTTAATACCAGTCTTTTTCACATATGATTTGCAATTAATTGTATTTGTTACCAATGGTGTTTTATGTTATTGAAAGCAATAGTCTAATGTCTAGTTTCAAAGTTTCATTTTAACTAGTGTCAACCTGAATTGATTTATGGTCGGAAACATTTTTATAAATGTTCTTTGTAGGGATGCTAATCAATTGGTCAATATTTTATCTTCTACCAATAAAATTATATACAGAAAAAGTTTAGGTGCAGTAAGTAAATAAATATTTTTGTTACATTGTGTCACTATTGTATGGTATTGAATAATTTAAAATGTTGAGTGAAATGCACTTTCACATTAAAACCCTTCCCCACCACCATCGCTTTTGTTAATTTATGCAGTCATCTCAAAAATTGCTATTAGATCTAATTATTTAATCTACATATTCAGAGTGGTGGGGAAATATTTCTATCTCTCTTACCACCCTTCCTACCCGTTATCCTAATTGATGGAATCTATGCTGCCAAATTACAAATCATTCTTTGATGTGTCACTTAATTAGATCATTTGTTTGACCTTAGTTAACCTTGGCTTGGTTCACATAAACCTGGTGTGATAGCCACAAATTATGGGTATGTTGGCTGGTCCTCTTGCAACCTCCCAGGGAATTGAAAAAGGGATATGTAAGCAATGAATCACATTGTGGGTAAACACCAGGCAACTTTATGCAAATTGTAGGAAAGCATTTTTAAATACAGTAGAACCTCGATTAACTGTCACCCTTTTAACCGTCATTCTCTGGTACCTGTCACCCCTACAGTACTTCGATTATTTTTAAATTTGATTTTATTTCACTGTCTGAATATTGAACTACAACAATTGAAGTACAACATACAAAATAACAGTTCTGTATTACTATTATATGTAAGTAATTTGATTATAAATATGATTTTTTTTTACTTGTAGGCTTACAGGGCTTAATATCTTCCAAAACCTTTTAAAACACCTTACTGAATTTTTATCAACCGTCACACTCCTGGCCCCGAGGGTGTTGGTTAAATAGAGGTACTGTATTATTTATTTTTTTACATACATATAATATTTCTTTACATATTAATATAGTTAAAAACAATCAAAAAGGCGGCATGCAAGGGTTTTATTTCCCTTTTTTATTACAATTTGGTACCCTCAAGAGTTGGCTCTGCTTCTCAAGTTATGTCTAGATTTGCAGGCCGAAAAACATCCTGAGATACAATTTGTATATTTAAAATAATAATATTCTTTTATATTTATGTACAACTGTTGCTGTTTTGATATTACCATGTTGTTTTATATGGATGTTGCATGGCCTGAGCAGATGGTGTGGGCTTAGAGCATGGTTTGAATTTAGTTTCTTGCTTTATGACTCTGTGCATCTTTTATCAGACTATAAATACTTTCCTGAAAGTTAACCATTAGTAATTTTGAAGGTGTATTTATAATTTAGGTAAAACTGCTTTGATACCATACCACATTTCATTATATTTCCTCATTGGAAACGTCTTCTTTCCTACTTCTTTTTATCCATGGTGAATTTAACATCTGATTGGTTGAGTGTTGATAGTTTTATGAGAAATTATTCTCAAAATATTTTGGGCTAGTGAACATACTGCAGAAATTATGAAGGGCAAGGTGATAGTGAGCTATAAAACAAAAAGACAAGTTTGCTGTTTAAAATTATCCACGCAATTTGGTGAAATTCCTCCAATAACATTTTAAATTGTCTTAAAGTGCATAAGTTAAATGAATAAGTTAAATAAGTTAAAGTTCACTACTTAAATGAATGTTTGAAATTCCATTACCAATAAATGTTAAAAATGTTTGAATTCAGGAACTGTCTTCATAAATGTAAGGTACCTATTGTATTTTACATTATTATAGACTACTTAAGTAATATCATGTTATATAGGTACTTTTGAAATTGTGACTGGGCATAAATAAAAAATGTGATAGGATTATACGACAAAAAAAAACAACCAATTGCCAAGAAATTGCCAAGTTAAATTGCATGCGCATGGCAGTTCACGAACACGGTTCAATTCATGAACAATTCATCACGGTTAGTCTTGTCTTTGTCTAACTAGGACTACCAAGAAGTCAAGAAGAAAATAAGTGAAGCATTGATTGTTTTGTTTATTTGCTAGCCAAGCTCAAGTCAATCTTGCATTGGATTTTCACGCCACTAGCATTTTACCGTACTCTGATTTTTTTTCGTTATTTGTAACTTGTGTCAGTGTATTTATATTTTAATGTTAACAATACATTTTATTTGTTATTCGTGTCTCTGTTAATAGTTTTTTTTTTTTTTTTTTTTTTTTTTTTTTTTTATCTTATACGATACAATCCTCAACTCAACAAATATAGCTATAATTTACTCTATTATTTGTACAACATTTGGCTTAAGCTCGATTCCAAACTGTTGGCCCATCGTTGGCTTTTCGTAGGTACTGTTGGGAGTTCGCGTTGGGTTGGCTTGCCATACCATTTATATTGGTATTGGGCCAACGTTATTTGTATATGGTTGGCCCAACAAAGAAAATAATCGTTGGGCCTTTGTTAGATTTAAGAATAAAACATTGTAAAACACATTTTAACAATAATGTATTAATTATTTAATAAGAAATTTAAAAAATAAATGCTATAGCAGGAGAATAAAAGATTATTTTCAAGAAAATTGGGTCTGTAATAAATGTAGTCAGATGATGTTGTGATAGTTGCGAATACAGTGGTAGAACATCTGCTTAAAATATAATAATGCAAATGATTTTTACTTTCATCCCCTATACCATAGTATATGGAGAAAGTATTGTTTTCGTCGACATTTTCGAGTTTGAGTTTTAAGTGGATATATTCGTTTTGGGCCCCCCTGGACCCAAAAAAGTGGTTTTCGAAGTGATGTCTGCGTGTGTGTGTGTGTGTGTGTGTGTGATTTCGATGAAATTTGGTATGTAGGTTCTAATCCATGGTATCTCCAGGCGTTTTTTTTTCATTTTTTTTAAATTTTGGTTTTAATGGGGATTTTCCCATAAAAACCCATAAAAAACTGGAAAAATCAGATTTTCTCAATATGGCCCAAAACGATTTTGATAAAAATTTAGTATGTTGTAGCCCTTTAAATTCTGAACAAAATGGTACAAATCCCATTTCTGTAAAAATTACGGTTCAAAAGTTATGGTAAATTATGTGTTTTTTCCGGTAAAAACCCCACAAAATAACAGAAAAATAGGATTTTCCCAAAAACGGCCCGAACGATTTTGATGAAAATTTTGTATGTAATAGTCCTTTAAATTCTGAACAAAATGGTACAAATCCCATTTCTGTAAAAATTATGGTTCAAAAGTTATTGTAAATTATGTTATTTTCCCATATAAACCCTATAAAATAACGGAAAAATCAGATTTTCGCAAAAATAGCCCGAACCATTTTGATAACAATTTAGTATGTAGGCTTTTAAATTCTGAACAAAATTGTACTAATCCCATTTCCGTATATTTACTCTCACCGCTTACACATGATAAAGGTTGTTGACGAACTTATGGGAGAAAGTATGTGTCAGAATGCTGATACCGTTTATTTTATATTAAAATCTATATATTAATATGAAACTGTTTTTCTTTGTCATAGCTAAATTGAGAGAACATCTGGGCGTAGAAACTCGGTAGAGGTGTCTAAAGAAAGGTCTTGGTCTGTAGATGAGCCATCAAAAGAGAAACATGGTAAATTCTCTTGGGGCTCTGCCCCAGTGGCCTTTGAATTCCCATCCCATGTTGTTCTTATGGAGGAAAAACTGGGTTTTTGTCCCAGCTAATTTGAGAGAACGGCTGGGCGTAGAAACTTGGTAGGGGTCTCTAAAGAAAGGTCTTGGTCTATAGATGAGCCATCAAAAGAGGAACGAGGTAAATTCCCTTGGGGCTCTGCCCCAGAAGCCTTTAAAGTTGCCTCTTCAAATTTGTTTACCATATGCATAATTCTACACTACTTTTTAATGAAACGGCTGTTAATTTTTAAATTGTGATTTATTGAATTTTTCAAAATGAAGTACAGTATTTGCAATGGGTTTTTCTGATTTTAAAATCGATTTTATTCTGCATCGTGTCATGTTTTGCAATATAATGTTCTATTACCAAATCAGTGGAAAATCCTAATATCACAGTAACTCTTAAAATTATGTCTTAAGGAGTTAACTTATATCTATTGTATCGCTTGGTTTCTGCCTTTTTTTACCACTTCTTGGAGATTGTACGTAGGTGATATTCTTTGGCGTATTGCATCTGTAGACGAAACTTGGGTTGGTAAAATTATTACAATGGAAAAAAGCGAGAAATCCTGGACAATTTGATATAGGCTAAAAATAAAACTGAATTAACAATATGCTACATTTCTTGAGCAATCATTGAAATAACCGATTTGCAAACAATGGAAACATAGAAAAAGTCATAGAACACAACCAAGTAGAGGAAAAAAAATATTTTTTTCATTTATAATCGTTATTATAGACAACCTAATGCGGCTATGAGAGGGAAAAATTTGTAGAAACACTAAAAAACAAGATCAGCTTTTTGAGAAAAGATAAGATATTTACAAAAGATTTTGATTATATCTAACTGTTGTGTAGATCGTGAATATTTCCATAATCTTCGTGAGTCACCTGTAATGCTTCGCAATTGCTCGAATTCGAGCAACAGGTACACTAGTTCTTTAACTTATTTGAGCAAATTGTTAATAGTTGAACAATTTAGGGGAAAAGATCAATTAACCATATAATATAATTGTTATAGCATTACTAATGGTAATTAATTGAACTATATTCAAATGCCGGTATCCTCTCCAACTCCCAGAAATCAATTCAACAACTTGATGCCTATAACCAAAAATATGCACGGGTGAGTAATACGACTATCCGCAGTACTATCCTGATAATTAGACCAATTCGTATATACCAAGGCAAAAAAGTTGTTCGGATTCCACTTTAAACTGTAGGTCCCTCAGTTGCCATTAGCTGTATGGGCTATTAATAACAGCTGTATCTAAGGATTATGTCAGCCTTAGTCATAAACAAGACTACAAGATTGCACCACTCATCCCACACTCATCTCCATTCATACTTGGCTTAAAATACCTACAATTGTATGGTCGCCATTTCAAAGAAAAGTATAAAAGTATAAAATTAGAATCATAAGGCCTATTTAAAATATTTTAAGTACCGGTATTGCGACTTTTGGCCCCTCTTTGACCACTTGAAAACATCGAAACATCATCACTCACAGATAGCTCAGGGGTTTTTTTCAGAGGATGTTTTGTGTAAGAGGTACAAAAATTGAAGATATCAGGTTCAAGACCCATCTATGGGGAAGATAATTTTTTTCTATTTTTTTTTTTCAAAACTTGCTTGAGGTATTTAATCTAAATACTCAAGTGATAAATATGCTTTTCATACTAAATCCTTATTATTTTGTGTTTTTATATAGGATCCTCATGGGATGGTTGGTCCTATATTAGGAAACTATTGGTTTGGCCAACCTTTGGTCGGTCGGACATTTTTTATCGTTGACCAACCGTGGTACGTGGTATATTGGCCAATTGGCCGAACATAGGCTGATGGATAGTTGGCTCAACAAAATGTACAGATGTTGGCCCTTGGTTGGCAATTGGTGTTGTGACCCAACGGAGGCAAGTTTGCCAATACATATCGTTGGTCAACCGTGGGAGACAGTTGTAGGGCCAACCAATCCCCAAAAATTGTTGTTGATATGGTTTTCAAATATAAAATACTGGTGCTGTCCCATCCTAAAAGTATTTGCCATTTAAAGGTCGATTCACACATATCAGTCCAGTCACAATTCCGTTACAGGCCATAGTCACAGTTTAGTCTCAGTTGCATCCGAAATTCCTCAGTCAACTTTCCGTCAGTTGGTTTCAGTCAGTCTTTCGTCTCTAATATTTACAGTCAGTAATGTTACAGTCAAAAATTTTAAATTAAAATCCTACATTCTATCAAATTTTCATCGTCCATCTTGTTGATTGTTATAAATAGAACTCAAAATATAAACACAATCATTTAAATAACAAAAACAGTATTTTCTAACCTCAAACACGTCCGTCAGGCATCCAAACAATCCAAACATATTGGTGGAAAGAAATCTGAAATTGACTGACGGACGCCGACAGAGCGACTGACGGACCTGTGCCGGATGAGTGTAGATAACACAATAGAAAATCCATTAAAGAATATTTTAGTTGACTGTGACGTGACTGATGTGTCTCAACGGGCTTATCCCAACTCTGCGCAGTGGTCAGAAATCTGTCAAAACCGACCGTCCAACTCCGCGCAGTGGTCACTTCGGATCCCTCGCAGCACATGTCCAACTACAACAATAATTATAAAATATTGATAATAATTACACTAATTTTAATTTCAATAATTTTTTAAAATGCGAAGCAATATTAACCTTAGTAAAACATTTTACAATAGTAAATATTTTAAAAATCACAGTACCGGTAAGTAATATCTTATTAATTTCCGAGAAAAACTAAATCACATTATTGGCAAACCTCAAAAACAAACTTATACTTAAAATTTCATTACAAAAAGAATTTTAAAATGTTTCCTTTGTTAAATGTCATTAGGAGAGATTATTAAGTTTTGTTATTCATTAAAAAGTCCATTGCAGCCACTTTTAGATGCAGAGCAAACTTTTTTTACAAAAAAAGAGGTTACAGCAAATTTGCGGTATATTGCTGCATAAAAAGGTAAAATCCTTGATCGCAGCACACAAGTGTAACGTAAAGCTCATGAAATCGTTAATAAAATGTATGTTAATAATTGTGAGCTGTGAATTTCAGAAACTTTCATACGTATCTACTCTTTGCACGGACTTTTTGAACTTCTTACATAGTGGTTTTTAAGTTTCACCTCCAGTTGTGAATCTATAATTTTACTTGTATAATAAGCTTAAATATTTCTTTTACGTCTTATTAAATGGCGAATTTGACGTCGATGAAGAGGATTTTCATTGAAGCCAGACCCAGACAAACGTTTTAGCGAATTTCCCATATAAGGAATAAGTTATTACTGTAGGTATTATGATAAGACCTGAACCCACTGATTTAATTTTTCGTTTTTATGTCCCAAAGGCCGAAAACGCCATCCGTTCAAATTCATATACATGTTTAATATATATATAGGCCTATGTCCGTTAGCACGATAATTCGAACAAAAATAAATTTGGTATGAACGTTAAACCTACATTTATTCAAACAAGTTCACGAACCAGCACGATCGGACCATGAAAACCGGGATTTATGGTGAAAAAATCGAGTTTTCCCAACTTTAACCCTAAAAGCATAAATTTTTGCAATTTCTTTTGAGAGCAATTTGTAGAGCTTAAAGACAAATAATTTAGTATATCGAAGTGTTATTATGCGCCATAATAGTTACAGAAAAAATGCCAACAAGTTTTAATTTTATAATTCCCATGTTATTCTTATGGAGAATAAATTGTTGTAATTTCCTGTAAGAGGAGTGTATTTTGATTAAATTTGGAAACGCATTTATTTTACACTTAACTATTGACATTTCACAAAAAACACTTACTACCCTGCCTCTTGCAGCAAACCTATGTGTACTCATTAAACTAATGCTATTTAAATAGGGAATAAATAGTATATTTTGAAAGAGATATTTTACTGGTAATACAATCAGACAATTACAAGTTCGCTTAGTCTGCAGTTTTGCTGCGGCGGGGGTATTATTGTAATAACAGCAGCAAACTTTTTGGAAACTTCAACTCACGTCCATGCAAATGTGTTGTAGCCTTTGTTCTGGTAAAAACTTTACCAAAACTACGGTAGTGGCCAAATATTAGGAGTGGCCACCGCGTGGAGTTAAACTTGACACTAAAAGTGACCACCGCGCGGAGTTGGGCTGAACCCTTCGGGGGCCACAAAACTTTTCCTCGGATTAAATTTGACCACTGCGCGGAGTTGGGCAATCCCCGTCTCAACTGTGGCGTGCTGTAACTGATATGTTTGAATCGACCTTATTACTGTCATAAACGATTAAAGTTAATAGTGTATTACACAGTTTCTAAAACTTTTTAATTAAATTACCTATTACTTTTTGCCTTGTGCTCTTGAAGTTCAATTAATACACTGATATGTATTTCGCCGCAGGGTGAGGCATCTTCAGAGTTACACTAAAACTATAAAGCTACATTATACTATTTAGAATGTGTGTTAGTAACTGTTGTACTTTCACATCACTTATCACTGATATTTGAATGTAGCTTTATAGTTTTTAGTGTAACCATTGGCCATTTGATACTGAAGGTGTAACTCTAAAGATGCCACTGTGGCAAAATACATATCAGTGTATTAATTTATTGAACTTCAAGAACATAATTATATAAGTTTTTTTTCATAAAGGTTCAATACACCAAAGGTTCAATACACCAAAGGTTCAATACACCAGATACCGGTATGAAATGTACTAGATCATTAAATAGTTAGGAATCTAGTTTAAGTAAAACACCATATTGTATCTATTCATTTTTGTACTTAATTCTATCAATAGTCTAAATTCTATCCTCTGTTTATGTTATCACACTATCTTGGATTCTGTTTCTTCTGTGGTTTTCTTCTCTTCTCTTTTCTGCCGTTGATTGCTATTATACACACTAAGAGATGGGCTAAGCTTGTACGTTTGGCAGATCAATGCATGAAGACTGTTGCATGAAAGGAATTACATGTTTCAAATCTCCGCAGACTGACTCAATGTTGTCTTACAGATGCCAAACCTGCAGATCAAGAGTCACACAAGGCCATAAAAAAGTTAATACACTCTCAGAGCTTTAGCACTTCAACATGTCAGAAGCTACAAGACGTTTACGAGGGAAACGGTTTGAAGTCAACGTCACTTGTTTTGGAAATCCAAAATCCCAGTTTGAACTATACAAGTGAAAAGAAAATATCGGTGAAAGATATTTCAACAAACTTGACCCGAGACAACTGTGAAAGAAACTTTCACAAGGTTTATGAACATGCAAACAAAAATTCTGTCAGTGACAAGGTTTACCATTACTCTCGAGGGGTTATGGCAATAGATAAAGAAAAAAAGAAAACCTATCATGAAAATACAAAAACAGTCCCACCAATTAGAAAAACTTCTTCAACTCAGACCTATTTTGTAAACAGGAGTACTATCAAGAAAGACATTCGTCAAGAGTCTAGCTCCAAAACTGTCAATCTTCACAGTAAGTCAAAACCTCCTAACGATTTCATTGAAGCAAACAATGTCCTTCCCGGAGTATTAAATGCTCTTGATGATCTGAGTCGATGTATAGACGAAGTAATCATTGAATATCCACAAAAAGTGTGTAAAAAAGATAGTGACTCAACTGCACATGTTTTCAAAGTCAAAGAAGATCACAAGACAAGCAACAGTTCACAGAACATTATGAGCATTAGAAATGGAAAATCTGGATTGAAAAACCAGTTGGATCTACTTCGAGAAATTGTTGATTCCGGGGAGTTAAGTGAGGACAGTTTGAAGGCAGATGAGGAGGTGAGGGCTTACATGAGCACTGACAACGATGAAGACATTCACAACAGTGAGTGGTCTGGCAGCTGGAGTAGGCGGAGGACTCTCAAACAAAACTTTAGGGATGCAGCCAAAATAGGTACACTATAGCCACTAGCCAGTCATATAATAAGTAGTGTTATTTCATATTTTAATATGTAAAAGAAGATGTGCTAATGCTATCATTATCACTCTGGTGCATTTCAAAAATCATCCAACAATACTAGTGGAATTAATTGTTGTGTATTAGCTCATAGATTTTCCTTGACATATGAAATTAGTTAAACCAGACATATAAAATTGTTGCTCTAGGGATGATCAGAGATAAACGTACACTTTTCCCCTGATGTCAAGGAAATAATTAGGAATAGATCAGTTTTGTTTATAGTTTTGGCCACAAATTGGACAATCTCATACCGGTATTTTATATTTTAATAGCTCATTTTTTATTATTGAAATCTTTTTATTTTTATTTAAAGATCTTTCAAGAAAAATATTTTCTCTTATCATATATTATATATTATTTAATCATATTTCTTCATAAATTATTATACTCAACAAAAGTCTATCTCTTACAATAAGATGTAGGCCTAGGGTTAAAAGTTTTTAGTAAGCGGTTCATACCTAAAGTTAAGAACAACTATATTTTTATATCCTCCACTTTCCACCCCAATATAATTTGCAAGCATCTTATTTTTTAGAATGAAGATTAAATTAAGATTAGTTATTAATATATTAATAAATTAATCTTGTAGTTCTTTACCACAAGTTTGTATACAATGTTTAATAATTGGCCATCACCACTATTATTTATATTTAGTTTTAATTTAATAATAATGCATTGTGTAGTGTGGAAGACCAATAACAGTTTTGTTTACATTTAATTGTTGTATGATTACTTATTTAGTTATTCAGTAGTTATAAGAATTTATAAAAAAATATCATGTGAGTTGCAACAAACTTACAGTTAACAATTTAATAATTTAAATTTAGAGCTCCTTATAACCCGCTTCCGGGTGCGTTTGTTTATTTTGTCGGGTCGGGGAGTTACACGTCTCTGATAGCCTAGCCGAGCTGGGTTAACTCCGGGGGTCAATTTTGGTTGAGTTTCCCGCTTTTGTATCCTAAAATCGTTTTCCTGGCTCAGGAGAGAATGTTTTGCCTCTTTGCTTTATTCGTGCCTCATCATCGCCAGGAAACGAGTGAAGAAAAGAGGGAGGGCGTGATTTTGTTTCGAAATTATGGAATAGCTCCTTACTAAACTCCGTTTATAACTTCCTCGGCGGAGTGTTAGTTATTCATTTATTTTATTACCGAACATCCATTCTCCACGGATTGAGCAGAAAGAGTTTAAGTGTGTCTTTACTACCTAAAATGTTACAGTTCGTTTGGGGCGAGTGGATTAGTTCAAAGCCCCGTGAGAGAGTAGGAATATGGAAAGGTGCAAACGAACACACAGAGTAGGGTGGACAAGGATCGCTAACAGAAAGAGTATGATACGAGAAACACACACACAGGTTGAGCACACAAAGACTTATTTCCGGGTTTACTGGAAATAAATTAAGTCTAACCTAACTAATAACTAACTTATTTCCGGTGTGCCCGAATTAATAGAGAAAGAAGAAAGAAAAGTTTGTGGCAAGCAGCAAACATTCCGAGTAATAAAGTGACAGAGTAGAAGACTTATAGCTATGAACATAAGTGCTAGCTAATCTTATTTCCGGTGTGCCTGATAATTAAAACTAACTTAACTAACTTATTTTTGGTTTGCCCGAATTAATATAGAAAGAAGAAAAGATACTTAGCAAACTACAGCTAGCCAAAGCAGTTAGCTGCACACACTCACAACACATACAACACAAAGATCACTCAAATAGTAACAGTCCAGGAACTATGGAAATTGTGAGGAATGTAAATAGAAGTTGGGACTTAATTGTCTAATGCCACTTCCAACTAAATTCCCAATTACAATACGTTTCCCTAAAGCCTTAGTTATGCGTTATTCTAAGATTTGAAGCAGTTTCATTGGTTAATGTGTTAGTAGCAGAATCAAATCGTAAGTTAGAATATTCAACACGTTCGCTGCTGACAACTCCGATAGGAGTCATGCCGTACTGGCACAGCGTGTGTACGACTCAGGTCGGAGTCACGGTGCAGTGTTAAACAAGTTGGTCTAATGTGACCACCACATTTATCAGGGATCAACTAAACTATGTCAGCATGTTGTGCTGCATGGTCCTATACCCTATACTTTAATTTGGTGTAGGTTGGGTTTAGGTTGGTAGTAAAATTTCCTGTAAAACACCGTCTGGCAACGCTTTTTGTCCCGTTCTCATGGATTTTCTCTTTTCGAGCCACATTACAAAGACACTGGCTACGGATCCAGACAGTGCTGCTATCTGTGAGTTTTTCAGTGAACTACGTCCACTCTCAGGGTAACACAGCACCATCACCACCGCCGTTTTGCCGCTGTCAAGACTGAAATATTTTAATGCTATTGCGTTCGCTGAATCACTGGCGCGCCGAGGCTGTGTCGCATTTCCGACCGTACTGCCAAAGGGATTCCCGCAGCGAACGTGTTAACTACATTGTTCCACACATCAATAATTAGTAGCAGGCTACATAGAACATTAACAATTAATAGCAGCTAAGCAACTACATAGAACATAACTACTGTGCACTGGTTTTAGTATAAAAGACAATGTAAAGCGACAATCGTTAGTACAATCTGAAATACAAACAAATGAAAGAGTTTTAGTTAGTAAAGAAGCAAACAAAGTATTAAAATCACTCTAATGAATCAACTATTTACTCTTACTCCCAATAATCAAAGATCTCACAGCTAAATTGCTGCTCTACAGTAATTAAGATAAACATTGACTAAAAACTAAACACCATACATTTTATTTAGGTAATACTATATCTCACGGACCTAGGCGATAAACAAAACACACGAATATGAAAAGCCACCTTGCACGGAACCGATTTAACAAGACTAGACTCAAACAAAGAAATCAAACAAAACAAATAAAACAGAATGACTTATAACGGATCTCGTTTCTTCAAACTCGTCCAGAAAATGTGTATCGAACAAAATTCAGATTGTCAATAAATCAAAGCAGATATTATATATCTACAAAGCTATTCGAACAAAACTTATCACTCTCTATTTTATAGTAGAACGATAAGCTATATAAGAATAATCTTAAGTTCCAAATAAATCTCTCTCTGTTATTCAATTAAAATTAATACCGAACTTCCTGCGGACGATCGACTTAAGCAGCGTTATTGATTAACAGTGAATACATGGTAGGCGTAATAAAAGCAGTAGCGAGTGAGGTCGAGTTATCCCAGGCGTCCTGGGTACAACGGCGGTGAATGTCAGCCACTTACTTGGTGTGAGCGAGAGCATAGAGCTGTGCGTCCTTCTTCTGCCCAATTGCTCCGGCGACTCCTGACAGTCGACTCGGTGACTGCCACGTGAACTCAGCGCTGTGACTAGGGGTCTCTGGGCAGGCGCGGGCGATTGATTCGCGGTCTGGTGGGGCGGCGGTGAACCACAAGATCAGCTGTTTCTGAACTTGTGTCATCTGCTAATATGTTATGTTTACATTTTGGAACTTAACTTTGGCGAATCGGCGAGGCGATTCTGCTAGTAAGGGTTTAATTATAACTATATTAAACAATTTTATGAACCCTTACAATGTTTTGTTCTTATCATGAGTGTTTTACAGTAAGTGTGTTTAACTGTTAAAGTAATGTTGAGGACCTTTAGTATTAATATTAAATGTAGCAACAAGCAGTTATACATGTAATATAAGTAATGAAAGTTGCAATTTAATAATCACTACACATATTTAATTTATATTAAGAATATTGGAATTTTAGTTGTATAACTTAATCTTTTGACTTAAATTAATAATTTAGTGATGTGAAGTAAATTCTCTCAGTCAGGGTTGTTTTATCTTTTTTTGGGCTTACTATACAAACAGTGGCGATGATAGCGGACCCGCAGGTCCCGTGGTGCAGGGATAGCCACAAATTGGGGGGCCTGCAAGCCTTGACCGGGATTTTTCAGAAATTTTATCGTGACCCTGACCCACAACAGGCCCTCCTATCATAAAAATATTTATGAGTATTAACAAACCTTTTTTATGGTGAATATTTTTATTAAAAACCGTAAGAGCGTTAGACAAGTAAAATACAACATCTAAACTGACACTTGATAGATCAATAGAAATTCTCTACTAACCTAAGTCAAAAAATTGTCTGCAGTCATGCGGGTTGCATCAACAGTCCTTGCGGCCTGCGTAAGGACGCTAGAATGGGTGGAATACGAAATTCTATTAAATGATGTCAACATCAGTAGTTAAAATAAATAAAACTTAGTATTTTGTGAGTCAGTATTGGAATGTTTGCAGAAAGGTCTTTCTTACCCTAGCATCTACCCACTCCCCGTCAACACTGCCATGCCAAGCCCAAATGTAAGCTTTGGGTGGAAATACCCGTAGTAATGTTTTTAAAGATTACAGTATTGTGAGAGTAGGCCTACTTATCACAACAACTTTATAAAAAAAATTAAATCTGAATGATATTCAAGTTTTATGTGTTGTTTCTTAATGGAAATATCAATCTCGTTTACTAATAAACACTACTGTAACACTATTTACAGCATTTTTTTATTATGTTTTTCAGACTTGGGACCAAGAATATCCCCCAGTTTGGGATCTAGACCCAACCACAGACAAGGGACTGAAGATGCTTTTATCTCATCATCAGAGACGCCCCAAGTGACGTCCATCTCCCTCCGCCAGCCTAATGTATCAACCACCACAGTGCGACCCGCAGCCATCTACAAGGCATCCGAAGTCAAACATCCCGTCGCTTCCTTCATCTCACGAAGTATACTGAACACAGAACCTACAGGGATCTGCAGTAAAGTTGAGCTATCCTCAAGCGGTGAAAGAACTTGGAGCTTTACTAAAGTGTCAACCAACTCGGTAAAAAGCCACAGTGAAAGTGATTATTTAGACTCAAATAGATCAAACTCAGGTGAAAAAGAAGTGAGCAGTTTATTTGCCAGGGACTTGACTAACTCGCCAAGTAGGCTCAGTAGATACTCACAGTCTCCATCAAAAGAAAGCCTGTTCATGGAGAGAAGTGCCGAGAGAAACGTACTTTACAATGAAAACAATCGGCAGATGTCATCTTCTCCTACGAGTGGAATGTCTGTGAAAAACACTTCCTTATCGAACATGAAAGTGGATTATAATAACAAGAAGAGTGATAAAGCAAACATTACATTAAGAAATGTTTTATCTGCAAGCCATAAAAGCAATGGTCAAAATAGTTCTTCAATCTTAGCAAAACCTAAGGTAGAGGATAAGAATGAAAATAAAAAGAACGATTTGAAGAAGGTTAACGGAGATATTAAAGCTAGAGAGAGAAAACTGTCAACAAGTAGTAGTGGTAGGGATGGGTGGCTAAATACCCCTAAAGAAGCACCTGTAAGAAGAAAACTTGAACCTTCATTTAGGAAACCAGAGATAAAGAAAGAAAACAAACCATTTGAAAAACCAATGAAGCTAAGCAGTTCAAAAGGCAACTTAAAACGTACAGAATCACCCATCTACCAAAACAGAGAAATATATGCTGAAAGAAGGGACTCTAATGATAATACTGAAACTGAATCAGCTATACTGGAAGAACTAACAAAAGCTGCTGATCAAATACTTCTAGCCGTTAACGGTTACACAGATGATGATTCATTCAGAGCAAGTAGTGATGATGAGTACAGAAAAAAGCGAGAAAAAGTAGCATCTCAGCCTCTTTGTACCATCTCGGAACTTCCAACTAAAAAGACTAACAGGCATAATGTAGGTGTAATAAAATCTACCAGGAGTACGGATCTGAGGAGGGAATATAGGTCTTCATCAAAAACTAGGATAGGGAAGACATCGTCTAATTCATCGATGGAAAGTGGTGATGTAAAACCTTTGTTATCTACTGAAGATAGAAATAAACGGAGAGCTGCTAGGTTACTTCAACGTGCGAGCAGTAGAGAACTGTTGTTCACAACAGCTAGTTCATCTGAAGATATAGGCTCTGGTAGCGACACAGGATCCCTGAGAGCCAAGCGAGTTTATAGACGCCCTCGGCTACAGAATGGGAGACATGGATCAAAGCAGGATTTGACAGTCTCAACAGCGGAATCTAAACCTAAAGAAAGGTAAATTATTGCTTAGAAAATATTTTATAAAATAATTATATGGGCCAGTTCGAAAGTTGTAAAGTTTTGCAATATATTTATCTATTTCATTAGTATATTTGACTACTAGTCCCAAAAATGATACATTTCAAAAGAAAATAGTGGTTAACAAGCAAGGCGAAGCCGAGCGGGGAAAATAATTGTTGAGCCCCAAAATGAAACTTTTTGACAAGCAGTGAACGATACTTTTCATCACAATGCAAATAATCACACCAAATTTCTTGGTTTTAATTAACACGTTTACTGCGGTATGTCTCCGATTGGAGAAATCAGCTAGCCAGCCCGGGTGCGCATGATTCCAATCGGAGACATTTGTCATGGACATTGTAATGCGCTTATATTTTGTTTAGCTATTGAGAAGGAAATGCATATTGCGCCTTGGCGTGCACATTAGGGAAGTGGGTTTTAAATTTCTTGTTGGTCAAGATAACTGCCAATGTTCATACTTTCTATAGGGCTTAATTTCGCGTTTGTTGAGGTTGTTCATGTTAGACGTCGTTGTAGCATGTTAGAAATTTAATTATATGGAATAGAATATGATACTGAATGTACTGTAGCATTATGTGGAAGGAACCTATAACCTCAAAACTTTGCTTGATCCCTTTTTTGCAGTATGTTTTGATGGAGTATTCGGGTACTTTGCCCCTGCTTTTTTCCTCTATTTCGCAATACTGAGGGCCGGCTAGCAGTTTTGTTTAGTGCTACTATCTATTGGGTTTTTGTAAAATTGCATGAATACAGACGGGGACGCAGTACATGCTCCCCTATTGCCCCTCCTATTAATATATACCACAATGCCACAAACCGCACTTCAAAAGGTTGACCCTGCACAAAATGACAGTTGTTCAAAGATTCATTTAATTTACATTGCTATTATACGCTTTATCCTCAGGGGGCACAGCCCTAGGAATCGGAAGAAAATTGTTAACGTAAGCATAGGTCGATATGCACATCAAATTAAAGGTCTTCACTAGTAGATTACGATGCCGTAAATTCAAGCTCAAAAGAATGCCTGAGTAAAAAATGGCAGTCGTTCAAAGATTCAAAATGGCGGATTCAAGAAATCTTTGAACATCTGCCATTTTGCGCAGGATCAACCTTTTGAAGTGCGGTTTGCGGCATTGTATTCTACTAAAGAAGACCTTTAATTTGATGTGCATATTGACCTATGCTTCCATTTAAGATTTTCTTCCGACTCCTTGTGGGCCGTCCCCCTGAAGAGTTATTGGATCACTGAATATGTGTTAAAATATAGTTTTATGCCCTGTAACTTTGTACCAAGTATTGTAGCTCTATCTGCATTATTTCTTTTAATATTTAACTGTCCAGGGACTTTTTTACCACCCTGTATATATGGTATATGCCTCTCCTATTGGATGAAACTAAATTCAAACATTTTGGCGCACTCATTTACGCAGCGCATTAGCTGCCCGCGCTCCCGGCAGCGGACGGCCATCAGGGAACGTGTTAATACAACATCACTTCATTATCTATTGATTCTCTTTCAAGTTTTGGTATTATAATCAGTGCCGGAAGTAGGGTACTTGCGGCCCTAGGCCAAATTACTTGAACGGCCCTCCCCCTGTGGTGAAAATTCCTTGCGATCGCGGAAGTATGAGTGAATATCTCCTATGCATTAAGGGGACATCATTGTCGACACCCGTGACCGTGGATGAAATCGTGGACATCTCTCCTAAGCCAAGTCAAAGCCATCGTAGGTATCCGTGACCGCGGCAAAATCGTAAACATCCCCCACGGGCTGCAAAAAAGGGACATCATCCTCGACACTCGCGACCGCGGCGAAATCGTGATCATATCCCGTGAGCTGTGACCTTGAGGACATCATTACCGTCACCCGCTACCGCAGTAAAATCGTGAACATCTCCCGCGGGCCGTAATCACGGGGACATCATCATCGACACTCGTGACAGCGCCTAATTCTTGAACATCTCCCGCGGGCCGCAATCACGGGGACATCATCACCGGCACCCGCGACCGCGGCAAAATCGTGAACATCTCCCTTGGTCCGCGGAGACATCGTTATGGTCACCTGTGATTGCGGCAAACTGGTGGTTTAAAATAAGTTTTTTTATTTATCTTAAAAAATGTTTTTCTCAATGCTCTGCGTCCGCTTTTTGCTTAGTGGTAAAATCCAGCACTGAATTCACTTTTCAATCCAAACTCAAGCTTTACACACTTTTGGTTTTGACACTTTTTGCCCGTGTGATAAACAATATTTTTTGTCATATTGCACTAAGGAAACTAATTTACAATAAAATAAAAATACTTTTCATTAAGTGATTCAATATTATTTTAGTCTAATCTTGTTAGTGTACATTATACCATCGATATGTCCAATTATGGACAAGAAGGCAAAAATAAAGCTTCAAACTGATTAAAACAATCAATTCTTTTGATACATGCAATTGACTACAATTGGAATTTATACCTGAGTTAACAGCTGACTTTTACTCCATAGGAAGGAAAAGAACTGGGAAAATTTGATTGGGAAAAAAAGAAGAAAAGAAAAATGTAAGATAAAATTTTCTGGGAAAGGCAAAGTATTATTAATGTATTAGTAATGTTAGGAAAGACATAATAGGAAATCATAGGGAAGATATCATAGATTTTTTGATAGAGTCTGCCAGTATATTATACATTTTTTTTATAAGCTTAAGCACACAATTATTATTTGTAACTATAAACTTGAGCTCTCTTGTAAGGAATGGGTTATTCAACAAGTTTTACACCCAAGTGGGTAGGTGTAACTCCTGAATATTAAATTTGGGACACATTCAGAGTTGACATGTGGCTCTGATCTAAGTTTATAGTGTACAACGTTTTTTAAGAGTCCTTGGAGCCTAGGACGTTCTAACTCATTAAACAATTAAAAAACTACAAAGCAAATTTCAAATCTCACAGTATACTAGATATTTAAATTATACTAGCTGTGTACCCGTTCTACGCACGGGGATCTTATAGTGATCAGTTGAAACCTTCTTATACAAAGAACAGCAGTTGGTTTGCATATTTTCAGATATGCTGGCCAAACTATTTATTATACATAACTTCATTTTATGTCGTTTGTTGTTGTTCTGGATCACATACTTGGGCATAACGAATAGAAATTCTATCGAATAACACTATTCATTAGTTTTTTTGGCTAACTTCTATTTTATTCGTTTGTTTTTAAATTAACTAACTAATAACTTCTATCAGTTACTTTTTACGGGACTAACTAATAACTTCTAACTAGTTAGAATTTTCAACTAACTTTCCCAATTATGTGGAAGCATCTCAAATACTGGTTATTTATTTCACGTGATCAGTGAGGGTTGCGTGCGGCCGTGAGAGGTCAGTGCCCTTGTAGACAAAAAACGCGGGGGGTGGGGAAAGAGAAAGTCAAAGTCCAGTTGCTTTGGAATGCAGTGGGCCTGTGGAAGGGTAGTAGTGACGGCCATTATCAACACCCCAAGCACTGATGGGTGGGAAGGGGAAATGTTTGTTTGGTGATTGATATATCATCTCAAGTGTCAAAACATTGTCTTTAGTTGATGTTCATTATCTGACAAGTTTTATGTCATTTGTTTATGTTGTAGTAACGTAAAATGTGACAATGTTTCATTAAAACACAGGTACCAGGGGACCGATCTTGCTCGAGGTGTTTGATTTGTTCAAGAGGTAAAAAATAGAGCTTATAAGCCTACAAATATTTTCAGTCTTACTACGATTAATTAAGTACCTAGGTAGTAAAGTCAATTCGTTTTTGTTAGACATCCAATTATCCTCAATTTAGTCTACAAAACTTTTTAATTTGGACGATCAATCTATAAAATGTCCACAATAAGCTTCAATCAATATAAAACTCATGATACATAACATCTGTTATCTGACAACCGTTATTGCATTAAGTCACTGGGATCGTGGAACGTTGCAACTATAATTACGGGATAGTGTAATAAAGCATCAATTCGTGCGGTGCATCGTCGAAAAATACAAATCTCCTTGGCCTTTCCTTTAGATTTTTAGTTCAATGTCAGTGTATATTGTTTTGCAGTAAAACACTTAATGTTTTTGAACAGTCGTAATTATCCCTTTGGTTGGTAAGACATCATACAATCCAAATGTATTATACAAGCAATTTACAATAGCATTGAAATTGGAGGAAATCGTAGGAGCCATTTTTTAAATCATATCTTGCGCAATCTTTACTCATAACCAAGATGTGACATTAAAAAATACTTTAAAACAACTGCCCAACGAACAACTAATTTCTAGGCTACTAAAACTAACTTTATTTTCTATCAGTTAGTTTTTCAACTAACTAATAACTTCTGTCAGTTACTTTTTAAACTAACTAACTTATAACTTCTATCAGTTAATTTTTGCGGGACTAACTTATAACTTCTAACTAGTTAGAATTTTTGACTAACTTTCCCAACTATGCTGGATCGGTATGACAATCAATAAAAGGCTAAATTACCTGTGTCCGCTGGTCGATCCTAATGTATCCTATTACAGGAGATGCATTTCGGCAAAATTAAATCGCCATCATCAGTCCTAAAGGTCTTGAGCTTCCCCATTAGGCGCGTCTTGGAGTTTTTGAAACACATACACGAACTGTACACTTATACACATGACGAATAAAACATAAATACACGGTTAGGCCCACTTTTATTTTTACTATAGACAAGTAGACGCGCGTCGGTCGTGTGCCGAGTCTCGACTGAAAACGCTCATTTAAAAAATGTAAGTTTCCCACCAATATACAACACTGATTCAAGGTCAGGATTTTATACACAAAGAATCTATATTTTCATTTACTGTTACCCTACATATTATTGCACTTGCGATTAATTAAATCCGTTATGTAAGGAAAAACGTTTTTAATCTTAATTGGTTTGGATTTGCTTTCAAAACGTGATCGGAAATGGTTGCGGTATTTGTAAACAACATTCAATGTAAACATATCAGTGACAGCTAGAAGAAATAATCTTGATTTGAACAGCTGTTCGTTATTTCATAGAAGAATAGGTGCTAAACATTGGGAGAAAACTTTACAAAAAATCGCACAAAATTGGGTTTTTAAACGTCCGTTATTTTATTTACAAAGTGGTGATGCCATATTTTAATGGCTAAAGACAATTTCGCCAATCCAGTGAATACATTAAAATGATTCGGAACTTGATAGGTACTCTCGTTTTTCAGGAGTAGGCCGCGTAAAATGGCTCTTGGGTCGTAACAGACATGAAGACAGACAGAAATTTAGATGAGACTTGTTTCGGTTTCTCTAATGTATAAAACGTAAAAATAACCTAAAAGTTTATGATTCTGAGCAATGTACAGACAAAACTCTAATTTTATTTATATAGACAATCACTTGGCATTTGAAAATACTATTTTGAGGTGGAAATAACTCTTCAGCGGCTGTTTGAAAATAACAAAATTAACATTGCTCTTATGGCGGGAAAATGCAAGAGGGCCGTTGGCTTTCTTAGGACTCCCTCCTTGGAAATACATTTAAAACAACACTTCTAATGTTACAGTATACTAGATATTTACATTATAATCACCTTGGTGTTTAAAAACTATTTTTGGATGATAATTAACTCTTCAGCACCTTTGAAATCATCCAAGATGGCCGCTAGCCTCCAAGGACTCTTAGGGTAAATAATTACCCTTCAAGAGCAATGCCAGGTGGTCTAAGGCTTGGCCCCCTAGATCAACCACATTACCTAGATGAAACAGCTCTAACTCAGATTAGAGTAGATAAACATTTTTGTATAGACAACTGTTTCTACAAACTTGTGAAGCTGTTTTAATAGTAAGGTTTTCAAAATTTAATTTAAAGGGATGAAACATGATGCAACTTTGTCATGGATAAACTACAAATGGTTGGCAACTGGAACCATATGCTTATGGTAATAATAATTATACCTTGAAAGTAAATAAAGGCTGTTAAATGGAGTTCAATGTTTCAGGAACCAACGCTCCTCAGAGTCAAGACCAAGTGAAGCTCACAAAACTCAGAAAGTGAAAGTGCAGTCAGAAAACCGATGTTCTAGACACTCCAAAGCTGTAACAGGTTAGAAGGTTTATTTGTCTCTATGTCAGGATATGCTTTTACAATACCCTAAAAAATATTGTAATGTTGTGAAAAAAATCTAATTAAACACATACAAGAAATATGAGTCTTAAAAAGTAATATGGGATTATAAATACTGAACAAGTTGACTTAACTCACAGTCATGCATGATTTTGTGTTAATATTATTGAAATCAAAAGAAAAGGAACTAGGTACTAAGTATTAAGGACAAACTACACTGTTCACATAATATTACGATGCAGGTTTTAGTTCTTGCTGTAGACGAGTCATCAATGACAGACAGTCATTTCTCATACAGTAACCTGCTCACTGATATTCAACCTCATGCCATTAGGTTGATTAAACTGACTGCATATTACATTATTTTTAGTTTGTTTAAAAGTTTTCATTTTATTGTTTGATTTTTTCAAAGCGGAGTACAGATTTCTGAATAAGTTAAAATAAATACTTAATCCTGGAACTACAAAATATAGAGCTCATTTATTTTCTTGTGCATGAATTCATGTCAAGATGAAGTATTGTACAGTAGTTCATATTGAAATGAACTCTAAACATCAGGTCTTTGCTTTGATAGGTGTGTAGTGTTGTTTTTAAGCTTTAGGTGGATTGTTTTCTAAATCATATAAACAAGTTTTTATAATGATAGGAAATGTAGTTGTTGACCCAGACTACACAGAGGACCTTATCCTTCTCGTAAAAAATAAAATCTAAAAATGGACTCCTAGTTTATTATTGTTTTTCTGACCAGGTCCAACATCTAGTGAGAGGCGAGACAGAGAGCGCAGAACACAGACTACAGTGTCTCAAGTTTCCCGTTCTCAGTACGTAGCCAATAGTGCACTCATGCGTACACACGCACGCTCACGCACGCGCACACGCCACTTGCACCGACCCCAATGCCCATGTTTCTGACCCTACTTTTCTAAACAGTCCTGGTACAAAACAGAGTTAAAATTTGTATCATCTTCATTCTGTAAATTCATCCCCATTTATTGATAAAATTTTCTCTTCTTCTTATTACTGTACATGAATAACTTGATTCATAGCTGATGATACTAATTAAAATATTGTGACATTTTATCTTTTTTTCCAAATTAATTATTGTGCAAAATATATTAGACCTGAAAACCATTGACCGAAATAAACGTTATGAATTGATTAACCAGTGGGTTTGCTGATGTCTCTATTAATGTTTTTAAGCTTTAGGGCATTAAATTGGTCAACAGGACCAAAAACCATTAAAAAAATTTAATCAGGTTCAAGTTTTTCAAAAGTTTAAATCATGCCTAATAATTAAACACAGAATTAGGACATCACAGTTAATTATTACTTATAAATCTTAAACTACCATAATATTATTACAAAAAAGAATAGTCACTGCAAAAGCTTTAATATTTTGCTTTTTAAAATAAAATTGACCCTAAAAATACAAAATTTAGTAGGTAACAAGATAATAGTAATTTAACTCAGGTTTGTTATCATTGATAATGGTTTTATGTTATAACAACCTAACGCACATAGATATGAACTTAGAATCCATGCCCTATTGATGGTGCTTGGTACTCACAGATAATATTTTAAATATTAGAAAAATTAAGTTGCTATAACAACTTTTTAGTCATGTGAAATACTCATATTCTAAATTTTTATCATCAGATTGTGGTAATATTAAATACCGTAAATAACTGAACTTTCCGTTAGTTCTAATCCTGAATAGACGCTATCATATCACTTATTCAGTGTCTGCTATTTAGTGTAGCTAGAATTGATTATGTATCACATTTAACCTCGCATGTATTAGGGCTATTGTTATTCCTCTCTACAACTAAATAAACATCCACAATTTGCTGTTAAAACTAATAATGGTATGGGACTATGGGGCTATTTTATATTTAGTTTTATTCAGTTTAGAGTAATAATGATATTCAATTAACTTCAAAGTTATTGGAGTTAAAAGGCCAGCACCACGGTTACAAATGAGAATGGGCCCAAGGGCGCAAGAGTTTTTTGTTCTGTTGGGGGCGCAAAAAAGCAACAGACAATATTCGGAAAATATCTTAAATGGCGCGACAGTAGAATCCTCCTCACTTCGGTTCCCACTCAAAACTCATCACTGCTTGCATATCATGTAGTTACTTGTTCCGCCTTATCTTTATTTGTAGGCTATCAATTTTTATGTCATTTTTTCATTACCCACCAATGTCAGTTCCTTTGGTCAAATTGGGTTAGGAACATGTTATCAATTGTTAGCAAATAAAGTTACTGCTGTGTTTTTGCTTATGATTTTATTTACGTTCAAAGAGTTTTATTTTACATTGTACTGTAATATCACACCCCTTTTTTTTTAAATAGAGTAAACAAAAAACCAAGTGGCAGTGAGTTTACTAAGAGGGTGGCAAACAACTTTTCAACAGTGAAAAGGCTAGAGTTTTAAGTAAAGGGCCAGTTTTGGAGCTTGGGACTAACGCTATTCTTGGACTAAAATCCAGTTCAAACCAGTTTTTAATCTAGGACCAAAAAATTGAGTTTCAGAGCTCGAGGGTTACGCCAGTCAACGACTAAGTCTATTCCGAGAGTTAACTAGTCCCAGACTTACTTTCATGGGTTTCAGAGTCACGGGTTACTTAAGCCTTGAATTAAGTTTTATTCTATCGGGTTTTGGAGCCAAATATTTAATCCGCAACTGGGTAACAAAAACTAACATGAGGAATAAATATGAGCAATTTTTTGTTCTGGTGGAGGGCAGGACTAAGGTGCAGATTAACTTAATTTTTGGTATAAGTACTCAATTTGTGAAGTTGTATCTATATAAACGTCAAATTCTTAATCAGCATAAAATTACTTACAATTTCATACCTCTTGATATTTTTTTGTAAAATTTATTTTTCTCCTAAGTAAGCAAAATCATCTTTCAAAGACTATAATAGGCCAAACGGTCCCTAAAATTAATAGAAGAAGGTAACTAAATGTAGATTTTAAATAATATAACGATGAAAGAAAGAAAAACTTAACTGTATGAAAAAGTAATGCTGTAGATAAAATCTATATATCTATATACATATTTAATACGCTAGGTACATAGTTTTATATGTATTTAATACACTAGGTACATGGTTTTTTTTTTATAGCTCCACTAATTTGAGAGAACGGGTGGGCATAGAAACTTGGTAGAGGTGTCTAAAGAAAGGTCTTGGTCTGTAGATGAGCCATCAAAAGATAAACGAGGGCCAAATGAGAGACATTTTGAGATGGAGAAATCCGGCTGGAATGCTTTAGGTTTATCAATAACGAAGATAAACATGGTCTGGAGTTACACTCCGATAATCTTTGAGTTGACTCTTTTAAGCTCATTGTACATATGACTGTTATTCGTTTTGAAATAAACTCCTGTAATACTCGAATTCAAGCAAAATGTACACTAGTAGACAATTATTGGAATTTGCATTAAAATTACTTTTCCTTTATTCGGGAAGTTTTTGTTTTTTCTTATCAAACTTAACAGCAATAAATAAACTTTCAGGTTTTTTGTCTAAATTATGGTTCACTTTACTGGATTTTTATTTCGGCATATGTTTTTGATCACGATATCTTCTTTTAGTTAATCATCTTCAATGAAACTCAAGGAATCCTAACTGATAACAGATTAGAACCAGACTAGACGGTAGGCCAGACGTCTGTCCGCAGCCCCTACCACCACTCAAAAACTAAAATTCCTACCTCACTCCTAGAATAAGTAGTCCAGAAGTTGACGAATAAGATTAGTCGCCGAATACGCTAGTCCGCGGACTCAGGAGTTAGTTCGCAAGATCCGAAACCCGATTTTTCATTTGATGACTAACTTTATTCACTGATTAAGTAACTCCAGGATTACATATTCCTGAGCTCCGAAACCCGCCCTAAATGTCTGCAAATACATCTTAAGTAAAAACATTTTTTTTTTAATTCAATCTTTTTACAACTAAACCCATTTTACTTTTAATAACGTACCCTTGGAAATATAAATGTGAATGTAAGTAAAAGTTAAATTTGTTAAATTGATAGATTAAGTTTTTAGTTTACTATGTGTGTAATTTTATTACATTATAACCAGCCTTATCTTGTTACATTACAGATGGGCGTGCCCGTAAAATGCCTATTTTCATTTTATGATTCAAATCAAAGTCAGTAGGGTGGGGGGACGCAACTACCTCTTGGGCCACAGCTCATCTCATACTAACCGCGGGCCTGTATCCATGTTTAAAACTCCATGTTTAAAACTTAAAAACTTCAGTACAGAAGACCCTCTCTAATCCTGCACTGCGCCACTCTGGCACTCTAGTAATCTGGTGTCTTTTGACGGGTGAGGTCTTCCGTGACCGCTTCATAAATCTGATTATTTCCCGCGGCCGTGTAGACATCATCAGCCACTAACGCGGTCATGGAAACGTCATCGTCGTCTTGCGCAATTGTGGCAAAATCATAAACATCTCCCACGGTCATGTAGACATTTTCATCCACTCCCATGGTCACGGAAACATCATCGTCGTCATGCATGATTGTGGCAAAATCATGAAAATCTCCTGTGGCCGTTTTGACATTATCATTGTCTTCCAAGATCGACGCAAAATCTGATCATCTCCTGCGGCCATGTAAACATCATCTCCGTCATGCATGTTCGCCGTGAAATCATGATTATCTCCCGCAGAAGTGTAGACATTATCATTCTCTCTTACTATTACGGATACGTCATTGTCGTCATGCTCGATCGCGTCAATAGCGGTTTCCGATCACGCAATCTTTGGAGACGTGTTTTAAGTGAATTTTAAGTGTTTTTATTGATAACATTCCAGTAATCCGGCAGTATCACGGTCCTATATCTGCCGGATTACTGAGAGTCTACTGTAATTATAAAAATTTTCTCAAAGTGATAAGCTGTAAACAAAAAATCTGCTGCTCTACTAGTTTTAAGCGAATTTCCCGTAGGTGACACGGTAAGACCTGGAGCCGGGACCAATAAACTTTTTCAACTTGATGTCCCTAGATGTGAAAACACTATTCCTTCAAATGTTTATATATCTATATATATACGTCCGTGATTGTAATAACTTGAGTAATCTTTGTCCGATTTTGATGAAATTTGGAGGTATAAGGCGGGATAAACTTGAATGAGTTTGCAAACAAGCATGATCGCACCATGGGAACAGGGTTTTATGGGGTAAAATTGGGTTTTCTCATTTTTAAACCCTCAAAACTATCCAGACCATTTAAAGAGCTTAAAAAAGCATTTAATTTAGTATACTTTGGTACCTATATCTAATTATTTGCTTTTTTAAAGTGTTTTTGTACGGTTATTAGTTATTGTACAAAAAATTCAAAAACTGCAAATTTTAAAATGCCCATGTTATTCTTATGGAGAATATTGTAAAATGTTGTAGTTTGCTTATCATGGAAATATTTTGATAAAACTTGGCAAATTTATTTATTTTATACTAAGCTACTAATATTTTACCAAAACACACACTTTTTAGCCTCCCTGTAGCTGATTCCTCAAGAAAGTACTGAATCCTTAAGACAGTTTCAGTATGTTGCATGAGATTTTATTTGCATGATAAAGTAAAGATAAAAAAGAATGGTGTAAAAGTGCTTCATTACTAACATAGGCTTGAGTGCTAACTTCATCATTAGTTTTACATTCTTTTCTAATTAAAGCTAATGTTATAGAATTAATCTTATACATTTAATTGCGAGTTCTGCAAATTTAAGTTGTGATTGTTGTTTGTGAAATTGTTTGTTTTTTTGTTGTAGAAAGAAAAGACCAGAGACTAGTCCTATGGAGGTGAAGTGTGGCTAGGTCGAGTTATTCTCGACATGACTGAACAGATCTCAACTTGACTGCAAACATTCAACACAATACTCAGTTTCCAGTCTTATTTTAGTTTTTCAACTTGGTTTCCTTTATTGACATACTAACTTTACTAGATTGGTTTTACTTGATCAGTACATAGCAATGACTTCCATGTTTAAACTCCTGCTAGCAGAAAAATGTCTAAGATTAGCGACATATTGTTAAGATTTTTTTAAACTTGCATGTTATGTCTCAATTGAAATATACCACCATAGAAAATACTAATATACAATAATGGGTATTTATAGATCAAAATAACAATTGCTTAAATATTGTTAGAGTAGTTCATATCATATGAACCGTACTGATGTTAGCTAAATGAAGCAATACTATTCATTATTCTTACTTTATTTTCACTACTACTACTACTTTGGGCTGTAGCATCTAATTTTTATTTTCTGTACCGTACTTCTGCTCATTCATGTAATGGAACTCAATAACCTGCTTGTTTATAATTTATTTTAAGAATTATTAAGATATACAAGTTCCTATATGTTTGTTCAAAGATTATGTAGTATATGTAAATTAACAAGTAACAATGCTCAAAATATTTTTGGCTTATTAATTTTACATGAATTTTGGTAAAATATTTTTATGATTAATATAAAAATATATAACGCAAACAATATGCTATGATAAGAAGCTTCAACATTTGTTTACACAGGAAAACTAATAACATTTATTTTCAAAATGTTGTACCATGACATGTAAATTATTTAATTTGAAATCCATTTTTAAGATACTAATGTTATATTTATACATTTGTTGATTTGATACCAGTGCATAATGTAATTTAAGATTTTTGTTACTGATATTTATGTGTATAATGTTGTTTAGATATTATTTTTTGTATAATAATTTACTAATAAAGCTATATTTCTAATTTTTACAAATTGTTTCATTAATATACAAATAATTTCCCATGCATTTGATACAAAAATACTATTTTGTGCCCAGCATTCTTAATGCACTTTTTTTTATCAAAAATGGCTTAAAATATTTTTTGTCTACGACCAGTCCATGATAGTTTTTTAACTAATTGAAAGAGAGGTTTATAATTAAGTGGCAACATAAAGTGGGGTGTCTTGCTATAGACATCCCAAGAACAAAACAACCTGCGCAGAAACAAAAAGATCACGTGGTTCACACCGGTAGGTGTTGCATACCATTCAAACCTGCGCGGCTCGAAATGGACCAGAGTTCTTTTGTTTCAGGTTTGTCTATAGCCTAGTGGTTAGTGTCTAGGAATCCGGTGCGGGAGGATAGGGCTCAATTCTCGGCACATCTACAAAGCTTTTATAGGTGCAGACCGCTTTCCCTAAAAGCGTTTAGTCTAACTTGGCTTCAATGAAAATGCCACTTGCGTTGAAAAAAAGGGATTATTACATTATAACTTTTGCCTAGAAGTTTAAATACCCCCACTGAACATATGAAGGAGAAGACTATAATAGATTTTGGTATGAAGATATCGCATATATAGTTTAAAGAACAAGAAACTCAAGTAAGTCGGTTTGTGACTCGAGATTTGCCAGAAGGATGCACATATAGATTGTTATAATTAAGTCTCAAAGAAGAATCAACATTTTAATAATTAATAAAAAAAAGGAGTACCCTAATGGATTTATTATTGACCACACCATAAAATTCAAATTCAGTCAAGGACAACCATTGGAAATCGATGCAGAAAAAAATATATATGAGCTGACGATTCCATATTTTGAAACGATTTTATAATATTAAAGTAATTGGTTTATTTATTGGATCAAGAAAGACCATTACAAGTGTTTTATACACATTTTGGTAAAGATTTAAATTGGACAGAAACACTCTAAAGAAAATTACCATTGTGACATTGAAAACTTCAGTATCAATCCTAAGAAATCATTTATACCAAGATATTTATATCAATATCATAATATTTATATCAAGATCAAAATTATTGTGTCGTTGTAATTAGTTAATTTTTTCGGTTAAGCCTAAATTTGTGTTTGTTACTGTATCCTTTGTGTTTAGCAGCTTGCTTGTGATTGAGCAAAAATCCCATTTTTACTAGGTATGGAGTTTTCAAAACCCCCTATAAAACACCTGTCCCATATAGTCTGATTATGATGGTTTGGGAACTTGTAAAAAAAAAACATAGGTTTACATTTTTTCTACCCAAATTCATCAAAATATCAGACGATTTTTTCACTTGAGTTATTGTGCTAACCGACATACATACATACAAACATGAATTTTGGCACGGATGGTGTTTTTGGCCTCTAGGGCATAAAAACAAAAAAGTTAATCAGTACTGGGTCTAGGTCTTACCATGAGACCTACTGTAACAATTTATTCCCTATATGAGAATTTCACTAAAATCAAAAAAATAAATGTACTAAGCTTGTTCTTTTCATAAACAATACAGTTAATTTCCCTAACATCAATACATTTTTGTGCCCAATTTTTTATAATAATATGTTGTACATACCAAAATTTAATTTTATATACCAAATACAAACAATAGCCTAAGACTGTACGTGTACAGTATCAGTCTTATAGCTGTATAATCCTTCAATATTTTATGTGTACAATTTTTTTTGTGTCATTGGCAACCTTATTTTTTAAGGCAGATGTATTTATTTTTATAAATAAATTCTTTTCTCTAAGCCTCTACAGATTTCATCAGCTGTGCATTATTATTATAGATAGTTTTGCATTCCTATTAATAACAAAGTTTAGTTTGAACAAACATTTATTTTCAAATTCTTCAGTAGTGTACCTAATAAATTAAATAAAATCTTATAGTTTTCAAAATGTCCGATAGTGCAGAAATTTGTCCTCAAACTGTTGAGAGTGCTGAATTAATTCTAAAAAATATCTCAATTTTGGGTGAACTTTCTCACTTATTAAAAAAGACAAGGAATGGTGAAAATTCAATCAATTCGCTTAACAATTTAGTATACCAGGCTGGTAAAGACATTTCATCTATTCACAAGAGTGTAAACACTGTGATTGCTATAGCAGAAAAGCTAGTACATCTGTCTTTGCAAATGGTTCCTACAAACAATCCAAATTATAAATCACTCAAAAGGGAAGCAGATAGTCTACTTAATGTGTTGTGTGACATTAAAGACAAAGAGGAAGAAAGGCATGAAATGATGTGGAAAGGACAGGAGAAATGTAAAGGAAATTTTAAATGTAATGATGATAAGTACCCAGAAAGATGTTCAAGGGAATCTCTCTTGGATATCAGCAATGTTGTAAATTTACCAACAGTTCCTGAAGATGCTTTTGCTAGTTTTCAAAGACCAAATAGAACATTAAGTTCATGCTCATTGAAAAACTTAAGAAAAGTACAACTTTGCCTACAAAAAGCTACTTGCTCTGACATGGAAGAAGAGTTTGATCACACAGATTCAAACATTAGCTCTCCTAAGGTAAATAATACCACATTCAACTGAGTAAATATTGTAAAACTAGCCAATCAATATGGACCCTCTTCACTGTGGCTTAATCTGCCTATATTTTTTATATCTTTATTTTTTAGACTATGGCTGAAGCACTTCATGCACTTCTATTAACCTAGTAAGAAGACATTATAAAATGTTGTAAGGAAAATATAAATATTGTTAGTCATCTTGATTTGATACAATTTACTTAATACTTAGGAGCAGACCACAGGCTCTGTGAAGCCTCTCCCAATGCCTGAAAATTATGAGTACCGGTATTGCAAATTTTACTTTGATGATGATGTGTTTACTAACTGGTATGTTTAAAACTCTTTTATAAATTTATTGGCAACCTGTGCCACCTAACACCAGCAGGCAGAGCCTTAAGTGATGTGGGTCCGGTGAAACATTTCTAGAGCAGGACTCCTTCATCAATCAAATAATATGCCAACCTAAGAAAAGTGTCAATGTAAAAATAATTATAGTATTCATAGCCCCCCCCCCCCCCCCAATCACCATGTTGTTGCTCATAGGATGATTTTTTTCATTTTTTATTAAATATCAATTAAATTAAAAATTATATTTATTTATATTTGTGAGACTTTTATATAATTTATATAAAAGTCTCACTATATTATATGTTTGTTTGCTTGTTTGTTTGACATTAGCCTCAGATAGGCTTAAACTATAATAAGCCTAGTAGTAGTTCCCATCATGAACAGTACAAATTGAAAACACATATCATAATTAAAGTATTAACTCAGCCAGTAAAATCTTTATAGCTCTAGTCTCTTACCTAGAATATCAAATAAAAAAAATAAATACAGAGTTAAAATATCATAAACCACAAAATAGAACGCACTCTAAAAATCTGTTTGCACTGTTATTTAACTTTATTTTAAATTTATTTTAAGATTTACAACTAACTTTCAAAACTATTATCACCATTTTAGCAGCAATGTTGGGAACATCTCATACGTGATCTTAGCAACACCCCATGATGAATTTCCACAATCCCAGATGTATTTCCTACAATCGTGGTCACATCCATGAGGATTCCCCATGATCACGGCAAAGTCGGCAATGATTACTTGGGAAAGCAAAGAGGTAACACCCAAGATCATCAGTCGTACTCAGTCGTATATCATCTGCAATAATTTTCTGTGATCGTGGCAACATCTGTCATCATCTCTCATGATCACGGCATTGTGGTAATGTTCTGCGATTCAATTTGTTACTTAACAGGATGTCGCAAAAAGAGGACAAATGGCGACTATTGGTGGATTTTATTGGCGAATAGTCATAATCTGAAATTTTCTGGTCCTATGCACAATTCACATCAAATTCACATTTTTTTACAATCAAACATTTCTTTTCTAAACATTTTTTGTTTGTTTAGTAGGTAGGGAGCCTCCTAAAGCGCAGGAACCTGTGCAGCTACACCTTTTGCCTGTACCTAAGGCTGGCTCTGCCATTAAGAAAAGGCTTCAATGTGTCACCACGGTTGAATCCTCATTACTAATCAGCCATAGTTTGTGTTTCAGAAAGATTTGGCGCATGTGCATGCCATCACACAAACATCAGGTAACTCAAACCTGATGTCAACGAGCAGAGATGCTTGTACAGCGACTGAATAAGCTTGGAAGATTAAAAAATAATGAATAAAGATAAAATAGTACAATTTTATTTATACAATACCTATCTAAATACTAGTGAAAATATTGATGATTTATTTTAAATTATTAGAAACAATTTAAAACAGTAAATGTACGTATCCTAAATATGCATTTTGAATAACATTTGTATAGGTTTCTGAGCTAAAAGAGTCAACCTTTTTTATGTATTTTATCTCAATGTTATTATTGAACACTTTAAAAAGACATTCACATGACTAAGACTTGCAAAATCTGTATGTGGTTTTGTGAGATGTAAAACATTTAGATTTTATTCAACCAATGTCTCATTGAAGTGAACAATAACATCATATTCCATTCCAAAAAACTTATTTAGTTTAATATTTAAGATATTAAAAAGTTTACATTACGAATTTTTTGAATGATAGGGATAACACTGAGAACTTAAATATACATAGCCACTTGAAGTGTTTACAAATTTCCTCTCTGTGCCTGCTCTGCTTCAATTGCTTCAAAAAGAGCTTTGAAGTTTCCTGCTCCAAATCCCTGAAACAAATTATCTCTGCTTTCATCCTTCGTATACTAATGAGCAGATTTTTTATTATTTCCTGAATTCTATAATTACAAAGGCGTTATTTATGTATAACTTCATAACATCTAAAGTTATTGTTGTTTGAGTTTTCATTGCAACTCACTTCAATGGGTGTGTTTATGTTTATCTGTGGCATAAAGAGCAAGAAACAACACCACACGTCATCATCTTTGTAATCCATACAGTCTAATGACTCCATCATTTAATTGGTCATGGTTTTACTGTCCAATTAATTTACTCATCATGATACTGTGATTGCTATAGATATTGAGCTATATTTTTTATTCACTACTTTTGTCTATTGCAGTCATGATCATACAGCTTGCTTTGATCACTAAAAATGTTTTATGTGTTCAGACAATTAGGGTCCTTATTTGTTGCATATAGTTTCAAAAGTCCTATATGGATATCTCAAAATCATTTTAAAGTAACATATAACTCACAGTAATCACATCATGTTTTACTTTAACAAGTGGAAAGGTTTAGTCAGTTTACTTACATTGTGATTGTGACGCTGGATTACTTCTAAAAACAATGTTGGTCTGTCTTGCATGTTCTTTGTGAACAGCTGTAACAGGTAGCCGTTCTCGTCATAGTCAATGAGAATTTTCAATTCCTGTTCAAATAATAAAGATGTTTATTTAAAAAAGTTGTTAATAAAGTATGACTCAACATTGGAAGTGTGATTATTATTATTATTCATTATTTGACGTATTTCCCATTCTACTATATAACAATATTTCTCTGGGCAAACTTTCTGCAATATTTTATATTTATACTCTAATTTATAGATGTTTCATAAACAAATTCATAAAACTTGTATTCTTTATTAAAAAAGCATGATTTTTTTTATATGCCCTAAGTGCATTATCACACAGTCAAAAAACCTTAAGAAGGCATTTTGCAGATGTGGTGAAAATGCTGAAGCCTACTATCCTCAAAGTAACGGTACGTCAAGAGTCCAAGCCGATTCAGATTCAGATTTTCAACGGGAGGAATGGCACTTTAATTTAAATGGAAGTGGCTGTCAGTAGCTGACACTCAGCTACTGACAGCTGAGTCACAGCTGTGCTGAGTGGCTGTCAGTAGCTCACTTGCAGACCTGCTTACCGGAAATGAATTCTTTATTCTGGTTTCAGATTCCGATTCAGATATTGCTCGTACGCAGACTATTCAATTAAATAATGTTGGTTTCTATAGTAGTATATTTAATATTTCATCCTTACCTGAGGATCACCACTAAACGCTCTCCAGGAAAAATTTGTTGTTTATATAGGTTACACCAGTTACAATACGATGAATTTTAATTATCAGTTTCGGACTCCATTCAACGATTTAGAAAGAACCGTGCTCAATCATTTCTATGGGAAAAGATATATGTAATATAACATGAAAACCATTTTTCACTGGCTGTAACTTCACAACAGTTTCAGATTTCTGATATATTTAAAAAAAAGATATGCATGCTATCATTTTACTTGTTAATTCCTCATCCGACAACTCCATAACTATGACTGACTTACTTCTTATTTGCTAAGCTAACCGAGTCAGTACCACAGGCGTATTTTTCCTGCTTCCACTGTATTATTATACAGTATAGTATTATTCCACTGTGGCCACCAACAACATATTTGACTCAGGTTAACCATGTGTTGAAATTCTGAGTCTGAGGGTGCACTCTGGACCTACCATAAACATTGGGTCTTCCTTATACTTGACCACCCTCCTGGCATTAATCGAATTAGTGCTGTGGCTGTGTGCACAGAATGTTACTGTCAGGGGTGTGAGGAAGGCAAGTCTCAGGTAGTTGGCGATTCAGCGTCAATATTGAAAATGTTATTAAGTTATTTTCAATATTTTCTGCCATAATAGACCCTTAATTTCCTCTATCACCCCGCACCAGGCACAAGTGCCTTCTTAGGATTGTTTGACTGTACGGTATTTATGCCCACATATTCCTTTTACTACATGTTATTTTCTTCGTGCTCAAATTGTTTTAAACCTCAAATCGTGTCAAAATGAGACCACCTTAGAAATAATAATAAAAATGTGTCATCAAAGTGGAAGCTATTTCAAATGCTGTAGCATATTGTGCAAAAATAACTAGAAATAACCTAAAAGTCCATATCATCAGTGTGTTAAATAAACTGGTTAATTTTCTGTGCCATTTTTCAGCTACAGGTGGAATGTCAATATTTTTAAGACAACATTTATAAGTTGTTAGTGTTTTTACACGACAACTGTTGACAAATGTTGAAACTTGTGTCGGTTTCTTTGGTGGTATGTGCCAAATATCTGTTAATTTCACACACAATTTTGTTATGTTATTTACTCTTTTAAAAAAGATTCTATGATATTACTGCACCTGCAATTTGTCAATATCTTCAATGATGTTTACTTTGTCTGCCTTCAACCTTTCTCTAAGCATGTCATAATAAGTGTCTGGCACTTGAAGAAATTCCTGTCCTCGGAACTTGAGATTTGTAATCTAAAATTTAAAGATATAATGTAAAGATACAATACTGGAACCAAGAGTCATTCCATACCTAGGTTATTTATCACAGTGAAATACATTATGAAGCTAAAGCACAGTAAGTATATAATATTTTAGGAAAACATTTGAATTTAGCGAATTTCCTTTGTATGGAGCTATTATTGTTAGGGAGCTACTGATGTAGGTCGTATGGGGACTGATTTACTTTGGATTTCCCCAGAGGCCGAAAACATTATACTGCTTGAAATCATACTAAAATTTACTTAATCTGCAGGCTTGGTGAGGTTGGATTTAACAAAGTCCTGTGATAAACATAATTTTATTTTTATACAACTGGCTGCTCAACTGCCTCATCATGCAATTAGGGAGCTGTGTGAGCTGTATGCTAAGTACATACAGTCTTTTTTACAGCTACATAACTAATACACCTGCTGGACATAACTTTCAATAGGTTGGATTGATTTTTGGGTCTAGTTGTGTTAGACAGTAGAGCAGTATTAGTTGAATGTATGTTACACTAATGAACTGTTTCATTTAAAAAAAAAAAACATGTTCAAATGTTAAGTATTTAAAGATATCTAAAAATCTGTTCAGTTGAAAATACAAATTTATGACAATAACATATAATAATGCTAAAGATATATTGGGATGACATTTTTGGAGTTTAACATGGTCGCCATTTCAATGTATTAAAGTATTATGATTACTACTCAAATATACTGTAATTATATTTACATAAAAATAATATTGAAAAATAAAATATAGTCAGGTAATTATAGTAAATGTGAAGGCTCAATAAAAGTATTGAGACTTTTTGCAAAAAATCATCGTTAATATTTGAGCATTATATAATCAACCCAAATCTGTAATCGATTTTTTTTTACCACCTGCCTTGGTATTGTGTTGAAAACCTTACTTATGTGCATACTTTGACAACATTGTCAGAAAAAAATAATAACATGTGTGTGGGCACTGAAAAATACAAATGTCTGAAAAACCTAAATATTTGTGGGTGATTTGTACATTTTGTTAGTTTTTATTCTTTAAACCTTGTGCTCCAGAGGTATTTTGAAAAAAAAAACTTAATTTATGACTACAAATATCTTTGATGATACAATTACTCATAGCATACCGGTAATTGTTTTAATTGGATTTAATGGCGTTGAACAAGTTAACCATTGACAAACTTTCTTTGGTAGGAAAGAGGGTGTTTATGAGAGTTGATTTCAATGTACCTTTGAAAGATGGTAAAGTGACCAATAATCAACGCATAGTGGCTGCTTTGGAGAGCATTCGATATGCACAAAACAAAGGTGCAAAATCAATAGTACTGGCTTCTCACTTGGGCAGGCCAAATGGTATGACAAATCTCAAATACTCCTTGTTTCCTGTGGCTGAAGAGCTAAAGAAATTAATGAATTCAGAAGTTGGATTTCTTAAGGACTGTGTCGGTCAGGAAGTTGAAAAGGCTTGTGCTAATCCAAAAAGTGGATCATTAATTCTTCTTGAAAATTTACGTTTTCACGTTGAAGAAGAAGGGAAAGGAATTGATTCTGATGGTAAAAAAGTTAAAGCCATGCCAGAAGATGTAAAACTCTTTAGACAATCATTGAGAAAACTAGGTGATGTTTATGTAAACGATGCATTTGGAACAGTGCACAGAGCTCACAGTTCTATACTTGGGGAAGGGTACACAGAACGAGCTGCAGGATTTCTGTTAAAAAAGGAACTCACTTATTTTGGGAAAGTTTTAGAGACACCTGAGAAACCTTTTCTGGCAATCCTCGGAGGAGCAAAAGTATCAGATAAAATTTTGCTTGTAGAGAACCTTTTGATGAAAGTCCAAGAAATGATAATTGCTGGTGGAATGGCATTTACTTTCCTCAAAGTACTCAACAACATGGAAATAGGTGCTTCACTATTTGATCCAAAAGGTGCTGAGATTGTGAATAATATAATGGGTAAAGCGAAGGAAAGAAATATTCAAATTCATCTTCCAAGTGATTTTGTAACTGGTGATAAAATGTCAGACAACGCAAATATTGGGACTGCCACCATCAAGAGTGGTATAGACAAAAATATGATAGGCTTAGATATCGGACCAAAGTCTTCTGAGGACTTCAAGAAAGTTATATTAAGGGCTAGAACAGTAGTTTGGAATGGTCCACCAGGTGCTTTTGAGATCGATAACTTTTCAAGAGGTAGCAAGGCAATGATGGATGCTGTGGTTGGTGTAACGCAGACTGGAGCAACAACAATCATCGGAGGAGGAGACACAGCTACTTGTGCGGCCATGTTCAACACAGAAGACAGAGTCAGTCATGTGTCTACTGGGGGTGGAGCCAGCTTGGAACTGCTGGAGGGTAAAACCCTGCCTGGCATTGCAGCCCTCAGTGATGCTTGATTGCAGTTGATGGATTGGCAACAAGTAAATTGGATAGTTGAAGGAAATATAAATTATCTAATCTTAACATTGCTTTGCACTATTTCAGTAATTTCCTCATAGGCCTAATGTTTAACATATGTAATAATAAGTTAAGATAATCTACAATAGATTGTTCATTGATAATGTTTTTTCCTCATCGCGTTACATATTTCTTATGCAGTAAGTGATTCTCAGTCACCGATAACAATACTACAAATTCAGGATATAGTTGCACCCAACACCAAAACCAGAAATATATGATATGGGGTAGCCAATAATGATGCAATGGGAGGTACAGACACTTACCGCCGAGATGATGTCATCGGTGTTGAGAGCTATATGTTGCACTCCAGCACCTCCATAATAGTCGACATACTCTGCAATCTGACTCTTTTTCTTTCCCTCTGCTGGCTCGTTTATTGGTATCTATATAGATAAATTAGTATCTCTCTGTTATTAATTGAGTAAAGTAAAATTATAAGACCGATCAGATTACATATATTTCATTGCTTATATTTAGGACAAGGATTTTTCTTAAAAAATGGACATAAACTATTGAAATATGTAGAAATGTGATGAAATACATAAACAAAAAAAAACATTCATAGGCTATTTACATGAATTCATGAAAAAAATCCTGCATTAAAAGATGCATCAAAGATTTAATTCGGGTTAGGGCCGGCTAGAGGGTGGGGCTAGAGTCCCGGGGCCCAGGGTTCCGAAGGGGGCCCGGCACAGTCAAATGTAACATTTTGACTGTACATTTAATCTGACAAAGTTTAAACAAATTTAGGATAGTTGTTCAGTTCACTAAGTAATTTTTGACTTGAATTGTGTAATTAAAGTTTTGACTTGCTACCTAGTTTTTTTTACTTGAATAAAGTTGCAACTGTGAGCACGTGAATTAATCAAATAACTATCAAGCATTTAAGAAATGTATTGTTATTTGTGTAACAAAATGGCACGGAGGCGGCTGTACTTATAGTCAGGAACATAGGGGCCCCTGACATCTCTCGCTGGCCCTGATTTGGGTGGCCAGTTTAGTCTGCAAATTTGTAAAAATCAGTATAGTTTATTCAGGATGGATGTTTTTTCAACCGGTACTCTGATATTTTTTCATATTTACAAAACTATTAGGCATTACAATAGAAATGTTTCATTTTCATCACAAATTTAAAATAATTCTCAAGTTAAAACATCTATTTGGATATTTTTGAATAAATTTTAAGTAAATCGTCACAAATTAACGTTTGATGAAAGTATATTTACATGAATAATGTATAGGCCTAGTTGAAATTTGAAATTGAAACCAATAATGAGTTTTCCTAATGTATGCATATTGTTCAGAAAGTAAGGAACGTTTCCGTCTGACACCAAAAGGTTTGCGCTGGTCACACACTTTCTAATACACACGTGTTTGCCAACTCGATGTCCAGCCATCACACTGGAATTGTCATTGTGCTGACCGTTGTCACAAAATTAACGTTTGAAAAGTATGCTGCAATTTAATTGTGTTCTGCCAGTTGTGAGGTGCAGTCTTTAATATGGTTTTTGTTGGCATTACATAAAAATAAAACAAAACCTATTAAAATTTATCCTCAAGGGTGTTGAGTGTAGAAAAACAGTGTAGTTAACAAAAGTTCGGTCCTAAAATTCATTCAGATTAAAAATGGCCAAACAGAACGTTGCTGTCCAAAGTTTTGTTTTTGTATGACAGTTCCCGACCTCTCGTTTCAAATCCCAATCATTTAAATGTATAATGTATTAGAAATTACTTAAGGTACCATGTATTCTAAGAAATCTACTTAATTTTTAATTATATTCATGACTAAGAAACACCATCATTTAGACATCAAAAGGTTGTGAAATGAAATGTTTTAAGAACTCTGACCTTTACAGTCTCATCCCAGTTGGTCATAACAATAGACCTGAGTGCAGAGTAGTCAGTGTGGAGCTGGGAGTCATCTACAGACCAGAACCTATGGAACTCAAGGTTATTTTCATACCTGTCAGCAAACAACAACAGTATGTTAACTTTTACGGTTTGACTCTGAGGGATAAATTTTTCCTCTATATCCTTGTATATTGTACGTTTACACCACTGGCCTTATGATTTATAGCGTGGCATCGTAGTAAAAGAAGGCACAGTATACTAATGAATTGTAGTGTTTCCAATGGGAGTAAAACTTTCAACATATAGTAAATCCAAATCAGTGGTGTAGTGGTGCGGGAACGTATGGCAACGGCGTTTCCACTCTGCTTTTTCCAAAGAACCTATAATTGGTAAGCGACCTGTATTTTTTCTGTGAAAATGGCAAGCGTTCCCACACAAAAGAATTTACGACTACACCACTGATCCAAATCTGCTAAAATCATATGAAGCAGCTAAGGTTTGCTGATGTACTACCAACTGAGTTACAAATCAATGCACCATTTGAGGTTACATTGTATTTTAGTGTAGAATGGAGTGAGGTGTGTTGAGTAGCTTTGTTACTATGACTAAAATCATCAGTTTCTTTTCCCAGGACCATTAAAAGCTCAATGTTTAAGGACAATGTGGTCCGGTTTTAAACTATTAAAAAAAAGCTAATAAGTAAAGTTCTCATGATCAAACTGGCAACGTTTTGATTCCTAGGTGCAAGGCAAAGACTATATACACATATAACCATCCGGTGGGTAGCTAACATAAACAAATACAGTAGAATTAAATATAGAACGACAGCAGTGCTGTGGTTAGCATAACTTCTGGCGTCCACCGCTGAGAGTGCAATGTGTGTTAGGCTATAGGAAAACCAACATAAGCCTGCCATTTTAGGCATATATTATTATTAAGTGTTTTGTTGTTTTTGACTCTCTTCCAGATTAATGTTGTGTGTGCAATTTTATGTAAAATAAAACCCATGTTAGTTCAGTGTGCATGTATTATTTTATAAAAGTTACCGTACCGTACCACAAAGAGTAATAATGATCTTAATGAAGATCATAAACAGTGTGTAGTTAAGGTGTATGCGCTACGTAACTACATGGCGCTCCCAGCTGTTGACGCAAGATCTTATGCTAACCGCAGCACTTCTCGGTCTATATTTAATTCTATTTTTCTATGGTACCTACTGTAGGCGAGAGTTAAGAAGTCCTCTGAGCGCTGGCCTATTCTAAAAATGCAGGCGCTTGCTACTCGACGGCTGCGCGGGTTACTCAAGTTCCACGCGGCAGTCAGGGCTCACATCCACTGAGTTAAAACCAATAGAGCACCTGCAAATACCGCACGGCAACATACAAACATTGCTGCATATCACTCTGGCTCAGAGGACTTCTTAACTCCTACGGTAATTGTACAGTACCATTCAGCCACAGATTCCATGGAGTGGTCGGGTTGATTTCCAACGACGTGGTCTATGAAATTCAGTTTACCAGGTGGCCTGAAATCAAACAAAAGGGGTGTTTTAGAGGGAGTGTCCATTTATCTAGGCCACCATTAATAATATATGCATTAACTATTAAATTTATAGAAATTGATCAATTGTCATATGTAATGTACATATCCTGCCACAGCAACAGACATTTAATTTATCTATAGATCAATCCAACCACCAGAACAAATCACTAATGTTTGACTGGCCATATAAGGTAGGCTACTAAAAGATTTAATTCAAGTATTTTTTATATTTATTATACAGTTGAATCGTAAAAAATTAGTACTTACAGTTTATTTAAAAGGTGGTCTTGTACTGAGGATCTGAAACCTGGTAGGAAAATGCCAGAATACTGAGAACGGTCTACCAACGTGTGGGTCGTGTCGCCAAACTGTGGTCAATTTTAAACAAGCATAAAACATTAGTAAATCAATTACCAAAATATTTTCATGGTGTTGTAATAACAAGTTAAGAGTTTAAAAAACAATTCATGTAATACCATTTTTCATGTAGCACATTTGAGGTGTCTAATAATAACAAGGAATTTTTAAAATTTGTATCAATATGTTATTTTACTTACTGTTTGAATCTGTGCCAATCGTACGGTGCCATTTTCATCAGATTCTTCCGAAATATCCTTTATTAATTTGGCTCCTCTCGCTTTAGCTACCTATGAAGAACAAATCAAAATCACATCAATTTAACTTAAAACTGTAGGCTACCCTATTCATCATGAGCTTGAAAAAATACATTCTGATATCTGCTACAACCTAAAAAAATTCAACTAGTAACTAATAATGGCGTTTAGTTTCCTGACTTCTTTGAGTAGTTAAGTGTTAAATTTGGCTGTAAGCCTGCTGTCTAGGGTTTCTTCTGCAAGGAGACAACACCCTTGATTGAGATCTCTTTTGTTTGATGGTTCTTGTCCACAACTCATAAAGAACATGAACATATTTATATGTTTTACTCCAACATATTTTAAATGTTGGACTATTGTCAAGGCACTGATGTGCACCCACATAGATCAAAGCTAAATTCTAGTGACAAACCAGAGAATGGTTCATTCAAAGAAGACCTGGTGACACAGAATGTCTTGAGAGTGTGATTGTTGTCTCTCTAGAGGTATTCTGTGGTTTAACTAAATGCTTTCTCTCTGCCTTGTTTGAACCATGAGGCACGTAATAAAAAATAGTGCATTTATTATTTTAACGAAATTCAACACACTCTTTTCCTTAAATCGTTCCTCAGCATTTCCTTTTCTAAATTGTATCTCAACCTCAACCTCTTGTTGAATTCATAGAAACACAATCAATAGTCCTTTAATTTCAAGAGCCATAAAAATATAAATTGAAAACCCCAGTTACGGTACCTCAACAATAGTATCAAGATCCTCGACTTGGAAAGCGACATCTTTGACTCCATCTCCATGAGTGACTAGGTGAGGTCCCATCTCAGGATCATCAGGCTCATAGGCTGACATGAGGACGAACACAATCTGTCACCAAATAACTGCTTACACTTTCTAGTTCAAGGAGACAATTATTGTTCTAGAAACATTTCTCATCACATGAGAACTGATTGAGTGACTATCAAGACTTCTGTATGTGGTTTTACAAAAAAAGCACATAGTATATTTAAAAATAACACAAAAAATTAGGACTCAAGTGAACTCACTAAAAGTTATACTTGTAAAACGTAAGTACAGCAAATCAAACAATTTTCTTTCTGTGTACAGACATTCTTAATTTTTAGTTTGCTTGCTGCAAGTTGCTAATCAAGTTTTGTGATAGTAATTATTTTTTAGACTTTCTTTTATAATTGTTATCAACTACATAGCTAAACTATTTGGTAAATCTGAAAAATATCGTACACTGGTCTTTCGATAATGTGGCACGGATATCGATAATAATTTTATGTGGTCTTTTTAGTCTTGAGTTTTGTTTTTAGTTTTAGTACTGTACTTTGTGACAATTTCACCTGATAAGCTTTGCTGAATTTTGTAATGTAACGTAATGTGAAAATAAAGGATTGACTATTGACACCTATTGTAATGTGACTGTGACTATATTAAATCTGGTCAGGTACAGGTACAGGACAGGTAATCCGTGTCAGATTACTGAAAATATCTATGGCCATAATACCACCTGAAAACTATCAGGTGGTACCTCTCAATGCTGCTAGATGATGTGTCATAAGAGTGAAAACAGCCTTAACTGTGATGTTATCGAGTTAAATTTATGTTACCGTACTGTTTTGGTAATAAAAAGGTTAATAAACCTAATTAAAAATTAGACCAGCAATAATTATCTCTTTGTAGGTATATTATTCATTGTACACAATGACAATATCCCTTTTTATTGTTTGGATGGACAAAATATAGTCTTTTTCATTTAAAATTTAAAAAATCCATAATATATTTTTGGTTTAAGTCGCGAAAAAATTAAATAATCCCAAGATGATGAAGAATTATCGGGCATTCTAGACCATCGGTTGCCGGACTAGCGGAAGTTTACTGTAATTAGAAACAAGTTTACAAATCAACCGAATGTACACAACAATAATCATCAAACACGACGGAAGACCTTGTTCATCTTTACCTTGTTTTGCTTCACTGCATGAGCTGCAAATCTTCTGCAGCCTGTCTCCAGACCTTTGTACGCCAAGGGTTCAAACCCCAGACGAGTGCAGTAGTAACTAGCAGCCTAGGCATGGTAATGGTGATATATAAACATTATATAATCTGTGTCCTTAAAAATTATCTGAGTTTTATTCTCTGCTAATGGAAAAATTTACTTTTTGCACAGAAATTGTTAAAATGATATGGAAACATCTAAATGTTTTTTGCAATGTGTGTAATTTTACAAACCAAATGAATATTGAGGTCGTTTATATGAAGCAGCAGCTATCATAATTTGGTTGATGTCAATTTGATTTTTTTTAAGAATTTGGTAAATACACTGTTTATTTACTTATATTCACTTATATTCACTTTATTCACTTATATATAACATTAAATGTTTTAACTTACGGTACATGTCAAAGTACCCTTCATCAGTTAATTTTACGTACAGATTTAATAGTTAATTTAGCATTAACCATTGATAAAGTTAAAACAGTGATTTGACTGTTGATAGAAGTATCCAAAAGTCAATAAGTATAGAATATTATCCCATTATAATATAATACTAGGGAACCTGGCGCACGTAATCGTGCGCAATCTTGATATAGGAGAAGAAGGATTTGTATTGATCTTTTTTATTTGGCGTTTTCTAGTTTATTGGTTCTAATGTTAAAGTTGGGGATGTTAAAACGTCTAATTATGAGTTCACAGTTTGTTGTTTTTGTTTGTTTTTTTGTTTTTTATTAGTTTTTTGTTGCTGTGAAAGTCAGTAAAAGATTCTCTGTTGATTAATCGATTATCGATGATAACCTAAATGATAAACCAAAGCCTCTCGCTCCCACCACCACCTCTGGCTTAAGTCTTGGACTTATTTGCCAGGCCAATTCACCATGAAAAATTGTCTTTTTTAGGCTTCGGCCACTTTCAATCCTTGTCCAGACACACTATGTGTCCAAAACCCTAACAGCATAACTCCCTCCCCCTACCACCCTGAACAATAGGGGTCATTGGGATTCGCTCTAACCTTTCCTCTCCCCTTCATTTTAAAATGTTTGTCATGATGAGAAATCTTGCGCAAAACTATCCATTCTTTCATAAATTGCCCTTTAAGGTCGTAATTCCTTTCTAAAGGTAACTTTCCATATACCTAATGTTAAAAATACCTCAACTGTACTTATTTGTTTGTTATTCTTTCAATTTATTACCTAATTATTAAAATCAGGTGTGATTATTTGTTTGTATTACTGTATTCTGTTTTGTTTATTTTAGCTTAACTTAACCAATAAATAGTTTTAATGTAATCTTTGGTTTTATTAATACTTTTGAAGTCAAACGTGGTGAAGCAAGGCCACACTAAACATACTTATATTTATTATTAGTGTAAATTTGAAAGTATTCATCTGTTCTAATGTAAACAAACATTTTCTCCCTAAGAATAACATATGGGAACTTTGAAGGCCACAGGAGCAGAGCCCTGATGGAATTTCAAAAATTGTTTGTTTGATGGCAAATCGATATACCACGCCACGACCTATCCAATGGCACCTTAAACATGGTCATTGGATGCATGGCAGCTTAAAAAAAAATATCACAAAATTCATGTTGGCCTATTAAATATATACCGAGATAACATATAAAATACAAGACTTACTTGTACACAGTTGTACATATAACCTTACATAATTTTGTCCCACCTCATTAGGTACCTTACCTAATGTTAACACACTTGTTGGAGTGTGATTGACTTTTAAGAATGGATTGTAAATCAATTGTTGTTAAAATATATCAACAACAATTTTGTGGTAGTAAGTATAATCAAGGCAACACTCTGTTGCCTTGGTATAATGCTGACCTGCTTTGCATTTCCAACCCAAAATGTTAGGTGGTCAAAGTTGAGGAACTTTCCTCCTTGGGGCTGTAACAAAATCAAAAAATTAACTTGACATCTACAACTATTTCTGGTTAAATAAGAATTTGAAATTATAAAAAAATATCTCTGCCGCAGCAAACCTGCAGACTAAGCAAATTCCCATTTTCCTTTACTTGATTTTTACTTTTCCTTTAAAATATCATTAAATATGTCAGAATCATTTAATTTTCTATCCAAACAACATAAGGGAAATTGTACACAAATTTTACATTTTAAATAGGGTTCAAAACTTGTTTTGGTGGCAAAACAAATAATGCAATACCTTTTACTTTAAGGTGCAGGATCCATGCTGCACAGTAATCAGGATTCAAATGCCGTGGTGTGTATTATGTATTATAGGAAGGGGTTTTTATGTGTGATATTCTATGGGCCCTAGGTCACCAGTTTTGAGCGTGGGTGTGTGAATTTATTTTATACGTCCTAAAAATTAACGTCTACACTCAATTATTTTTAAAATCTGAAGTTTAATTTTCAAACTGGTAGGTACGCTTCATTGAGTTATTTTACTAAAACTATTAATAGAATAGAATAGATATAAATAAGAAAAGAATAAGTCTCCATAAAAAGTCTCTAGATTATTAAACTCCAATCTGTGTAAGTTGATTAGTTAAATTTGAAATAGGCCTACATATAAAAAAAATAAAGTGCTGTATTTAATTCACACTCAATGAATAGTATTCTACTAGAACCTTCAATGTTAGTTAAAATATGAATTTACTTTGCTTTTACTTCAAATCAATAATTATTAATAGCCTACACATAGGCAATAGGGGTTTTCATACATTATTTGAGTGAAAATTTAAAAACGTACGTTTTCAGAAAAATCACTTTTAAAATTTTTTGTTCCGTTTTTTAAAACTTTTTTTATTTTTTTTATTTCATTGACATTTGAAGTTTCATAAAATGTCCATGGTAATGCAATATCTTTGGTGATTTTTTATAAATAGAGCATCTTTGATGGAAAAACACGAAATTTTGTCACGACCATCACGGACATAAAACTGAATATTAAAAATAGTTAATATTATTTTTATAACTATGTTTTGCTATAAATTAATTTACTTTTATGGCCATTATACAATAAACAGCTCACTAAGCTTTTGGTATATTTGGTATTTCTAAAAAAAAATAAAAAAAATAAAAAAATTGAAAAAAATATAATAACATCTTTTAAGTTTGTATAACTCCGAAAAAAACTTACCTGAGACCCAAAAAATCGTTATGTTTTTATAGAGGTGTGCTTCTTTTGTGTATAAAACATTGATATATGATGATATTTTAATTTTTTAAATTTTTATGATAGAAATCATCAACGTGATGGTCAGGGACAAGCGGTTCGGTCGTGAATTGTCTGGAATAATATAAATATTTCTAAACAATCCTTCAATTATACTGTTAGTTATAATAAAAATATGTGTTTCCATTGAATTAAACTGTTCAATTTACAATGATATTTAAGTTATTGTCACAACCAAACACAGTATAATCCATAAGGCTGGATTGGTAGTGAAAAAATCCGCGATGGTCGTGAAACTTTGGTCGTGACATTACGTGTTATTTGGCTCTGTTCTGGCGGTAGCCCTGCACCTCATGTTTGAGGATACAAAGTGGACTTCTAGGTTAATGTAGCAATTGAAATATCATATCAACAAAAATTAAAACCACATCTACTTCATCAAATGACTACTTACGGTCATGGACACACCAAAATTACAAAAAACACAAACTTACCTCTATTAATCTTGTAACTACTTCTTTCAACACAAAACGACCGGCACAACAAACTTGACGTACACCCCTAACTAGTCTCTAAAACGAACTGACGCAATCGACGCCGGGCTTGCCACTGTCGTGCTCCAAAGTTGCAAATTTTTCCCAAATGGTCGTGACGCCAAATCGAGGGACAGACTTATTTTGTCATGGTAGTCAGGTTGCAATGACAATAAAATTATAATATGCTCCTTTTTTGTAAGTTTAATAACTATTGATGACATAAAAATATGGCTTTATATATTTCGGCATGAATAATTAGTCTAAAAAACAGCGTGAAAGTTGGAAAATGTACCCTAGGGACACGTCATGGTCATGAATTTCGAGACTTTAATAATACGAAAAATGTACCTAGAACCTATTTAAAACCAAATAAATGTGTGTAACATGTTGCCCCCGTCCCAAAAATATTAAAACACATAATAATAAACTACAAATCCAGTATCTACGAAGTAAAAGGCCAGGGACATGAAAACGTACGTTTTTAAATTTTCACTCATTTACAATATATTTAAGGTATAAAATAAAATAAATAAGTAAAATAATGCTCTTACCTTCGGGCCTTTGTCTGTGTATGTTGTCTGAAAAAAAGAATAATATACACTTTTGACTTATTTTCTAAATAAACAACTATTTATTTGCTGGCAAATAGGAAATCTCAAAGAATGTCAACTAAAGTACACTTCTGAGAAATAAACAAATCATCTGTAGACTATTGATAGAACAATATAATCCATCCCCATGTCAAAGTTGTTGCCAGATTTGAAGTCAGAAAGTGAGCGACAGACAGATTGCGCTGATATAAATGATTGATTTCTGTACAATATTCAAACTTAATCAAAGTCAAAATGATGAGACAACTTTTTGAAAGCCAAATCATTTTTAATGCCACATCAAATATCTCAGTAAAACATAATAGTCAATGGTATCAGTTAACCAGAGATAAAAAGTTCTCCCTTAGTAGATTTCTCATCCTTATTGATCAGCTGTAGACAATTTTATTGTTAGTTCCCTCCGGTTAATAGGTCGTGTTTTGTTTAATAGTTTTTCTTGTTACATATTTCAGTAATTTAAAACCTCATTAAGCCAAATCGATCTAATCTTAATCAATAACTCGATAAATAAAACAACAGGTAATTAGACACGGAATATTCCATAATTTTCTTCAAATAATAAATAATATATTTTGTAATGCATTATTAATTATTATAAAAAAGCATAAATATGAAAAAATAAGATTTAGATTTAGCTCTCATAAATCAATATAATTATTGTGAATATACATGTGTGTTAAGAATGTTTAGTAACTGTTCCTAGCAACCTAATTTTTATTGTTTTTTATAAATTTATTTACGTGAATCCATATGAAGAATTTCTTTTTCTACCTACCATTTCCACCTCTGGACTCTTTGACAGCTTCTTTCACACTAACTTCTCTCTCTTAAGTCCTGGAATTGGAATACATAATCAGCTGATGTCCCCAAGGCCACTTAACCAGATCAGCTGGTAAGGATTAAATAAACAGTAAACAGTAAACATCAACAAGTTACCAGCTCTACCACATTCCTCCTTGTTAGTCTGACTTTTTAGAACAACTGTGGTTCTTCAGGGTTTCAAGAAGGATTACACACAATATGTCTGTGTTCTACATATATTATCTAACATATATTTGTACAACTGAGTGACATGCTCATGCTAACAATTTTAAACACTTATAACTATAATTTAAGAATCTTGATTTTACAAATATTTAAATAATTGTGTGTGGAAATAAATTAGTTCTTCAAAGGTTTTACAGTATTTACTTTTAAATACTATAACTCTATACCCTACTGTAACTATATTGTTTTGTAAAATAAAAATAAGTCTTTATATATTGTAATAACAATAATGGTGCAGTGATAAAAAGGAATTTACCTACCACAGTTTTTAACTAGCCTTTTTAATTATATAAAAAAATATATTCATTTTACCACATTGTTTACTTACTTTACAGCATTAGTGTGGTAAAGTAACGGGACCGCAATGGAATTCAATGATTGAAAGAAGAGGAGTAAAATTTCAAGGCTTCAAACACCATTTTATCAGGTGATAATGACCAATTCGATTGTTGATCTGTCAACTTCCTCCAAAAACTAACACATACACTACAATTCTAACCTAGGATGAACTATTGACTATACACAGATTAGACTTCCTATCCAGTACAAATTTGAAGCCAAAAACCCGTGGTGCAATCTACTGAGTAATGACAATATTCTCTGTAGAGTGATAGATCAATCAGCTGTTTGGCATGGATTTTAATTTAATTTTTAAAATAAACCCAATAGGCCTACACTAGTACCCTGTGGTGAGATGGCCATGAACTTAATCTATTTTCTTGGCTTCAAATTTTTATATTGGATGGGAATTGGGAAGTCTACTCTGAGTCATTGGATGAACTAAACGATTTACTAACCATAACCAACAATTGTGGGAAGATTTATTACAGAAATTCGGCATTTAATATTACTAAATAGTTATTTTTGCAACTAGTGAGCAAAGTGAGCAATTGCCCCACTCGAGAGAAATCCTTACTCACGAGCCGTAGGTGAGTGAGGTATGGTTTCTCGAGTGAGGCCATTGCACTTTGCACTCGAGTTGCACATTATATTTCTCCTACAGTTACCATAAAACAAAAAATATATTGTCTACTTGTACCAATAAATACCCCCGCCGCAGCAAACCTGACGCCTAAGCGAATTTCCATTTGGCTGAATTGATTTTCAATTGATCTATTTAAATAACATTAGGTTTAACGAGTACCTAGGTTTGCTGCTACAAGGAAACTAATAAAGTGTGTGTTTTAAGTAAAATAATTATTGCTTAGTATAAAATGAATATATTTGCCAAGTTTGATCAAAAGATATCCATAAACAAGCAAACTACAACATTTTACAATATTCTCCATAAGAATAACATGGGAATTTTAAATTTACCATTTTTTTAGTTTTCTCCGTAACCAATAACCGTACAAAAACACTTTGATATACTGAATTGTTTGTTTTTTTAAGCTCTTTAAGAAGGTTTGGAGAAAAATTGGGAAACTTTGTGTTTTGAGGGTCAAAAGTGAGAAAAACCAATTTTTACCCCATAAAACCCCCCGTAAAGCCCTGTTCCCATGGTCCGATCATGCTGGATCGCGAACTCATTCAAGTTTATCCCGCCTTACACCTTCAAACCAAATTTCATCAAAATCGGATAAAAATTACTCAAGTTATCGTGTTCACGGACACATATATATATATACATATATAAAAATTTGAACGAGTGGTGTTTTTGGCCTCTGGGGACATCAAAATGAAAAAGTAAATCGGTCCCGGGCCTAAGTCTTACCATGAGACCTACGGTAATAGCTACTTCCCTATAGGGAAATTCGCTAAAAGTAGACAAAAAACAGCGTCTCATAAAAAGGACTCACAATAAACGACCTTGTATACCTGTGCTTCGCAACAGGGGGAGTACGCAAAAGCTAATATTGCTGTTCTTTAGATTTGCTGTATGAAATAGTTATACTTCACTATTTATTTACTTTAGAAAAAAATACTTATTTGACCACTTAGTGTAGTAAAATTCTATTCTTTAAAATCAGACAAGATGTCAACATCTTGGCAACCCTGATGGTGTTGATGCGTGTTTAAAGTTACTTTACTCTATGGTTTAATTTGAAAAGATAGGTAAACTTATTTTAAAGTGTAGATCTACTTACTTTCAAAACCGTACTTACATACTTGAAGTCAATAGATCCATAAGAATATGAAAACGAAAACCATACCACAGCAATAAAAACAATTACTTCATATGGTTGAGGTTGATAGGTAGATAAACAAGTTATTTTACCCTAGTTCTTCAATTTTTGTAAAGCCTCTTTAACTGTAGCTTATTATATAAATTACAAAGAGAACTATATGAGCAAAATTCTACAAAATTTTCACTAACTTTTTTTAATTAAACATACCACTTGACACCCTTACTATACAACTCACACATTGGCAGATCGGCTCCTCACCGTATGCTACCAGTGGACGCTGCAGCGGTGTGCACCGTAACTACACGTGCGCTCCTACCGGTGGATGCCAGAAAATATGCTAACTGCAGCACTGCTGTCGGTCTACATTTAATTCTTTTTGTAAATGATTTACAATCAAATCAAGGCCCTATCGGTCTGCGTGGCAGAGCTACTAGAAAATTTGTTCATACTAATAATCTTTTGGAAAATCTACACACTCTGCGCTTTATTTTGATGTGCCATATGCCTGTGTTTTAATTATGTTAATGACCTTAAACTATGACCACAAATTTTAATGTATCACTTTAATCCTGTAATATATAGTATAATAGATGTGTCAAAGAGGAATTTGTTACTGCATGCTTTAATTGTTTTTATTCTCATATCCTCCACAAAACTACTTATTGTTCTCCTTTTTAATTTAGTATATTAAAGTGCTTAATAATGGAGGACACAATAAAGTTTTGTAAAAGAAAGCAGAGCCTAGCATAAAATAAATTCTTTGTCTGTAAACTGGTCTCAAAGCTCCTTTAGAGAGCTCCTGAGAGAAATTTACATTGGAATGTGTTTACTGAAGAGGACCAGTTCAAGTGCCAAGTTTTATTTGCTATAGCAACAAACAAGATTTTTTAAATGTTTTCTTGTTTGGAACTGTACAATTGTAACTGATTTTCAAAATCTAAAACAAGGTTTAAAAACCAGGAAAGAATTGTTGGCCTTGCATTGATTTGTAAAAACAAAATTTTTACAACATTTTTGGGGTAGCTCCTCAACAATTAAAGCTTTTCTTCGAGTCCATTTTGTAAAAAAAATGTCTTAACACCTATTCCAAGGGTTGCAGCGAATTTTCCTGTAGGTATGTCACTATTTTAATACTAGGGTATTTCTTTATTTTTTATGGTAACTTTAAAATAAAAGCCAGAGTTTTTTTAGCCCATGTGCTGCAATATGACTAAGAAATATGTTTTACCTTTGCCCATTCAGCTCAAAAGTTGTAACTGTTGTTTTGGTAACTTTGGCATTACAATACCATTGTTGTAGGGTACAGCTCGTGACATCTAAGCTGGCACTTGGCCGATCGCTACTAGTACCTATTTCAAAAACATTATGTCGCATCATGCGGGTTGCATCAACTGTCCTCGTGACCCATATGAAGGCGCTCAAGTACATAATGCAAGGGAAGTCAACCCTGTGAGGCAGCGGAAATGTTTGCAGTCCGGTCTTTTCCCTACCTCCACTCTCCTCCCTTCTACACTGCCCGCGCTAGGCCAAGTGCCAGCTTAGATGTCACAAGCTGTACATGCATTTCTCAGCTGTTGCAGCGACGTCAAAATAAAAATATCAGTCGGGGTATTGCTCGGATCGCAGCAATGTCTACCAGAACCATGTGTGCAGCAGGTCTGTTAGTTTTTGTAGTGTTTATTATTTTGTAAATATTCTCTGTGTTGTGTGTTTAACTTCTACAACGTTGCTTCAGCCAAATATTTGAAGATGAAATTGTAATGCCAAAATGACGTAGCAGAAATTAAAATGTTTAAGCTGTAGATGAAGGTAAAGCCTTTGCTTAATATTGCTCACAGGTGTTTTCTTGAGGACTCTTAATATAGACTAACTCAAACAAGGAAATTATTTAAACACACAAACTATTTGTCGACTAAGGTATAATATTGCAAAATTCTACAAAATACAGCACACATAAATTGACCAGATGACAGACTAGAGTTTTAGTGAGTGTGAACGCTGAGTCTCCAACAGTTTCTCCAGCCGAGCACATTGTTCTAGGGCAGCGTCTCGCTGTTTGGTAACCAACACCAACGCTTCTTCTTTTTTGCTGATTGCTTCTTTCACTCTGGAATCAACAAGTTATTCAACATATTTGCTTGAATGCATGGCTAATGTGTCAAAATTACCAAAATAATTTAGAGGGGCTCTGGTTAAATTCAACATCAGAAGAGATAGTAAATTAGTTTGTTGTTTTCGTATGAAAAAAGCTAAGTTGGTTGGGTAAAAGACAGTTCTTTGAAAAGGAGGTTGAATTTCATGTTGAGGACTTTAGGTGTCATCAAATTTCACAAAATTCGAAATTATAACTTGTCATTTTAAGTGATTTTAAGTGCTTCTTCTGTATGTCACTGTTCTTAAAAATTATTTTAAACAGGGATAACAATTAGAATACTGTGGAGCTTTTCATGGTAAGATTTTTAGAATCCACACAGTTCCCTTGGTTTTTTCCTGTACAGTAGAACTACAATCATCAGAATCAATTGGTACCGGACCCCATAAGGATTATTGAAAATTCAGATAGTTGGAATTTTAACCAAAATAGGCTGAGCATGCCGGGCTTTTACTTTTACAATCGCAGAACGCGTCTGCAAGGATTTCGGGATAGGAAAATTTACGCTTTTGTCGCGACCCTGGTATACAATTATGATTTTTCGTAACCGCGGGTGACTTTCTGCGATCGCGAAAACGATGACAATGTTACGGTGACCGTGGGAAACAATTATGGTGTCTACATGACCGTGAGATATATTTAACATTTTGATACGATAGCTAAAAACGACGACGATGTTACCGTAACCACGGTAGACTATGATGGTGTCCACACAACCGTGGGATATATTTAACATTTTGCCGCAATAGCTAAAAATGACTATGTTTCCGTGACCACGGGAGAGGATATTGGTGTCAATAGGATTACGAGACAGGTATTACTCACTTTACAATACAGTAGGGTAAGTTGAAGTTTTCAGCTAACACTCACCTGGTATAAACCTGTTGCAGTTGCTTCTCCTTGTCATTGTGTATCTTGTTTACCTGTTCCTGGAAAAATTGCTTTGTTTCGCTCAATTCCTGCTGCAACTTGCCCACCTTGGCATCACAATGCTGTAAAGTCTCGTTGTTTTCTTTCCTTATTTTTTCAATGGTCTGCAACATGTAATTTATTGTAGGTAAGGTAGTCAACATATAGTCCAGGACCTGACTAGAATTCTGTGTGCATGTCGTGTATAGAGAATTTTGCTTTTGCATTTCAATATAGGTGTCTTAGGAAGTGTTTTCCACTTGGGTGTCAAGTTCGCACCTTGTACGTTTTCGAGCTATGACGTCATCAAAATGGCGGCCATTGATTTTTTTAAATCGTATATTTCGCAAACTATTTGTCGGATCGGAATGAATGTTTTTTTGTTTGAAAGATAATTTTAAATGCTACCTGTTTTACATTTACACATTTGTTGTATGTTTAGTACATTCTTCGTAATTTTGCAAAAACCTGTATTTTTAAATATTTTTGAGTTGTTTTTGTTTGTAACGTTTTATTGATACAATTTATCAAAAACCACCAATGAAAAAAGTTGTAGAACATTTAAAAATCTTTACAAAAATACCAAATTCGATATGTTTTACTCAAAAGATTACGTCAAGAAACTAGATAAATCTCATAAAAACACCAATTTTGGCGCAAAAACGCCTATTAGTCCGGCCTCTAGGGCAGTTCGCAAGTCTTATAAAAACAGTTTCGCCATTCAATGTTGATGTACGTGTCTAAATAAGGGTTTTCAACTCGGGTGTCACGTCTGCACCCACTGCAGTTTCCGGTTATGACGTCATTAAAATGGCGGAAAGGGCTATATTAAAAATAACGATATTTTACATACCATGTATTGGATCGGAATGAACTTTTTTTTGTTTGAAAGATAAGTTTACATGCTATCTTTCTTACATTTGCACTTTTGTTTTATGTTTAGTACATTTTTCGTAATTTTGCAAAAACCTATATTTTTAAACATTTTTGTGTTATTTTTGTCGATAACGTTTTATTGATACAATATATCAGAAATAACTTATAGACAAAGTTGTAGCACGTTAAAATAGCTTTACAAAAATACCAAATTCGATATGCTTTACTCAAAAGATCACGTCAAGAAACTAGAAAATCGTACAAAACAACCTAATTTTGCGCAAAAACGCATATAAATCCGACATCGATGGCTGTGTTCGAGTCATATATAGACAGTTTTACCATTCAATGTTGATGTATGTGTCTAAAGAAGTGTTTTTAACTCGGGTGTCACGTCTGGACCCACTGCAGTTTCCGGTTATGATGTCTTAAAAATTGCTACATGTTACGATTTCACCAGCTTTTGAGTAAAGCATATCGAATTTGGTATTTTTGTAAAGCTATTTTAACGTGCTACAACTTTGTCTATAAGTTATTTCTGATATATTGTATCAATAAAACGTTATCGACAAAAATAACACAAAAATGTTTAAAAATATAGGTTTTTGCAAAATTACGAAAAATGTACTAAACATAAAACAAAAGTGCAAATGTAAGAAAGATAGCATGTAAACTTATCTTTCAAACAAAAAAAAGTTCATTCCGATCCAATACATGGTATGTAAAATATCGTTATTTTTAATATAGCCCTTTCCGCCATTTTAATGACGTCATAACCGGAAACTGCAGTGGGTGCAGACGTGACACCCGAGTTGAAAACCCTTATTTAGACACGTACATCAACATTGAATGGCGAAACTGTTTTTATAAGACTTGCGAACTGCCCTAGAGGCCGGACTAATAGGCGTTTTTGCGCCAAAATTGGTGTTTTTATGAGATTTATCTAGTTTCTTGACGTAATCTTTTGAGTAAAACATATCGAATTTGGTATTTTTGTAAAGATTTTTAAATGTTCTACAACTTTTTTCATTGGTGGTTTTTGATAAATTGTATCAATAAAACGTTACAAACAAAAACAACTCAAAAATATTTAAAAATACAGGTTTTTGCAAAATTACGAAGAATGTACTAAACATACAACAAATGTGTAAATGTAAAACAGGTAGCATTTAAAATTATCTTTCAAACAAAAAAACATTCATTCCGATCCGACAAATAGTTTGCGAAATATACGATTTAAAAAAATCAATGGCCGCCATTTTGATGACGTCATAGCTCGAAAACGTACCAGGTGCGAACTTGACACCCGAGTGGAAAACACTTCCTAAGACACCTATATTGAAATGCAAAAGCAAAATTCTCTATACACGACATGCACACAGAATTCTAGTCATGTCCAGGACTAAATCTTTCCCGGAACGTACACCACTTTCAGTGTTCGTTTACGATTTATTCAATCTCTTTGCTTTATCTTTAGGTCTAATCACATATTGTTTGGTATCATTGGAAAGGGTATAGAATCATCTGCAACTTTTGCAATGGGTGGTATTTGATTTTATCAGCGGTTAAGAAGTTATAAGCAAAACAATAAATATAATAATAATAAAAAACACGTTTTTTAATATTATAGTGAGATAAATATTAAGTTTACAACAAAAGTGTAAATACAAGAAAGATAGGGTGTAAAAATATCTTTCAAACAAAAAATAAATCATCCTGATCCATTAAACGGTTCGCGAAATATACGCATTCAAAAATTGCTGAGCCGCCATCTTGATGACGTCATAGCTCGAAAACGTACCAGGTGCGAACTTGACACCCGAGTGGAAAACACTTCCTAAGACACCTATATTGAAATGCAAAAGTAAAATTCACTATACACGACATGCACACAGAACCCTAGTCAGGTCCTGGACTAATAACAACTTTACCTTTTTTATAACAGTGTACTCGTAAGATAATTTATACCCTCAATAATCACAGTACAGGTGACAGTAATATCAGATTATAATAGAATTTTCAGAGACAATACTGCTCTATACAGAACTTGTGTGTTGGCTCCACAATACAATCTGGAGAGATTGTTTGAAAATTCACCCTGGTTCTTACTTTAGTAGCAGGTTCTCAAATAATCTTGAGGGGTGTTCCAATCATTAGTTACTGCCAACTCTGCTTGATGTATTTATTTGTAATAGTGTGCAATAGTAACGTCATTGGTATAGTTAAGTTTAATCAAGCAAGAGTGTAGAATATTGTCAGTATACAACCTTAAACAGCAATGGAGTGAGCATCAGGTAATCCTTGTGGAGCCCCAACACACCTTTTTTTTCTTTTTTTTCTACGCCAGTGGCATTTCACGAGAGTTACGAGAGATTAAATGTAGTTACATTTGTTCTTTTCAAATGTTTGTAAGCTATCACACTCCCTAAATTAGCTCAGAGATTTATTGGTCCAATCTGTACATTAATTGTTTCAAACATGTTATTAATGGTTTAATCTGGAATACAGTCAGCCAAACAGTACAGACACCCGCCATAACTTCTGAGGACAGTTTTACTAAATGTTTGAGTATACACCTCAAAGTAGGTTCTGGTCAAATAGCCTAACTTATGGAGGCTGTCAGCCTCTCCCTCTTGGCTTTGTTGTGTTTGAAGTGTCGATGATTTACAGCGTCACTACTGTATATACAAAATCAGTATACATGATATCAAAGCTATGGAATTGTAGAAAAGAAGCTAAAACCAACAAGTTTTCTTCTGGATTGGTGACTTAAGATGGTAACTGACCTGTTTTAGGGGCAGCACCTCGTTTTGAGTTTGGCTAAGCTGAGCTCTAAGCCCTGCGTTAGTGTCTTCGCTCTTCTGTAGATCTGCTCGGGCATCCTTCAGTCTAGCTCTCAGATCCTTCAAAGTTGAGTCTAGATCACTGACCTCGGCGTCATAGCTTTCCTTCAACCGTCTGACAACATAGGAACATGGGTAAAAGCTCTCTTTACAATACACAAAAATATGATAAGTTGGCAATATTTTAAACTGTTGTCAACAAAAATGGGGTATAAATTAACAGCAATTAATTTCTCACAAAGCTGACAATATTGTTTCAAACAAAACTGAAAGTTTCTAAAACCACTTAAAATCACATTGCCATTAAAAATTTAAGTTTAATAAAATGGTTGGAAGTCTAAGTTTAATAAATTTAGACTCCCCAGACACTGTTTGACCCTAAATGAAAAATCTCCATCAATGTGTGTGGAAGTCTTGTGTGTATTTACGCTTGTGTGTACGGCACTCTGCCTGTCACCAGCCTGTTACCCGCATAGATCAGCTATCAGTGTGTGTGTGCCAGTTTCTTTTCACTCCTGGGGTTCACTATTAAAATTTGCATGGTCAGTAAAAAAATTGGCCGGCCAAAGTCGATGTCTGGGCTATAATTAGTCTTTGTATTTTTAGTTGAGTGCTTGAACTCGACCATGAGAAATTAAGTTATGATAAAATGAGGATGATGTCAACCTTGCCTTTTACACAAAAAACACTTTTTTTCTAAATTCTTAGGTCCTAAATAAATTATCGTAATTAGGTTTAAACAAACTTGCAAAATGTAATGTAATATTATTCTTTGTTCTACAGCAGACTACAGCAAAATGTGTAGTAAGATTTCAATTTTTAAAATAAATTTGAATTTATATATATAAATCTTTAAAGAACAAATTATTTACATCAGTTCACTGCTTAAATATTCATTGCATTAAGTTAAGTTTAATACCAGTAAAATATTTAATTTTTTTTAGCAAACTCCTGTTTTTATTTATTTTAAATTTAGCATGTATATTTATAATATTTGGCATGAAGGTAAATCACCTTAATAAATAGAGTTGTCCTTTGAAACTGAACGACTTTTAATTTTAATTGCATCCTTATAGATGAGATGTGGAAAGCTACAACTTACTTGAGTTTGTTTTCTATTGCCTGTTCCCTAGCCGCTGCTTCGGTCTCCAGTCGTCTGATTGCCAACTCTATATGTCTGTCTCTCTCTCTCTTTAACTCTTCTCTCATTGCAACCTCTTTTTCCTCCAATGTTGCTTTCTGTCGAGCCATCCAAGCGGTTTTCTCAGTCTCCAAGCTTTCTCGACATTTTGCAAGCTCTTCCTGAAAAACAATAGAAATTTCGGTCTAAACTAAATTTCAAACATCTACTAGGGGACGTTCGCAGAGGTATCCACAAAATTGAGCGGAGTCATCAGGGTTCCATATATGTTGTTATTGACCTTCTCCATCGAGCTTCATAATTATTTTTACCTACAATTTTAAGTGAAGAGAACATTGTGTAAAGATAAATATTGGTGGAATTAGACTAGCTACACGTTGTTTAGTAATAAAGGGGATTAAAAAACACAGAGATGTAATTTTAGGCATTTTCAGAGACCTGCATTTATATTTTTATTTTAAACCCTCAGGGTTAGTCATCAACTTATTCTAAAAAGGGCGGCGGTCCAGTTCTAGCTACAACCTAGAAATCAACCCTTTACAGTTTCGGATTCTACCATTTTGGCTACTAATAAACTATAATTTACTAATTATTTTGAGTCTAAAACATATAAAAAACATAAATAATACTGAAGCTATTGATTTTTAATCATAGAAAGCCCTTATCAAATATAATTTTCATATTGTTTGTTCATCTTGCGTTTGCATGGAATTCGTGCAATTTGAATAACTAATAGCTTAAATGAAAGCCGGTATTTCACTGAAGATTCTTAGACCAAAATATATAGGATTGTATAATTATAACTGGTGAAATACATCTTAAATTGAAGTAGAAAATGAAAATAAATCAAATTTATGTTTTTCCATCGAGTAATACAGTAGATATATTTGTTGAAATATATGCTGATACTTGATGTGAAATCTTTGCTTGCATACCTTCAATTTGAGACCTCAATCATGAAAGTTGATCGGGTAGAAGAGCCAAACAAACGAAAAGAAAACCCATTTTTTTAAAATCATATACTAATTCAAAAACCAATTCATCGCTAATATAGGGGTTACTAAAAACAGGGTGTCTAGTTTATTTCCATTATAAAATTCAAGACTAATTCCAGACTTTTCAAGACTAATTCCAGATTTTTCAAGACTAGTTTTTTTAACAATTAGTGGGCATTGATACCAAAATGTATTGATTCTCGATTCTTGATACCGCAACCAATTTTTATAGCTTAACCAAATTTTCTAAATAGTACTACACCAACCCCTGTCTTTGTCATAAAGTAGTATTATGATAATGTAGAGTTTTCAAGTAAAGAAATAATGCAGCAATAAAAATTCTGACTAGCAAATTTGGCTGTTTTTTTATCATGAAATCTTCCGCGTACCGTATGTTTAGACATTATCATTGACTGCAGCGGTTACAGAAACGTGATCGTCGTTGTCCGCGATTGCGGCAAAATCATGAACATTTCCCGCGGCTGTTTAGACATCACCGTCATCTCCCGCGGTAACGGAAACGTTATCGTCGTCGTCCGCGATCACGGCAAAATCATCAACATTTCTCGCGGCCGTGTAGACATCATCTTTGTCTCCCGCGGTCACGGAAACGTCATTGTCATCTCCTGCGGTCACGGAAACGTCATCGTCATCTCCCGCGGTCACGGAAACGTCATCTTCATCTCCCGCGGTCACGGAAACGTCATCGTCATCTCCCGCGGTCACGGAAACGTCATCGTCGTCGTCCGCAATCGCGACAAAATCATGAACATTTCCCGCGGCCGAGCAGATATCATCGTCATCTCCCGCGGTAACGGAAACGTCATCGTCGTCTCCCGCTGTCACAGAAACGTCATCGTCGTCTCTCGTGGTCACGGAAACGTTATCGTCGTCTCCCGCGGTCACGGTAACGTCATCGTCATCTCCCGCTGTCACAGAAACGCCATCGTCGTCTCTCGTGGTCACGGAAACGTCATCGTCGTCTCCCGCTGTCACAGAAACGTCATCGTCGTCTCTCGTGGTCACAGAAACGTTATCGTCGTCTCCCGCGGTCACGGTAACGTCATCGTCATCTCCCGCTGTCACAGAAACGCCATCGTCGTCTCTCGTGGTCACGGAAACGTCATCGTCGTTCCCCGCGGTCACGGTAACGTTATCGTCGTCCCCAGCGTTCATGGAAAGGTCATCGTCGTCTCCCGCGGTTTTGGAAACGTCATCGTCGTCGTCCGGGATCGCGGCAAAATCGTGAACATTTCCCGAGGCCGTGTAGACATCATCATCATTTGCTTTCGCGGTACGTAAACGCAAGTCGACGATCGCGACAAAATCATGAAAATTCTCGACTTTGAAATCAAATTTAAGACTAAATCCCGACTTTTCAAGACCATTTTGAAATTCAATACTAATTCCCGACTTTCCCGATTTTCCCGACTACTAGACACCCTGTAAAAATATTACATAAGGTTTCCCCAAGTAAGCCTAGAACAAGCCTTCAAACACAACTTCAACTGTTAATTTAGTTGGATAAACTCAAAGCAAACATGTTTGTTTTATTATTCAAAATGGAACTGTCAATAAACGTCCAAACAAGATGTTAAGATTGTTAAGGCTATTAGTATACGATTCAGGCTAGTGTCGTCATTCGATTATATTATTTATGATCTATACCGTTTCTGTTCTAATATCCATGGAATAATGCTATCAGCTATTTATTGATCTACTTCATTCAAAAGTCACTAGCTGATCTTATGCCTTTGTTTATGTGTCAAATACTGCTTCCATAAGGATTACATTGAAACTTTGAGGGCCCGTGGGGCGGATTTCTAAGAGATTTGTTTGACGCCATATAGATGTTGGCACTCACCGATATGGTCTTTATCACCATGCATAATTTGAAAACGATTGCTTCAGCCGTCTAGGAGGAGTTTGCGAATTACGAAATGCATAACAGTCGACGTATAAGAGCTTCGCTCGCTCTGCTCAATAAATAACTAAAAATTAAAATATATCTATGTCAAATATTAAATCATAGTGCTATGCAAGCATACAAAAGAGTAGGAAATTAAATTATGTAGGTACATGAAAATATTAAAACGTGCCAACATAGTTAAGGCTGTAATAGTTGTGTAGCTGGAACATGAAAAGGCTCAACAGTCAACATCAACAATACTGTACTGTAACGGTCGTCAACTGATAGGATTGTTTGACAGGATTGCATTTTAACTCTTTCATTAGTTATCACATAATATTCTATGCATAATCCTTCAATTGCTATAGTTTGGTATCAAAGTGCTAAGACACCAACTTGCAGTCAAAAGTAATTTACTTCTTAAGTAAACACTGTTTCAACTAATTTTACAGTTTGTACCATTTTTTAAATGGGCATTTGATGGTTCTATAGTACATACCTGGTGCTTCTTGTCATATTCAACCATTTTCTCTTGAAGTTTCTTTTTAGCTTCATCAACCTGCAACGCCCATTTCAAGTTAACACTCCCAAACTAACATAGCAAACACACAATATTTTTAATACATTATTCAGTTTGGAGAGTACAAAATCTTATTGAAATAAAAATATAACACATGTTGACACTAATTTATTGTGAATATGTGGGAAAAAACTTCAATATGCATGACAGTTGATGAGAAATGTATCCAAACATTGAATAAGTCCTACACTAAATTGTGGTATCAATGTCATTTTGTGTGTCTGAATTGTAGATCCATAAATCACTGTACCCTTAATATTATTCCTGTACCCTATTGTTCCTCAAGTAAGCTAGCAAATTTTTGAATTAAAAATATTTAGAAGAACACAATATTGTGTCTTTATGGGCGTCTATCTAACTTTTTTATAGGGGGGTCTGGGGGGTACGGAATAACCCCCAGTGAAGAGGGAGGTTGTTAAAAATTTAGGTACAAAATGGTAGCTTTTACACAATGTTGTATCTTTTTGTCAACATATTGTTTTAGCATCGTTTTTTTTTTTATATTAAAAACTTACAGCAGTGGGCACTGGTACCCTTATTGGTACTTGTGTGGTACTTCAAACATTGCTTCCATTACTTTTTATCACTTAACTCTTTCTTTTCTCTCCCCAGTCTCCTTTTTCACTTAGTCCAACCATCTCAGCAGTGGTCTTTTAATGTGTCTTCACCTTTTGCTTTTCTCTCCAGACTAGTTTTAGTAACGAGCCTTCTTTTCTCATGTCCTGCCCATTTCATCTGTCTACTCTGTGACAGTAGTAGTTAATATGTTTATAACACATGGTAATTGTTCTACATATGTTTTGTATTATTGTTTTTATATTTGGATAGAGTTTTTGTTAAATTAGAAATAAACAACCTTTCTTGAGTTCAGTACAATTATTTAATAATTAATCTAATGACATGGTGCCGAAACCCACACGGAATAGAAATAAGAGGTATGACTTTAAGGAAGATGATGATATCCATACAAACCATACAGAAGACAAAGATAATAATGTAAAACCACCAAAATGTCTTGTGGTTTCAAGTACTCAGATGGCTCCTTCTTGGAAGAAATGGAAGCAACAGTGGAACTGGTACTACACAGCTTCTGGCCTTGATAGAAAATCCAATGCAGTACAGGTAGCATCATTTATGTCTAGTTTAGGCCCAGATGTTATAGATATATATATATATATATATATAACAGTTTTGGTTTCATGGATGATGAAGATATTGAATTAGATGAAGTTGTTCAACGATTTGATAAGTTTTTTGTTGGTAAATCTAATGAAGTATTTGAGAGATTTTTGTTCAACAAAATTACACAAGAAACCCATCAAAGTTTTGAAGATTTTTTTACAAAATTGGTTAACCAAGCTAATTCTTGTAATTTTGAGCAACTAAAAAACAGTTTGATAAGAGATAGAATAGTTATTGGCATATCAGATTCTAGCTTAAGGGAAAAGCTACTTTCTACTGATAAGCTTACCCTAGATGATGCAATTAGTAAGTGTAGGGCACATGAACAAGCTAAGAAACAACTAGCAGAAATATCCTCTGACAGCCCTACAAATGTTAATCTCGTTAAAAGGGACGATTCCTTTTCTAGGCCTACGTTACAAAATTAAGTCTTTGACTGTAAACGTTGTGGTTAACAACACTCTAGAGGCCAATGTCCAGCTTTTAATCGAACTTGCAATCAATGCTTGACTAAAGGTCATTTTGCTAAGATGTGTAAAACTCGAAAGAATCTTCCTAGTAAGAGTAAAAATACTGATGTTTTAGAGGTTGTAGAGAATCAAGATTCTGATTATCCGTTGCATGTTGATTGCATCTCTAACCCAGTCAAGAATCAAGATTGGACAGAATTATTAGAATTGCCAAATAACAAAACTGTGCAGTTTAAATTGGATACTGGGGCTCAGTGCAATGTTATTTCCCATGATTTGGCACTAGCTTGTAATCTGAACATTGTACCTTCTGCAACTAAATGCCTTGTTTCTTTTAACAACCAAAAAACGCCAGTTTTGGGTGAAGCCATTTGTCCAGTTGTAACCAAAAAGTCTCATAAAGACACTGTCTTGTTTGTAATAGTTCCAAATGGGCATCAATCAATATTAGGAAGAGTATCATGTGAAACCCTAGGGTTCGTAAAACGGATCGCTGGTATAATTGATCAGTCTATAAGTGGATTATACAGGGTGGTAAAAAAGTCCCAGGACAGTTAAATATTTTAAAAACTAATGCAGATAGAGCTACAATACTTGGTACAAAGTTACAGGGCATAAAACTCTATTTTAAAACATATTCAGTGATCCAATAACTCTTCAGGGGGACGGCCCACAAGGAGTCGGAAGAAAATCTTAAATGGAAGCATAGGTCAATATACACATAAAATTAAAGGTCTTTTTTTGTAGAATACAATGCCGCAAACCGCACTTCAAAAGGTTGATCCTGCGCAAAATGGCAGATGTTCAAAGATTTCTTGAATCCGCCATTTTGAATCTTTGAACGACTGCCATTTTTTACTCAAGCATTCTTTTGAGCTTGAATTTACGGCATCGTAATCTACAAGTGAAGACCTTTAATTTGATGTGCATATCGACCTATTCTTACGTTAACAATTTTCTTCCGATTCCTAGGGCTGTGCCCCCTGAGGAGAAAGCGTATAATAGCAATGTAAATTAAATGAATCTTTGAACATCTGCCATTTTGCGCAGGATCAACCTTTTGAAGTGCGGTTTGCGGCATTGTATTCTACTAAAAAAGACCTTTAATTTGATGTGCATATTGACCTATGCTTCCTTTTAAGATTTTCTTCCGACTCCTTGTGGGCCGTCCCCCTGAAGAGTTATTGGATCACTGAATGTTTTAAAATAGAGTTTTATGCCCTGTAACTTTGTACCAAGTATTGTAGCTCTATCTGCATTATTTTTTAAAATATTTAACTGTCCAGGGACTTTTTTACCACCCTGTATGATGGAATAGGGTGTTTAAAGTCTTTTGAGTATGATATTGATCTTGTGGAAAATCCTAGTTTCAAAATACACCCACCCAGGCGAATACCCCATCCAATACGTGACGCAGTGAAAGCGGAACTAGATCAAATGGTAAAAGACAAGAATATTACTCCGGTAAGTGAGCCTACTCCTTGTGTGTCTCCTATGGTCATAGTCCAACAAAGAGACAAAATACGTCTATGCATTGACCCAACTGATCTTAACAAAAATGTAAAGCGTAGACATTACCCATTGGCTACATTAGAGGACATCTCAGCTAGATTGAATGGTTCTACTTTATTCACCATCCTTGACTGTAAAAAAGGATTCTGGCAGATAAAAGTTACGAAGAGAACATCCAAACTACTAACTTTTTCAACACCTTGGGGACGCTACTCTTGTTTACGCATGCCCTTTGGTTTGGTATCGGCCCCTGAAGTGTTCCAGTATATTATGTCAGACTTGCTCAAAGGAATTAAGAATGTAGAGTGTTCAATGGATGATATACTCATTCACAGTAACAATGAAAGAGACTTGCAAAAGATCACGAATGAAGTAATGACAAAGCTGTGTGAATCAGGACTTACACTTAACAAAGAAAAGTGCATATTTGCCAAACCGTTGGTGAAATTTCTTGGTCACATAGTTTCAGACCAAGGGTTACAAGCTGATCCTGACAAAGTAACAGCCATTTCAAGAATGAAGGAACCCACATGTTTGTCTGAGCTTCAGAGATTTTTAGGTTGTATAACATACTTGTCAAAGTTTATACCAGATGTTTCGGTTGATACTCAACCTCTTAGAGTTCTCACTGAGAAAGATGTGGCCTGGTTCTGGGATACGCCACAACGAGAAGCATTTAACAAGTTAAAGCAAAAACTGCAAAGAACTCCCGTGCTTCGTTATTATGACCCCAACTCTCCGGTGACTCTCTCTGTGGATTCAAGCAGTTATGCAGTAGGTGCTGTTATGTTACAATCTGGGCAGCCCGTAGCTTATAATTCCAAAGCATTGACTCGATCACAACAGAACTACAGTCAACTTGAAAAAGAGACATTCGCAATACTGACTGCTTGCAAAAGGTTTCATGAGTATGTATGGGGATGCAAGGAATTGATAATTGAGTCAGATCATAAGCCTTTAGAGGCTATCTTTAAGAAACCGTTGTCTGATGCTCCTCCCAGAATCCAAAGAATGTGTTTGGAAATCTTACCATATCGACCAAGAGTTGTGTACAAGCGGGGTTCAAGCTTCATCTGGCTGACACCTTGAGTAGAGATTGCTACAATGACAATCAAGATGATGAACCTCACAGCTTTGATATTCAGTTGATAATTCCTATGTCTTCTGATACAGTTTCTCGAATCAGAACTAGTGTTGGAAAATGCACAGAGCTTTCTAAATTGAAGGAAATAATCTTGAATGGATGGCCCGAAGAAAGAAGCACTGTTGACAAGGAATTGGTAAAATATTTCACTTTCAGAGAAGAACTAAGTTGCTATGATGGTCTTTTGTTTAAAGGAAGTCGTTTGATTATACCTGATGAAATGAAACTTGAAGTGTTACAGAATATTCACCGTCCTCACAAATGTGTTCAAAGTTCAATTAATACAGCACGTGACTATGTATATTGGATTAATATGGAAAGAGATATTGAACAATATGTAGCAAGGTGCAATGTATGCAGCAAATATCAACGAGATAAACCTCAAGATGTGATCCTTCAAGAAACAGTACCAGTGAGGCCATGGCAGTTCATCGGTGCTGACGTTTTTGAATGTGGAGGTAAAGACTTCTTAGTAGTTGCTGATAGTTACTCAGGATATTTTGAGTGTGAAAGTCTAAGGATCAAAAGTAGCATTACTGTTATTACACACCTAAAAAAGTACTTTGCAACTCATGGTATTCCAGATAAACTAAGAACTGATGGAGGACCATGTTTTGCTTCTATAGAATTCACTAAATTCGTATCCGAATGGAAATTTAATCATAGAATTACATCTCCTCATTTTCCAAGATCCAATGGGCTGGCGGAGAGGTATGTCCAAGAAGGGAAAAACTTAATTGTCAAGTGTCAAGAAGAACAGTCCGATATTTATCTTGCACTTCTTCATCACCGTAACACACCAAGAGGTAACCTAGGTTCCCCAGTTCAGCGGCTGATGAGTAGGAGGACAAAGACTATTCTTCCATCTACGGCCAACCACCTTATTCCGATGGTCATAAAGAATGTTTCAAAACAGCTAGAAAAAATTAAAAGGCAAGAGAAGCTATACGGTGATATGAGGAAGACAGAGCCTGATCAGTTTAAACTCGATGAACCAGTGCTTTTCAGATTCAAACCAAAGTGTTGGCTGAGAGCAAAGATTGTTCAAGTTGGTCCTGAACCACGATCGTACAAAATCCAGACTGGTGATGGACGAGAATACCGAAGAAACTCATGGTTCATAAGAAGAGACAAGTCATTCAGAATCTCCCATGATGTGAATAAAGGTCAATCGTCCAGGTCAGAAGAACATAACAATGACTCAGCTCCTGTTGTAAGACGAGGGGAAAGGATTAGAAGAACACCAAATAAATTTGACTTGTGAAGGAGGGATGACAGTAGTAGTTAATATGTTTATAACATATGGTAATTGTTCTACATATGTTTTGTATTATTGTTTTTATATTTGGATAGAGTTTTTGTTAAATTAGAAATTAACAACCTTTCTTGAGTTCAGTACAATTATTTAATAATTAATCTAATGACACTCTGTACCTCGACTACAATATATGGGTCTTCAAATAACTCTATCAGTTCCCAATTATTGTGATTCCATGCCTCCATTTAAATCTAAATTAAATTAATCGTTGATCAACAATCCTATCTATGGCGTTCATGAATTTCTTAAAACATATTGAATATTAATGTGGATCTTCCAATCCTTTTTTTATATAATCTGTATGTATATAATTGCTTGAGGGAGGGATTTGGCTGATCTACATTACCTACTTTCTCAAGACCAGTCATATTTTAATTTTACTTCACTTACTATTTTTTAAACATTAAATTTCATTTTATTAATTTAGAAAATGTAAGATTTCTGTTGACTATGTCTATTCCTTTGTATACACAGAATGGTCAATGAAAAACTCTTGATTCTAGATTGTCCATCCTCATAGGTCTTATGAGGATGGTCCCGTACTCTAACAGTTATATTTTTTGCTCCTGATACCTCCTGTACACTCAGCTAGTACATATCACACATGTAACTTGAGCTCCTCACCTGTTTGGCAATATCAGCTTGTGCCTCTGCGATCACTCTCTCACTCTGTCGTTGCAGCAGTTCCTTCTCCTGCCGTACCTCCTCTAACAGTCGTCTTCTTTGCTCCTGATAGCTTTTTTCTACCTGGTTCATCTCCTGCTCCAGTCTGTGAACATTACATTATTATGAAAGTGATACTACGCTGTATTTTTTTGGCTACTTCTACATTTCAAAACTTGGTAATATAATTTATTAAACCTACTTTTGAGTGATTTGAAAAGAAGGTGCTATGATGAATCATCATACAAAGAACACTTTTATTTTTTTCATTATATATGTTTTTTTTTGTTTATATTGCTTTGGCTCCAATGTAATTAAGTAACTACTCACAGTTTTGATAATAATAATAAAGGATTTTACTTATCATTATCATGCAGCTATTATAGAATATCCACTAATTTATAAATAATTTTCATAATTCAACAGAGCTCTGGTGTTGGTTTATCAAGATTCAATTCCATGAAAATCGACAACTTTTAGCGAATTTCGGAAGTAGCTATTACCGTAGGTGGCATGGTAAGACCTAGGCCTGGGACCGATTTACTTTTTCATTTTGATGTCCCCAGAGGCCAAAAAAACCATTCGTTCAAATTTTTATACATGTATATATATATATAGATTTATATATAAATGTGTCCGTGAACACGATAACTTGAGTAATTTTTGTCCGATTTTGATGAAATTTGGTTTAAAGGTGTAAGGCGGGATAAACTTGAATGAGTTCACAAACCAGCACGATCGGACCATGGGAACAGGGTTTTACGGGGGGTTTTATGGGGTGAAATTCGGTTTTTCTCATTATTGACCCTCAAAACACAAAATTTTCCAATTTCTCTCTAGACCTTTTTAAAGAGCTTAAAAAAACAAATAATTTAGTATATAAAAGTATTTTTGTACGATTATTGGTAACGGAGAAAATTCAAAAAATTGTAAATTTAAAATTCCCATGTTATTCTTATAGAGAATATTGTAAAATGTTGTAGTTTACTTGTTTATGGATATATTTTGATCAAACTTGGCATATTTATTTATTTCATACTAAGCTATTAATATTTTACCAAAACACACTATTAGTTTCAGTTTCCTTGTAGCAGCAAACCTAGGTACTTGTTAAACCTAATTTTATTAAAAATATATTTAATTGAAAATCAATTCAGATAAATGGAAATTCTCTTAGTCGGCAGGTTTGCTGCGGCGAGGGTATTTAGACATGGGATTGATTTGTCAACATATTAAAGAACAAAACACTTTCCTCTCTTTCATATCAATTATCAATCATTGAGATAGGGACGCCACTTAGGTGCGTATTTTAACCCAAATATGAGTGAAGGATGAGTGTAGAATGGAGTGAGATGATCTGTGTAGCTTTGTTACTGACCAAGATCAGCTGTTTCATTAGCCAGGAAAATTTATTTCATATAACCAGTTGTTTATTGTTTACTCATTTAAATGGTGTAGACTCTGAATTTATTGTTATTAAAAATCTATACAGGGTGTATACTTTTTTTTTGAAATTCCAGGTTTTTACCTGGTTTTTCAATGTTTTTCCAGGTTCCCGCGTGAATGTTTCCAACGTTAAGATTATATTAATTTCCACGTATATATTTAGTTTCACTAAAACTTTAATCAATTTACCGTAAGTCCAGAGTGCACGCCGATTCAGATTTTCGGCGGCAGGAATGGCACTTGCATTCAAATAAAAGTGGTCGTAGTGGCTGCTGGTTTCCGAGCCCGCGCACAGGCACCTGCTTACCGGAATGAATTCTTCATTCTGGTTTCAGATTCCGATTCAGGTTTTGCTCGTACGCATACTATATATATAATTTAATAAATTTTGTTTTTTTAGTAAAATATTTAATTTTTTCATCCTTACTTGTGTTACCACTAAACACTCTTCAGGAAAATTGTTTTGTTTGTGTAGGTTACACAAGTTTCTTACAATAGGATGTCCAATTTTAATAATAAGTTTCGGTGATTTCAGGCTCCATTCAACGAAATATAGAAAGATCATTTATAGCTATGGGAAAAAAGATATATAATATCATGAACAAGATTTTCACCGGCTATAACTTCACAACAGTTTCAGACGTTATAATTTTACACATTAATTCCTCATCTGACAATTCCATAACAACGACTGACCTGCTTCTTTGCTAACAGAGTCAGTACCGGCGGCATATTTCCTGCTTCCACTGTGACCACCAACAAAATATCTGACTCAGATTAACCAAGCGCCAAAAATCTGTATCTGATTCTGAATCTGAATCGGCGTGCACTCTGGACGTACCAAAAATATATATTTTTATATATGTATATATCTATATATATTAATATATATTTATTGTATATTTCTAATAGTTCCAAATTTCAGTGAGCTAGTGTTGAAAAAATAATATTGCTTATTAAAATAATCATTATCATTATCATCATTCTTTAAGGCCACAAAAACATCATCTCTCACGATAGCAGCAAAATCCTGAATATCTCCCGCGGTCACCTCCAACGGTGATGTAAACGTCATCACAGTCTTCCATAATTGTGGCAAAATCCTAGACATCTCCGGCTCCCGCAGTATGAAGTAGACATTATAGTCGTCTCCTGCGGTAACGGAAACGTCATCATTTTCATCCGCGATCGCGGCAAATCAAGAGAATCTTCCGCGGCCGTGTAGACATCATCATTGACACCCGCGGTCACCCGTGTAGTTGACATCGTCGTCTTTCACGGTCCTGAGAACGTGATTGTCGTCTTCCGTGATCGCTGCAAAATCACAAAAATCTGCGGCCGTGAATTTATTGTCATTGTTCCCGCAGTCACGGAAACGCCATCGTCGTCATGCGCGATCGCGGCAAATTCATGAACATTTTCTGCAGCCGTGTAGTCATTATCATTGACTCCTGACTTTAGGGAAACGTCTTCGTTGTTGTTTCCGATCACGGAAAATCATTAATATTTCCCGTGGCCGTGTAGACGTCATCGTCACCTCCCGCGGTCATGAAAACGTCATCATAGTCTTCTGCGATCGGGGCAAATGCGCGTTTTATGATTGCAATCTTCTACCGCGGCTAAAAGAAAAATCCCGGAATCGCTTAAAATATCCCAGCTTTTTCCCGGTTTTTTCTAGGTCCCTTCAAATTTAAGTTTTTCCCGGTTGGTATACATCCTGTTATAACACGTCTGTAAAGTGAAGTTATTATTGACACCTTTCATATCACTGACCTGTGTCTGGCAGCCTCTCTCTCATGTAAGATGGCCGCCTGGCGTTCACTAGCCTCCTGTTCTCTCATGGCAGCCGTGCGGCGAGCCCACGCTGCCTCAGCCTCCTCTAGGTGGCGCTGACAAAAAAAAATCATTTACCATTAGAAGAATTACTTTGATATTAAAACCTGATAAATTACTCACCCACTTTTTTGGGGTAGGCCGAATATAACCACAGAAAAACAGTGTGAACTCCAGGTGCTTAGCAGGGCCATAGGTGATATCCAGTGATTTTAGACATTTTTTCCCTAGGACACTAGGCACGAGCCAGAATTGTTTTTCAAATTACTTCAGGCTAGACATAGGGGTTATGGCATTATAACTTAGATAACATCCATTGGTGATTAGGCAGAATTTTAACCCTGGTCCCCAGGAACCAGAGTCCCGCACTCTAACCACTAGACCAGCTCGCTCCCCGAAAATAGACATTAATTTTGATCACATTTATACTAAGGATGTATGTGGTTGACTCGATATCTAAAATTTAGAATTGCTATTTGAATTTTAACGGAGGCAATTCTTTATGACATACTTATTAAGTTCTCAATGTCAAATGTTCACTTGACAGAAAAAAATGACAAGCACTCCGTGTTATGTGGCTCTTAAGTTTTGACTGAATGTAAGGGATAGTGAGGGAGAATTTTGAAGAGTGAAACGAAGTCATGTCTGTTCCTGTAGAGACCTGTGTGAGTGGCTGTGACTTCAATAACTGCAGAAAGCATATATTTTTAATACAATACAAGCACCCGGAGGGAAAAAACCATAACACAACAGGGAACAAGAATATACAATTTTGAACACACACCTAAATCCTAGGCCATACAAGTGGGATACCCTCTAGGTAATCATTTGAAAAGTGTTACGAATAGTGTGCCAAGCAATTTAATGTTTGCTTAGGTATTAGGTTTAAACTATGTATCTAAATATGTATAAACTATGTATATGTTTTCACCTAGCAAATATAACTAGCCTGAGATAGTGGTAGAATAGTTATTAATAAGCACAAGGTTCAGGAGAACTGCAAGGTGACCAAAACGAGTAATCATACTGTAAAACACAACACCATTTTTTTTTTTCATGCCTTAAAATGACAAAAAACTGGTCCAACAGTTTTTGACATATATTGGATTAAGTTAGACATCTAAATTAGATTCCACTTAGAAAAATATTTGGTACCAAATAAAAGAGGCGATATGATAGCAATAATATTGTTAAAGGTCTTTAGGAGTAGGCCTACATACGTTTCCAGTAACAAACTAATGATTAGTAACTGTAGTTTTGCAAACAAGAAGCGTTTCCTCCCTATTACTACTTTGTATAATATTTTCTCCTCATAAAAATTTAATTTTCAGTATTCACTACCCTTTGTAGTAGGCCTAAGTATTTGTTGTATAAAGCTAATTAATGATTTCGATTTTGAAGGTACTAATGCAGAGTAGAAGCAGGCAAAGCTAATGGTCGCAGCATAGTTGAAGCACATCTCCGAGCTTAATTGTATTGTGGCACAAATGTCTCCGGCATTAATGTTGAGGTAATGCCTTCACAATGGGAGTTCCAAATACCTTGGGTGCTAGTCAAAGGGGATAGCAGCAGATGAAATGCTAGATACCTGCTACATTGGATAGGTGAAAAGGTTGGAGTGGTAATCAGCTTCCATCTAAAGCCTGAGGAGGGAGACTGGAATAGAACCGGGGGTCATGTCAGCCTCTCAACTGAAAGAAAGAGACAAGATGGTAGTCTTGCAGGGATTGTAAGAGCAATAAAAAGCATTACCTGATGAGCCCTTCGCAGATCGGCAATCTCTTGCTGGTGAGTCACAGCCATCCGCTCCAGCTCAGGCTCCAGACCCTTCACTGTCAACTCCTGTGCATGCCACCATATATTTAGCACATATATGATTATCTATATAAGTTGCCGAGATTTTACACAAAAAAAATTAATATTTTGACATTACAGAATATGTAACTAGCTGTCAAATATAGGTTAAAGTGTTTATTTTTAAACTCGATGAGTGATAACCTACAACCTACAGTAGTACATATTTATTATACAATTTGTTAACTTCTTGTGATCCTTAAACTGAAGTTTTAAACTAAATAATTAATTATATTGATATCAAATACAATTTTTAATCTTACACTAACCTTAAAAACTGCATTTGTATTTTACATGATATTATTTACATTTTATCAAGACTTTGAAATGTAAATGACTTTGAATTCATCAGCATGCATGATTGTCAGGGCTTTAAGGAATGGTTTCTTCAAAACTAGAAAAGAGGTTGGTATAGCTTACCTTAATCTTTTTTGTTTTAGCATCAATCCACTTATCCCTTCTTATTTTTTCTGCAGCATTAAATTTGTCCTGTGCTTTCTTCATCTCAACCTTGTGTCTCTCTTCTATAACTTTTATGGCTGTCTCATGTTTTGCTTCTAGTTCCTTAATGGCTGTTTCGTACTGTACAGCAAGCTGTCTTTTTTCCTTAAGCAGCTGAAAATCATTAAAAACTTAACTATTACTGCCCCTATTATCGTAACTTGTTAACTGTAATTATTTGACAGAAAAAAACCAATACCCTCAGCTACAATCACATGCATTAATGTATATATATGTTATATTTATTACACCAATTTAAATCTATATTTATAAAAGAGGAAGTTTTTATGTTTGAACGTTATGAGCTCGGACACCGTTGGACCGATTGCCACAAAACTTGGTACATACGTGTGGAGTTTTATGGAATAGGTTTATGTTTATACACCATCAATTTCGTGATCTGTCCAATTGGCTCCGCCCCAGTGGCTCTGGAGTTTCCCTATGTTAACCTTATGAGAAGAAATACACGGATAAATATACGGAAGAAACAATGAAGAAGATAGAAGAAAGAAAACAGTTAAAGGAGAAGAAAAATAAAGCGGAAAGTGCTGAAGAAAAGAGAGTAGCTCTGAATGCCTACAATACAAAACACAGAGAGGTGAAGCGCAGCTTTAGGAAGGACAAAAGAAAATGGGTGGAAGATCTAGCAAAGGAGGCACAAGATGCAGCTGACCAGAACAACAGTAAAGAGCTGTATAAAATAACAAAAACGTTAGCTAATAAAAAATTTACTGCAAGAAAACCCATCAAAAACAAAGATGGTGTATTGGTTGTGACGGAAGCTGAACAGATGAAAGTTTGGAAAGAGTTCTTCGAAGAATTACTTAACAGAGAAATTGAAGAGGAGGGTGAACAAGCGGATATTGAAAGGGATGAACAAGAGAGGGAGCAGCAATTACCACAGGAAGACCCTAGAATAAACTCAACCCCACCAACAAGAGCGGAGATAATAACAGCCATTAAAGGAATGAAAAATGGAAAAGCCCCTGGAGTAGACAACATTTCCCCTGAAATGTTAAAAGCTGAGGTGGAGGTAACTGCAACCATATTCCAGGATTTGCTAGAGGAGGTATGGGAGAAAGAAGAGATACCGGAAGACTGGAAGAACGGCTTGCTTATAAAGATCCCAAAGAAGGGAGATACGTCACTTTGTAGTAACTGGAGGGGGATTACGCTGCTGTCGGTACCAAGTAAATTATTAATGAGAATAATCCTGAATAGAATCAAAGAGGTAGTTGACACTAAATTAAGGAGAGAACAAGCGGGTTTCAGAAGGAACTATTCATGTACAGATATGATTAACACCTTGCGGATTGTAATAGAACAAAGCTCGGAATACCAAACACCCTTGTATCTGACCTTTGTTGATTTTGAGAAAGCCTTTGACTCCATCAGCAGGGAATCGATGTGGAAGGCTCTAGAATTTTTCGGAGTCCCTAAGAAAATCATTAACCTCATAAAATTAATTTATGAAGATTACAAGTGTCGAATAGTGCACGAAGGTAAACTTTCAGAGCCGTTCAGAATCAGAACTGGTGTTAGACAAGGATGTTTACTGTCACCCATCATCTTCCTAATGGTCTTGGATGGAGTGATGAGGAAAGCAACGAGGAGACCTAGAGGGTTGAGGTGGGGACTCACAGATAGGCTAGAGGATATTGATTTTGCCGATGACCTGTGTCTTATGGCCCATAGGAAAATAGATATGGAACAAAAATTGAAAGAACTCGAAAATGAAGGAAAGAAGGTTGGTCTGAAAATTAACTTAGGGAAAACAAAAGAAATGAGAATAAATGAAAGAGACAACCACCAACTAGAGCTAAATGGTAAGGTCATTGAAAGAGTCGAAGAATTTCTGTATCTAGGAAGCATCGTATCAAAGTTAGGCGGGACAGACGAAGATGTGGCACAGAGGATCAGGAAGGCCAAGGGAGCTTTTGTTCAGCTGGCTACAATTTGGCGATCTAACCAATTGAGAAGAAGCACCAAACTCAGGATATTTGGAACAAATGTAACATCTGTACTTCTCTATGGTTGCCAAACTTGGAAAGTTACTAAAACGGTGTCATCTAAACTCCAAGTATTTATAAACCGGTGCCTTAGAAGAATTTTTAATGTCCGATGGCCAGATATGATTACCAACGAAGAGCTATGGAGGAGGGCACAAATACCACCCATTGCGGAAACAATAAAAAGACGGAAATATGGGTGGATTGGACATACTCTAAGGAAAGAGCAAAGCAACATAAGCCGTCAAGCTCTTGAGTGGAACCCGCAAGGAAGCAGGAGGAGGGGCAGACCGAGGATGACTTGGAGGAGATCAGTTGAGAAGGAACTGCAGGAAGAAGGCAAGAGCTGGGGAGAGGCAAAGCAGATGGCCCAGAATCGTGTCCGGTGGAGAGCATTTGTTGCGGCCCTACGTCCCCCTCGGGATTAAAGGAAATAAGTCAAGTAAGTCAACCTTATGAGTACTTATATTTAAATGGAATTAAAGAATCTTTACAGCTGGTTTAACTAAACAATTTCATTCTGTGATGTTCAATAGCATTAAAAAGTTAATAGGTTTAACAACAGGGTGCAGCGCTATAATTTTTTAAAATTTATGACATCAGCTAATTTGGAACCAAAAGGTGAGTGAGCGTAGTGAACGAAATTCAACCTGGAGGCGAGTTAGCATAGCGAACGAGCTCTAACCTAAAGGTGAGTAAGAGTAGCAAACGAACTTCAACCAGGACGTGATTGAGCCATGTGAACAAGCTCATCTTGAAAATGAACGAGCATTGACATAAAATCACATTAGGATAGGACGACGTCTGTAGGGCCAGCTAGTATAAAATAAAAGAAGAGAGAGTATTAAATTAATGCATAAAGTTATATCAACTTTGAACCAATTTAAGTTAGTAATGAAATTATAATTATCTTTTTAATTACTATCAATATTTGTTTGTACTCATCTCATCATACAAAAATGTGTTGTATAATATTGTAGCATAATGGATTGTTGAATGTAATGTGGTGTCATGGGCTCCTCACTTCAGTTATGTTAATGGTTCCTTGAGATCATATAAAACACTACACTAGGTGTATTATTTCATACCTTGATTTACAATAATAGAGTTTTAAAAGTATCAGGTTCTAATGTCATTTAGTAAATTTCAACCAAACAATTTCAATTGATAGCTAAAACTACAATTAAATATTCTATAATAATTAACATTAATGGGTACAATCATAGCCTCCTCTAATACGACACTGTTGGGGGAGCAAGGTGGTCTAGTGGTAAAGCTCGGGGCTTCGGAGCCCAAGGTACCAGGTTCAAATCCCGCCAATCACCAATGGATTTTATCCATGTGATAATGCCATGACCCTCAAGGACTAGTCTGATGTTATGTGTGAAACAGTTCCGGGCCAGGACCTAGCGTCCTAATAATGTACAAATAAATACTTATTACAAGCTCCATAAGTTTCATATTACATAGCTATATTTTAAAAAAATTAGGACAAAACGTAGCGTCTTGTCATGAGCTCCTCAATCTAATACAGCTAGCTCTGCCAATCTCACCTGATCAATAAATTTCTGCTGTCTTTTGTTGGCATCATCGTTCTCCTCTTTCTGCTGTTTTAGTAGCTCCACACTCTGCTTGTACCTCTCCTCCAGTGCTCGACTCACAGCTGCTGACTCCTCCATTTGCAAGGTCAAGGTCATCACTTGCTGAGCCAACTCTGCAGTGTCTGTGTTCAGCAGAGACCCCAGCCTGGAGCTGATAGGAGCTTCTTTGCTTGACCTGAACACAACAACAACATACGTCGTGAGCTTCTGTGTTTTATTTGATTGCTGATGCATTTAAGCTTCGGGTGTGTATTTTCATTCCTTTTGTTTGTTGATTTCATAAGATTGAAACATAATTGGAGATTATGTTTGTTTAAGACAGTAACCGGTATCAATTTAATAAAACTACTAAATATACTATGAATAAAATAGTTTACTGTAAATCTATATACAATAAATTGTGGTTTGCCTACCTGCATCTAATATATATCCACATTACCACATTTGAACAGTTATCAAAATTGTCTGTTTAATGTTATGTTTATTTTTTGTAATTTTCTGTTATGATTAAATTAAATTTAACATGAGTTTGGTCTAGCAGGTCTTGGTGTAATTGGCATTTTGGGGTTTTCACTGTAGCAGGTGTAGCTTGCTAAAATAGTTGAATAGGAGTAGGCCTAGGTTTCGATTGGAGCTGGAGTAGAGTATTCAAAATTAACACGAGCGGGGGTTGAATACTGAACAGGGTTAAGAGGGGGTTTTAGAATTGACAAGGTAGATTTGTAACCGTAGAAAACTGCTGGTGGAGCTGGAATGGGAAACTCGTAGCTCACTGTCAGTGGAGAATAAGTTGAGTGCACATTGGGCTTCAATAGTTTTACTAGAGCAGGAGGTACATATTCATATCTAACTGCAAGGGCTGGTTTTGGTTTGGTGCATTGATATATAGTCTAACTGGATCTTGCCCTGGTACAAGAATACGTCTCTTAAAACGAGCCGCCGCTGCGCACTACATCACCTGTGTGGAACTCAGGGGCCCTACAGCATTGAAGTAGCATTGCAACCGCCAACAAATCACACTTTTAATGACAACTTTGTTAGCAAAACGTTTTGAATTAATTTATTTCTTTTAGTTTAATATTATGTGTATTTTTTTCCTCTTTACTACAAAATCAAAACTATTATACAAAGACTTTAAACACACTTTTAAAACTTGTTTTGCATGTAGCTATGAATTTTTTATAGCCAAGGTTTTCTGATACTATAGGCCTATATCAATTGATACAGATCATTCTATTCAGTCATTCCAATTCAGGCAAATGGAAATTCGCTTGGTCTGCAGGTTTGCTGTGGCGGGGGTATTTTAGTTACTATTCGTCCCTCCAATAGACCATAATCTTAAGAATAACATCTTGATCGTAAAAATTGGTTACGTAGGACGGATGAAAAAGGGATATTACAGAAAGAACCCTTATTGTATTAAGTATATAGATGAATAGAATTCATTTATCATGATGCTCTCAAATCGCAAAAAAGACATAACCATGATTATAAGCACTACAATGAAAAACTTAAGATTGAATATACTTTTCTGGTTTGGACACATATTTTGACTGGTAATTATGTCAAACGATTATTAGTTCTATAATCAGGAAATTTTGTCACTATCAACAGCTTTTTACTAAGTATTTTATAATAGTACAAAATGCTAAACTTAATTGTAAATTTTAGCAATAATATTATAAGTAGCATATCCTGTAATGAAAAGATAAACCTTTTATATTTATGTAAAACTTATATTACGAAGAAGCGTAACCTTATAGAATATACGCCATATGACTAGATAAAATAAAATACTCACCTCGCACTTTCATCAGCTGAGATGGGTAGATTTAATGATTTATCAGAGTCCACAATTGCAGTAGTTCCTTTTTCAACTTCATCAAGGAAATTCAAAATCGCTCTGAAACAAGGTATATTTATCAACACCTTTGTTAAACATAAATAAGCAAACATATACAGTAGACTCCCTCTTATCCGGACACCTTTTAACCGGACATCGGTTTAACCGGACTACACTCGACGGAAATTACAACTCTTTAACTGGACAATTTTTATCAGCGCATTGGTTTAACCGGACTAAATCGGCAGGAAGTGGGCGGTACTGAAACTACTGTTCTCGTGGGAAAGATATGAGACCAGTGATCAATGTCTAAATACAATGCTCTTCTAAATTTAAGTTGAATAACACCATAAACGGACCGTTTTAACGAGTTTTTGGGGACATCGGCTTAACCGGAAAACCCGTTATCCGAACTTCTCCATGTCGCCTTACTTAAAATAATGCATGAAACTGCCGCTGAGTTGCAATGAGTGAATTCAATACTTTTTTTAAACGACTCCATAACAACCGCACGTAGCTCAGGAGACCATTGCTCTATGACTACAAAAAAATGGCATTGTGTAGGCTTTTCAACGAGCCTACTCCTACCACTCTTAGAGGACCTGTTGCTGAACAGTGCTCTACAGAAAATAGATAGTTTTTTTTTGCCGCACTCTGTATATAAAAAAAGCTGAGTCAGCTTTTATTGTCAAGATCGCAGAATACGTCTGTGATGTGACAAAAATCATGCTTTTGCCACAAACGTGGAGGACAATGATCATCAATGATGTTTCCGTGACCACGGGATATGATAAAGATGTTTCTTTGACAGCGATAGAAAATGATGATGTTTACGGGACCACAGGAGACGATAAAGATATTTCTGTGACAGCAATAGACAATGATGATGTTTACGGGACCACGGGAGACGATAAAGATGTTTCTGTGACAGCAATAGACAATGATGATGTTTACGGGACCACGGGAGACGATAAAGATGTTTCTGTGACAGCAATAGAAAATGATGATGTTTACGGGACCACGGGAGACGATAAAGATGTTTCTGTGACAGCGGGAGACAAAGATGATGTTTTCGTGATTGCAGAAGACAATGATGATCTGCACACGACTGTGGGAGACATTCAAGATTTTGCAATCATAGGAGACCATAATGATGTTTCTGTGACAGCAGGAGATGATGAGGGTTACTGTGAAAATAATAACGACTACTGTGGGTAATAAGACTATTGTGGGTGATGATTATTACTGGTAAAGTTCTGTAGTTTGTCAGAATTTTGCCGTAATCACGGAAAACAATGATGATGTCTACATGACTGCTAGGGATTTTAGAATTTTTCCGCAACCACGATTTTGCGTTTAATCTTTTTGTCTTTTGGATAATCGGTGATTTGGATACTTGGAGTTTGGATTATAAGAGTTTTACTTTTCTTACTTTTAAAACTTGACTTTGATTTGAAGTCGATACATCCAAATAAATCTCCCTTACCAATTTCACAGAACTTTCGCTACCTTTCAATATAAAACATATCCCTCTTATGAAAAACCAATTAAAGCCATCCCCACTTCAGTTGATGCTGCATAATTTATGTAAATAAAAAAACTATGTAAATAAGCAGAACCCAATAAACCACTAATATAAATTCCAATCAACTTGAATATCCAATATTTCTTTCCCTTTAAAATTCATCAACTGTAATAACTATTGTAATTACGTTTACACATAATATATTGTGGTACTACTTAAGTTTTATAACTGAAGACTACAAGATGTTCAAACAACTTACTTGGCGCTTGATGATGGTTCAGGAACTAGATTTTCAACAGCAGTAGATGTTTTGTATTTTAAAACAGCTGAAAAAAATGTATTTGATTTTGAGAATTCCATTTTTAATGGTTAACCAAAATGTGTGGTAATTTTTAGTATGGAATGGTAGGCTAATTACTTTAGTAACTTGCAGCTTAGGGGCTGGTACACACTGAGGCAACTTCGGTAGCCTGCCACGCGACATCAGTTGCATGCCCCCGCGACTTGGGATAACCTTGAAGTCCCTACCCCTGGGACAGAGGTTGCTACATCTGCCAACTATAGCCACTAGGGTTGGCCACCAAAATATAGATGTCTTTTGTCAACAAGATGTCGATGCAGGCGGACAAGATGTTGCTTCTACTTCTTCTTTGCAAGCAGAAACCATGTTTAAATTAAAGTGAGCATGTGTCCTTTTCTCCTAGAAAGGGGTACAAACAGGCTTCACAAGTGAGTTTGCTGACTTGAAAAGTGCTGGAAAACGTTATTTTTATTACTACAGAATGTTTCCCGTTTCATTTGTCATTTTGTTGGATCATGTAAAGAAAGGTATCCAGAAAAGCAGCACCAGCATGAGAAGACCTATTCCTGGAGAAGAAAGGCTGGTGTCTCAGCAGTCAAAACACAGCTTTCCATCCCAACACAAAATGAGGTGTTGATGTTGATAGTCTTGCAGTTCGGGGGCGACTTGTAGTTGCATCCCACTCCTACATTCCTAGAGCAACAAACAAACATTGTCTCAGGGTGACACAAATCTGTTGCTGACCCCTGCGACAGATTTGACCAGTCAGTGAGAAGATGGACCTGGAGTTGGCTGATTTTGGTCATGCGTCTTCCAGCCATGTCACGCCCAATTGTACAGCCCCCGCAAAACTGCAACAATGTAAAACCTATTTCAGAGCGACTGTGCCCGACTAGAGGTCATTCAAGGTTATCCCAGGGCAGGCGATCGAAGTCTCCCCTGTGTATACTGGGGCTAAGAGCTAATTCATAATATACAAAAATGTACTTAACCATCACTTATTTACATAAAAGTGTCTTTAAAAATTTTACCTACAAACGTTTTTTAAAGAAGCCTTTTCAGTTCAGTCTTGGAATTGACAAGTTTTACATAACAGCATTGTTTACTTTCATAACAGCATAGTTTTACTTAAGTACAGTAACGGACCAATGAGGTTCAAGGATTGAGAGAGAATGAGTAAAATTGTAATGATTTGAACTTCAAATTATCAGCAGTTCAGGCCAATTTAATTGTTGAGTGGTGCAATTAGTGTTTCGTACAATGTTTCGTTGCATCACTCTCAGTGGCAATGAGAGGTTATAAACAAAAACATAACCTCTCTTAGAAGTTATGAGTAGTGATTTTTAGTAATTAAAACACTGTTGTAGGTAAAGTAGTGTACGCAATCCGCGTAAATAGTGTTAACGACCCGAGTAGAAAATTTCTTTACGCAATCGTTGCGTAAACTACTATAAATTAATTAAATGAAAAAGATTTTCTAACAAGAGGGTTAAGAACAAGCAAGTCTCTCTCACAAAACCGCTACACTTACCAAATGAGTGGATTACAAAAAGAATGCTTAAAGAAGTAAAAAAAATAGTTTTAAGAAGTTATTTGCTAATGACTATTTATTAATATTTTACTAACTTCAAAAGTACATGGACTGTTATTAAAGAAATCATGTTTGTTGGTCTAGATTGTGAAAAGGATTACCACTCCACTGTTATATTATTTTATGCCTGATGTGTCCAAGCCATTTAAACCTTAGTTTACAAAACTGATGCCTTCAATGAAAACGGACAATTAAGCCTAGTTAACCTTTATTTTTGAGTCAAGAAGGTTCATAAATGTGACATATGAACTAAGTCACATTTATGAAAGGCCTCCTAAGGTAGGCCTATAACCGAGAGAATATGATTTACAAAGACGAGAGAGAAGTGTTAGGTTAGGATAGCAGGTTAGGTTATTATATTTTTATAAGTTTAGTATGCATTTCTAGCCTCTATATTGAATTAATAAAATTTGTAATCTTGTTTTGTCTTCCAATTTACAGTCTGCCAATTAAAGCTAGCCTAAAACAGAGTGTGTTATTCTGTATACATCAACTGCTGGCAAGTACTGGCAATACAACAATTATTTGTTATTGCAAAGTCTTGAGCTTATCACAAATTTGTATTTTTACTTACGTGATTCTAAATCTTCTTTTTCAAGGACCTTTATCATTGTGACTATATCTTCATATGACGATACACCAGAATCCTTTTCAAGAATGTCCTTTAAAACAAAAGATTTATGTTGCATTTAATGAATTAATTAATAAAAATCTAGTTATTTCTTTTATTAAATTAAAATGGTTTATAAAAAAGACACATTTCGTTAACATGCTTGCATTTTGTTAAAATTGCATTATTTTTTTGAAAAAAAAATAAATTCAACATAATAGCAATATTTTAACAATTAAAGTTTATTGTGTTTGACACTGATCACTACAGTTATAAAATGCATGTAACTTATGAAAGAAATCCTTATGAAAAACTTACAGGAGTGATTGAAGCGTCATATGACATGCTTCTTCTGTTTTTCTTCTTGGTGTTTTGGTGTAAGGCTACACTACTCTTTGGATTAATATGCTTCAATTGAGACAAGGGAGGTTTTGAACTTTGAAATGGGGGAACACTCGCAGCTCTACACACTTCTTTAACTGGTTTCTTGATCTTTTGGTTGACGTTTTTTCTCCCTTTTTCTCCATTTCTATGCTTGCTGAGAAGCTCGTATATTTGGCTTGATGTGTCATCATCATTTCTCCTTCCAGTGTTTGAATTACTCTCAGAATCTCTGTCTTCATCCGGTATTGAATCTTGACCATTACCAGTACTGATGAATTCTCTCACTTGGGATATTTGATTCTCTGCCTTTAGATCTTTAGAATGCTGCTCTGGTCCGTCTATATCAATATCTTTTGATGAGGAGTCATAGGGCTTTATAAATTTTGAGAAGTGAGTGTGCTTTTCTTGTTTATGTGTACTCGTATCAGTCTCTTTGTTCTTAGATTGATCAGTGTCTCTAGAATTTAATACTTTTACATTGTTTCTCAATATTTGATTTTCAAACATAGCTTTGTATGTTTGGAGGTGAGCATGGTACACTTGGTCTTGCTCAGAACAGAGTCTAATCGGTGATGACAGAGTATGTTCATGTTTTCCATTTTTATCAGTAGATTTAAAGTCTTTTGCATTTTTTTCACTGATAGATAGGGAATCAATTATATTATTTTCATATTCTTGTTCAAAGACGTGGGTTGTAGTCCCTGATGCACTTTTACCCTCACAGCTACCATTGAACGAACTTGTAATATTGTCATATGTTATTGGAGTGGACGTCAACCTATACTTTGAAGCAGATGTTTCAAATCCAAAAGGACTATCAACATCATCCCTAGACAGGGGTGTTTCACCTTTCAATGAGTAGTTGCTTGAATTTATATTTTTATTTTCTATTTTGTTCAATCCAGAATAAAAAGTCTCCTTTGTTAGTTTACCCGAATTCGCTGATTTAACATTGCGCTCGTTATCTTTACACATTTCATTCTCAGAATAGAGATTTACACTGTGAGATCTCACATTTAAGTCACAGGGAGAGCAATTTCCAGTTAAATCACAATGTGATAAACGTTTCTCGTTATTTACTTTACAAGATTTGTCCTGAGTGGGTATGTAATTAGGTGTTAAACATCTGTGTTTTCCATCCGACACAAAATCTTCAGTGACAATATCACAACCATATAGATCAGGTTCATGGACGACAATCTTTGGTGACTTAATTTGTTGTATCCTATCGACACAATTTTCATTCTTCGTTTCATCAAATCTGACATTTGACTTTTTTGAAGATTCGTCACCTCCGTTGGGTGTTCTAATTTTCTTAACAAAAGTACTAATGTTGCTGACAGGAAGTGGTGTTTGTGTGATTTCATTCCTCTCAGTCGTTGGAGCTTCGTCCAGCACACTACCACCATCGTCCGAGTGATCTGGTGTGACAAATAGAGAGGTTCTACTGATAATCTCTGACTCTAAGATGGCATCAGGGAACCATCTCTGGAACTTGAGGTTGATGATATCATCAGAGGTCATGGGTGTCTGGGGGGAGGGTGTGGGTGGAAGTGGAGGTTTAGACGTGAGGCCAGGCTCTAGCTGAGCCGCTGCTTTGATCGTGTCACCTAGACTCGGCTGAGGACTTGGAGCAGGGGTGGAGTCAGAGTCAAGGCCCTCATTGATTGAACAACTCCCCATGAGGCTGTTAAACAGTTGGGAGGAAGACAAAGTGTAAGTTGCTCCAAAATCTGCACAATAATCTGAAATCAGAAAATAATACTTATAGCATATATGTGTTTTTTACTTAAGAATTTAGTAATATGTCACAAGTTTACTGTTGAGGAGTCATAGATCACTAATTATAGAATAGGTAGCTGTCTGTAGTACAGTGTTTGGTTTCATATTGGCACTGACAAGTCATCTCTTGAAAACTTATTCTCTGAAAAAAATAAATGAAACAATCCACTTCAATAAATAATCTATATACTTAAATACAATAAGTTTTTCTCTATAACATCCCTTTTTCGAGTCCTACTTAACAAATTTTTAAGCTTGAGGTGCTATAACTTTTTAAAGCTTATGATTTTGCGGAGGGACGAATTGATTTTAAAAAGGTACAGTAATTAATTTTCTTTAGGGCTTCACTACCCTAGCTTTTGGTTTATTTCAATGGGGCACTTTTAAAGGTTCAGCGTTGCTGACCAACTTTCTTTAAAAGGGTTTTAAATATAAATTGCAATTTAACAGCTACCTTTACAGCATTACCTAAATTAACAGCATTACCTTAAGTTGATTTTTAACCCTCAAGGAGGCGCTTCACCAGTAAAACAGGAGCGGGCGCATGCGGAGTTTTATTCCGCAACACTAAATAGCATAAATTTCACCCATTTTACTTGTTGTTATAACGAAATATTATATGTAAATGTTGAATAAACTAATCAGAAACATAATTTCCTTGTTAATAACATTAATTGTTTGAATTAATATGAGTAACATTTCAAATAATGATATTGAGCAATTTTCGAATATAAAGGTATGCGCGTGCGGAGTTTTGTTCCGCAATAATGCAATTATACATATACACGCAAACAAAATATATTTGATAGTAACTATAAATGAAATAATACATTTAAACATGTTTATAATTTTTTATGTATAAAATATACACGCAGTTTGACAATAGCGCATGAGGAATTAAACTCAGCGCAAAGGACTTGCGCGATAGGGCGCACGCGGAGCAAACCTCCGCAAACTGACACCGCGTCACTGAATTGTAACTGACAACAAAATGAGGAGGGATTCGGGGGTAAAAAGAGCTTAGGAGCATTCCCAGGATGAGGTGCGTGAAGTGTAGAGCCGGACATGACTGCCGACACCCATTATACATATTTATATTAACAAAAACTAAAAGTGCGGAGGAAAACTCCGCAAGCGCCCGCTCGAGGGTTAACCACAGTCAGATTTCAAACAAGAGACTTAAGTTAAACACAGTTGACAATAAGATCAGTAGGCTATACTATATGAAATTATACTGAGAGTCGGCCTTAGGCACATTCAAAAGGTGCTGCTGCACAAGGCCCCGCACCTTGGGAATAGTAGCAGATCCAGCTAGGGGGCGCCCCCCCCCCCCCCTGGACACAAAAAATGTTTAACTATCGGGTAGGCCTAACATGTTGTATTGTTGGGCCTGGTCTACACTCTTAGCAAATCTATTACTTATTTAACACACAAGCAGGTTTTTGTGACAATTACTCCTCCGAAACTACTGAACCGATTGACATGTTTTTGGTGTCATTGCAAAGAGCGTAACGTGTAGTTGTGCAGGAAACTTTCTTTTTAGGGAAATAATTGGAGAGTGAGGCCCTGGGGCCCTTTAAATTTTTATATTTCTCCATAAGATTAACATAGGAAACAAAAATGATTATGAAACTCCAGCTGTTGTCAGAAATTAAAAGTGAGGAGAAGAACATATGTTAATTGTAAACAGTCAACAAGATTGCCAATTCAACAGTTTGCTACAAACATTTACTGACATTTAGCCTACTATTTGAATTTGGGTTGGCGTAAATATTACAATAGAAAAAAGCGAGAGAGCCTGGATAAATTTATATACTAAAAAGAAAACTGAATTAACACTGTGCTGCATTTCGTAGTAATAATTGAAAGAGCTAATTTGAAAACTATGGAAAAATAGGAAAGTCATAGAACACCACCAAGGAAAAGAAATAGAAATAATTTTTTTTTTTAGAATTTACAATCATGGATAACCTAATGGGGCTATGAGTAAGGCTAATTGTAGAAAACACTAAAAAACAAGATCAGCTTTTGAAAAATGATAAGATTTACAAGAAATGTTGATTAGTATATCGATCTGTTATGTACATCTTGAGTATTTCCATAATCTTTGAGTCGAATCTATTAGAGTTATCAGAAATTATGGATGTTATTTGTTTTAAAATAACACCTGTCAGTAATACTTAGCAATTGCTCGAATTCGAGCAACAGGGACACTAGTAATTACTTAACTGCCAGAAATTGACAAATTAATGTATTTCCCTCGTAACTTACATAACCCTGCAAGTGTATTCCACTTTAGTAGCTTTTATTTTAAGGAAACAGTCACACTCGACTCAATAAAGGACATTTTGCCTACTTCAAAATGTGTTGCACTAGATCCACTCCAGTCCATATGAACTAGATTGAATTCAGCGTAACTGTAAATTGATATTCTAGGCTTTATTCCATAACCTGTCTTAAAATTATCCAGTTTAGTTGTATAATCAATTGTTCTGGCATTGACTTTAAATCGTACATATGTAGGCCTAATCTTTTCATCCTATTGTAAATTTTGAAGCTTGTTTTGAGTGTGTTCCATAATTGATTTGATTTATATATAACCCTATATTATTTGGTTAAGATTTTTATGGTAAAAATAAATACCCCGCCGCAGCAAACCTGCAGACTTAGCAAATTTCCATTTGCCTGATTGGATTTAAACTAAAATGTCTCCTTAAAAATGTCACATTTATTCCCTATTTAAACATAATTAGTTTAATGAGTACTTAGGTTTGCTGCAACAGGGAGGGTAAAAAGTTTTTTTTTATGTAGAATATTAAAATGTACTGTGGTTTAGTAAGAAATTAATGTATTTTTCAACTTTTATCAAAATATGTTCATAAACAAGCAAACTACAACAGTTGACTTATTCTCCATAAGAGTAACATGGGAATTTTAAAATTACAATTTATTTGAATTTTCTCCGTAACAATTAGGCGCATAATAACGCTTCAATATACTAAATTATTTGTTTTTTTAAGCTCTACAAAATGGTTTAAAAAGAAATTGTGAAATTTTGTGTTTTTAGGGTCAAAAATGGGTATAACCTATTTTTACCCCATAAAACCCCCCATAAACCCCCGTTCCCATAGTCCGATCATGCTGGTTCGCGAACTCATTCAAGTTTATCCCACCTTACACCTTCAAACCAAATTTGATCAAAATCGGACAAAAATTACTCAAGTTATCATGCGGATGGACACACAGATATATAAAAATTTGAACGAATGGTGTTTTTGGCCTCTGGGGACATCAAAATGAAAAAGTAAATCGGTCCCGGGCTTAGGTCTTACTATGAGACCTACGGTATTAGCTACTTCCCATAAAAAGTGTTTGTGCTATTTTTTGAAATGTGTGATGAAAAATTTTTGTTCTGGGGGACATCAAAATGAAAAAGCAAATCGGTCCCGGGCCTAGGTCTTACCCTGCCACCTAGAGTAATAGCTTCTTCCCTATAGGGAAATTCGCTAAAAGGGAACAAATGATAATCAATAAATTACCCTCTAAATAAACCGGTAGGATCTACATCCAACCTTAAAATTGTCTTCAACATCATCTACCGTGATCGCGTAGCCAACGCTATCATCTCTTACGATCGCGGGAAAGTCGTAAACAACCCGGCTATATCGAAGACTATATTCGTATCCCGCGATCATGGCGGATTTGAGAGCATCTTCCATGAACACCATAAGATATTATTCTCGTCTCCCGCGATTTCAGAAATATCTTGAACATCCCAGTGAACATTGACTCATTATCGTTTCCTGAGATCCGGACAATACCCTGCACACATACCACGGCTGCAACATACCCTGCGATCACAGAAACATCATTATAGTCTTCCATGGTCGAGACAAAATTATTGCATAGCAACCAAATAAACTGAAACGTTTTTCACCAATTCAAGTTGTTTTACAAGTACCAGTAAACCGAAACCAACTTCAAAAATGGGTTTAATTTTGAACCCTCGTAAAGTTCACACTTTTTTCGTTCATATACCTATGGAAAATTTCGTCCAAATAATATGTTAAAAAATAAGTGCGCCCCCCCCCCCCTCAAAAAAGTCCTGGATCCGCATCTGCTTGGGAAGCCCTTTGTTAGGCGCAAAATACAAAAACTGGTTAAAAGTCCTTGAATTTTACATCAGTATTTTAATAAAAAAAAGGGATGTGCATAAATGCAAATATTGTATTTTGATATTTTTGTTAATTATTATTGTTGGTGTACTTTGTTTTTGGGTAGTAAGGGCCCCCTCTGATTTTTTTCACTGGGCCACACACAACCAAGGCCGGCTCTGATTATATTTTGACCATACTACTTTTATTAATACAGTTTTAGTCTGATTGAGTTAAGTAAATCACACTTTATGGTATAGATCAGCGGTTGCCTTGCCCTGTAGGATTTCAGGGGGGCATGAGCGCTCCTAGAAAACTAATAAATAAAAATACAAAGTAAAGCAAAAATAATGTAAAATGAATTTGGAAATGCAGCCATATAAGATCCTTAGATTTAATCACATTGAAAAATAGTATAGATAATTAGATATTTTATTACAAAGAGGGAGTAGAATTTTGTATTTAAATATGATATATGATGGGTTTATATATGGTGGGTGGGAGGACGGGGAGTATGAGAAAAATTCAAGATTTTAAGGGTGGTATGGAGCAAAAAAGGTTGACAACCCCTGGTATAGATATAATTGACATATTAGTGTTATTATAATAGTGTCTTCGATAGATATTTGTATTATTTTTAATAATTAATATGATGATGTTTTTCTTAAAATGTTAACTTTTTTCAGCTACTAATTAGTCTTTTAAACGTACAATGGTATTGCATTATTTGTTGTTTCGGAGACAGAATTTCAACCCTATCGAAATTTAAAATCTGTGCTTCAATATCATAAGAGAGATCATAGTTGTAAATTGAGAATATAGGATAAAAAAATAGTTAAATCATAACAACTAAGTTATTATGAAAGATTTCTGATTTAACATAATTTTTTTAGTTTAGAAGAATTTATAAAAACATAACTTTAAACATGGGTTATTTATTTATTTTAAATACAGGGTGTAGCTCAATGAGGTTAAAACTTTTCATTTTATAATTCTTGCCCCTGTGCATGACTACATGTGTAAGACTATGTATCTTATTGTGTATAAGGATTTGCAGTAAATATTTTATATATATAATAGTCTTTAGACTAAGTATTTTAAAATAATAATGACACAATCATGTAGTTTTGTATGTGTTGAATTAAGATTTCTTTAAATTTTGTAATTTTACAATTGATGATGTACTGGAAAAGGTGATGGGCGTGAAATTCTTTAAGTTCATTCGATTCCAACAAAGAAAGTAAATTAATGTAAGGAGAAACATAATTCCTATGTCTCACACCATGTCAGAAAGATATTTCAATTCTTATTTCTATAGCTTAACACAATGCAATTCTATTTGAAACCTCCAAAATATGTTTCATCTAATCAACCATGAGAACTATGTATGAAGCAAATGCAATAAATTTATCTTTTAAGCGTTTTGATTCGTATACCTGGGTCATGAAGAGTAGGGTCTGAGAACTTGGCTGCCAGTTTGCTGCGGCGCAGACCTGCAGATCCTTCCGCAGACTGCGGTCTGCTCCAAGGCGGAGGCCTCTTGCTGCGGTTTTGACCCTGGAAAATAAACACATAGCCATACAATGAGCTGAAATACACAAAGCATGTTCTCTATTCAAAATACAGGGTGTAAACAATGGTGCAAAACTAAACAGGTGGGTTTTCGGTTTGCCTTGATAAAGACAGCCTAGCCAACAATGCAAAGAGAACTTTTAAAAGTTTGTTTTCATATTCATATCAATATGTTTAGTCTTAAATACTTGATTAACTATAATAGACTTGTTTATAAATTGGCTCCTACAAAGCAATAATACCTCCGCTGCAGCAAACCTGCCATCTAAGCCAATTTCCATTTGCTAAATAGATTTTCAATTAATCTTTTTAAATAGCATTAGGTTTAACAAACACCTACAAGGAACACAAACCTACATTAGGTTTGCTGCTACAAGGAAACTAATAAAGTGTGTTCTTCAGTAAAATAATTATAGCTTAGTATAAAATCAATAAATTTGCAAAATATGATCAAAATATATCCATAAATAAGCAAACTACAACATTTTACAATATTCTCCTTGAGAATAACATGGGAATTTCAAATTAACAACTTTTTGAGTTTTCTCTGTAATTAATAACCTACAAAAACACTTTGATATACTGGATTATTTGTTTTTTAATCTCTTTAAGAAGGTCTAGAGATAAACAAGGAAATTTTATGTTTTAAGGGTCAAAAATGAGAAAAACCTATTTTTACCACATAAATCCTGTTCCTTTGGTCCGATCCCGAACTCATTCAAGTTTATCCTGCATTACACCTTCAAACCAAATTTCATTAAAATCGGACAAAAATTACTCTAGTTATACTCACGGATATATATATATACCTATACATATAAAAAAATTTTAACGAATGGTGTTTTTGGCTTCTGGGGGACATCAAAATGTAAAAGCAAATCGGTCCCGGGCCTAGGTCTTACCCTGCCACCTACAGTAATAGCTTCTTCCCTATAGGGAAATTTGCTAAAAGGTGTTATGTGACCGACAGTATGCTCGATCAGCAGCTGTTGTGACTGTTCAAATAATTTTGAAAAAATATAGAAAAGATTCTTCTTGGTTGTAACTGCATGCATGCAGTTAAGCATAAGTTAATTGAAGCAAATGATAAATCTTTGAAGGAGAATATTATTGAGCGGAGCGAGCGAAGCGAGCGAAGCTCTTTGGGATCAACTTCAATGCGAACAATATAACACCATCACTCAATAACGGCTGAACACATTTCAGCCAAACTTAACAAGACTACTTAGACTAATAATGAGATGGTTTGTAAACAAACAAATTCCAATTAGATAATGCCAATGCAATTTAAAACGAACTTAAAATTTCAAATTTTTAACATTAGGCTTATGGGACTAAAGTAGCTATGACAGTTTTTTTGTTTACAAGAAAAATGTAAACAAGAGAATCATAAGGTATTTCTGAACTTTCTATACTTTTCTTTTAAACGTTTTTAAACCATTCCTATGATTTTAATAAACGAGAAAATGCCGTTAAATCATTTTTTTAAGGCGCGGAATTCACTGAAAATCGAGAAAATATACGGAACTACTTTCTCAATGCGCGGAGCATAAACTAGGAGCGGAGGGATACGGACCGGTGACTACTTTCTTGGGAACCTATTTTGTTGCCAGCTGGTTAGAAACAGCCAATGTTAGAAATCACGATTTAATAAGCGATATATCGAACCGCATCGAAATCGGTATTTAATCCGATAATACCTCATAGGTTATATTATGTTGAATTACATCGACGGTACAGTAAGTTATTACACTTATATAAAACGCAGATTGAACACTGATCTAATTTAGGCATGTGGGGAGGTAGGTCGGGGTTTATGAGTTTCGTGACTACATTAAGTGTTTAGAAGTAAGGTTAGATTAGGAAGGTAAAGTGTATGTTATAGGTAGGTGATCGGGTTGTTTATTTGTGTTGCACTATATAATTTTTTACTTTTGGAATGGAATAGTTGGTTAAGGTTAAACAGGGAAACAATTTCAAAAATGCTTGCATATGGTCTTAACTTAACAAACCATCTACAGTATTCTAGCTTTGACTTTATATAAAGTCAATGATTCTAGCAAATTATTACATACTGACCAAAAGAAAAGAGAACATTTGGATTTGGACCTTTGACCATAGCAAAACTAACACGTATACAAATATCAAATCACGTTTGTTCCGCTCAACTGGCTTTCACCTCTCTGAAAGCAACCCTAGTAAGCTTGTTTTCAAACAAGAGACAATATTTTCACCCAGGGACTGGATATCTATTGAGACTTGTCAAAATATATGCATCAACTTTATGGTGAATCAAATAGGTAATTTTGACTTGTACCTCAAATTCCTTTAGAGTAAAGGAAATCCATACAGTTTGCAAACATTAACTATACAGTGGTTTAAATTACTTTGTTACTGTCAAAAAACTATCCTTCGTAGTATGTGAGACTGCAGCTGTTTCATGCTTCAAAGGAGCACATCTTCAGGTCGGAAGAACGTCAAGTAGTCTTAATTGGGAACACGAAACATTTAGAATTGGTCGATCAGACGACGGTAACAATACACGTAATACGGCGCCGGCTGAGGGAGAGTCGCGAGTTGTTACCGTCGTCTGGTCAAAAAATAAAAAAATTTTCGTGTTTCTGTGTGTTATGTGTTTTGTTACCTATTTATTAAACTTTTGACGAATTCCAATACGCGGAATATATGATCCCAATGAAGACTACTTTACGTTCTTCCGACCTGAAGATGTGCTCCTTTGAAGCATGAAACAGCTGTAGTCTCACATACTACGAAGGATCGTTTTTGACAGTAACAAGGTAATTTAAACCACTATATAGTTAATTCAGACGATCCAGAGGCCATTCCATCATGAAATATTAACTGTTATGGACTTAAAAGTATCTCACCCTATAGCCAAACGATGGTGTTGCAGACATTGGCCTCCGCAGAGCACAAGGTCTTAAACTTCGCGGTAACTTCTTTCGAGACGATGAGTTATCTTTGGACTTAGGTCTTTCAGATAGATTTATCTGAAAATATGAATGGTGATTAAATATTCACTAAGTTATATTAAAATGACATTTGAATACATAGCACCTTTGCAGTTTATTGATAACTAGAAATCTTGTGAGTCATCTCATTTAATGATCTATGTTTAAAGGTTCTGAATATCAATTGATCTAATTTTCTGATTTTTTAAATTGATTTAACCAAGTAGGATCTTGTTTGTCACTTATTATAAAAACATATTTCTGAATTCTTGTGTTTTTCCCTTTTAATTTTGTTACCTTGATAGTTGATGTAATAAAAATTATGTTATTCACAATAACTTGTCCTTTCAAAAAACGGTTTGTGTAATGGTCAAAGGAGTCATTTACATCAACGCACTCTGTAGGATGTTCAATACAACTACGTAAATTTATATTCTAAAACAGTTTAAAACTTTACCATGGGAAAGAAATGTTTACTGTCTAGTTTTATTTTTAGCCAAAGTTTTCTAGGCTTGACTTCAATGTTGCAGCAAATATCAGTTACAGCTTTAGTAGGTTTTGTTGAGTTATGTTCAAATGAATAGTTGTGACTAAAGGTTTAATTATATTACTCTTATTTGAATTCAAAAGTTAAAGGGTGCCAAATTACAAGGATCTTGTGCCCAAACCTAAAAATAAGAAGACTCGGGCTTATGTCCCGATGGATGTTGCACAATGCTTGTAAGCATCTTGTAACTAACAGTAATATTTTATAGACTTGTTTAAGTGGAAACTTGTCATAACTAGTGCAAAACTTGTGTTTGACCAATTCAAAGATATCATGGTTTTGCAAAATAAATAATGAAATACAAATTATGTTTCCATAAACATAGGTTAGACAGTTAAGTATACTACTGTATTAGAAGAACACTGATTTCATACTACTTTGTACTCGGTTGCATAGATAAAACTAATTGCATGGATTTCTAAGTAATATAACATTAAGTAGCAGTATAATAGTAATATATAAATTTGCATAGTGCTCATAACAAATTTTGATATTATTAGGCCTATAACCTACACATATTTCTTTAGTGTTTGAAACCTAAAAATTGTATTTATCTAGAATAGTTACTGTAACTTAGCATGGAAAAAAGCAAAATCAGGCCACGTAAAGAAAGTTTGAGACCCACCACCTTAGAAATTAATTATTGGTTTTGTTGTAAGCTCGAATATCTATATATTTAATACGCGACATGAAACTTTGTGAACAATAAGGCTTTTTTATTTTAAGATTTAACCCCACATATTATATACCAAAATGTTCGTCTAGGTGTGTAGATGTGCAAACTGGCTTTAGATTTTTGAAATATATATTTTTAAGGGCGTGGGCTGCCCTCAAAATTCCTTCCATAAGGATAACATTGTGATTGATTTGGATGTTATTATATTCTGAAACAGATGTCAATACATTAGTTTAAAAAAAGTTAAATCCCAGCTGTTTTGTTTGGTTTTGAAATGTAAAGAGTTTGCATGTTTTTAAAAATAATTAGAAACCCGGCCAATTAATGTTACCTATAGGACACGACGGGAGAAAAGTTTTACATTATATTTTCGTTTGAACATGCCAAGGACCCGACGACAAAGAAATATTGCCGGTCGGACACGGCGAGTCAACATACGGCAAGCAATGCAAAACGAAGGAGCCCAGACGAAGAGCTGGAAAAGTTAGTGGCAACGTGTATTTACAAAATTACACTGACAAGAACAAGAATTCAGCAGCATTCACTTGGCGAGATGGCATTAAAATGTCAGAAATGTGGTGCGCTACATTTTAAAGAAGAACAAAGAGGACGAGGCGAAGGATTTTCATCCTGCCGCCATAAAGGAAAAGTGAATCTACCACCACACCAAGAAATCTATTATATTAAGAGCCTACTTAATGGAGCAAATCATTTGAGCAGAAACTACAAAGAGAACATTAGATCGTACAACTCTGCGCTCGCAATGGTCAGCACTTGAGCTAAAATTGAAGAACATAACGGTGGAGGGCCTTTCATGTATAAGGTGCACGACCCAATTTATCACCCAATTGTCACCTTTCAACCGTCAGAAGGGGAGCATCCCACATATGCCAAAATTTATACCGACGGACTTCGAAACCGCTGTTCAAGAAGGAATGCTAAACAAAGCTAAAGGCTTCGCAGCCCTGATTCAACTTGATATTAACCCATACGCGCAAGTTTTCAGCATGATGAGCTCCGTCCTGCAAAATACCCCAACTGAACAGCAAAAAGAACTTAGAATGCATATAGGTAGTCAACGATCGAGCTCAAGACCAACGTCGATACAACGATGCAACTTCTAACGACATTGCTATAATATCCTAATTTATTATTCGTGCGAATTCGCACAGGTTCACCTAGTTAATAAATAAAATTCCCTAACCATGAAACTATAAACATAAAAAAACTTTAATTATTTAATACTTTTCGATAAAATGGCGACCATACAAAGTAGGTATTTTAAGCCAAGTATGAATGGAGATGAGTGTAGGATGAGTGGCGCGATCTTGTAGTCTTGTTAGTGACTAAGGCCGACATATTCCTTAGACACAGCTGTTAATTAATAGCCCATACAGCTAATGGCAACTAAGGGACCTACAGTTTATAGTGGAATTCGAACCACATTTTTGCCTTGGTATAGGCCTATACGAATTGGTCTAATTATCAGGATAGTACTGCGGATAGTCGTAGTACTCACTCGTGCGGACGTTAATCTACACCAGAGAGAGTATCGCATCCACAGTGCATGCCTATAAATATCCACAATTCGTGACCTCCTAGTAACTGGATTACAGGACGACGCCACCCGTCCCAGTCTAGTAAACTATAACTAGCAACTATAGCTACCGTGAAAACGTGTGTGAAAAAATAAGGAGATAAAACCATGTTTGCATAAACAGTTAGGGCAAAAAATATTAAGTTTATAAAGTCTTGATGAATTTAAAATAGTTTTCAACAAACTTATAAATAAACCAACTATTTCCTAACTACAGTAGTTAAGTTTTGTACATACATACGTAATTATAAATACAGTATAGTTTTAAAAATCATTTATTTCAGAATAATCTACCTGGTTTCCACTTAACTCCAAATCTACAGTTTTCACATAAGCAGTATTCGTTCTTCTGTCGTGTTTGAAATCCATCTTACATTACCATAGTACCTCGCGAGGTTAACTAACTCTAACAAGCAAAAAGTAAATATTATTGAGATCTACAATGTTTGACATTTGCGTAAGAGGAAATTATTTTTAACGCTGTTTTCTTTTCAACTGAACAAGCATAACTAACTAGCTTGTTTATTATTAACCAAGACAACTGAACAGAAAATTGTAAATACAACGTAGCAACATGACCGGACACTTTTGTTTACATCAATGACAGCTCTTGTTGCTAGGCAACCAACAGCTGGTTAGCGAAATCAAGGACAACAAAAATAACGCACCAACGGCAACGAAATCCATATAGCCACAAAACATTACATAAAGTGTGTACACCTTTTAAAATACACTACCATTGAATAGTATGTGGCATTAAGCTTACTATGTAAATTAATGCTTTAAACTGAGGTATGTTTACTCTATTTATCAACTATATTCATTTTAGTATGGACAAACCTTCGCGTCCCAAACACTTGCATTGCATGTACATGGTTGTGTTTGCTCGAAATGCTTAACTCCAGCTATACTGAGGACGAACCAAAATCATCAAATATATCGTCATTAGATGCAGGCTGAGTCTCTGGTTTCGGAAGAAGGTCGTTGGGCGAAATCTGAAAGTGGGCCAAGATGTTATTATTTTGTTAGTCCAGCCTGCTTACGTCAATCCTGTATCACACAAAACAATGTTGGAAAACTGGGAGGATTCAACTGTACTTGGGTGCGACAACAAAATATTCTTTAGGTTGAATAATAAAATATTGACTTCACACAAAGTAATTAAATTCTGTTTAGTCACTAAAAAGAAAATATGACGTCTTCCACATTTTTTGCTAGCAGATACAAAAATGTTAGTAATACTATTTGATTCGACTCTAATTTTACTGAATTTTAACCACTTATATGAATATTTTTTTATATTTTATATTCTTTATACCCTTGGGGGAATGTCTCATGAGCCGCTACCATAGTGGTAACACCAAACTCTGAAACGCTAGGGGCGTCAAAAGGTTTCAAAAATTTTATTAAAAACCACTATTTGTCATATTAGAAACAGGATGCAGAAATGTAATAATTTTTAGAATATTTGCTTATTATTAGTTTGTGTTGTTGTGTATTATTAAAGATAATCCCCTAAAAGTGAGATTATGTTCTACAACCTAAGTCTGCTATTGTTATCCTATGAGTCAATCGACACAAAATAGTTAATTTATTTGTTGTAACAACCTTTTTAGAAACAACGTCCTCAAAAGAGAATCCTTTGAAGAAAGCAATTGTTTTCAAAGTGATTATTGATCGGAGTCTTTTGAGAGGGTCGGGCTGGAGCAGACGAGATGTCAAGTCTTTACCAGCAACTGAACAATTCTCTGCAGTTGATATCTGAAACGTTCAAACTTCTTAATTACTTTATAACGCGGCTGTGAACAGTACGAAAACAATATTCGACATCAGTGTGCAAAATACAACCCTGCAAGGTAGTTTAATGGTAAAAGTTGTTTTGTAAAGGTAGGCTACGCAATCAAAACGGATACAATATGAAAATCATTGATCCATTTCAGGAAAAATATTCACATAATGCTAATGTTTCGTGCATGAGTAAAAATCGTGTTTTTTGTGTGCTTTTTTACTACTGGTATGACCTTACAAACGTTGGTTTGCAACGCGGCCGTGATGGTAGTCATAGTGAACCGATAAGAAGTATGTCACTCGTCATGTTTGTATTGAAGTACTAATTTTGGGATCAATACGTAACAACTAACAACCACACAAGCAACCATCTAGTACACTGTGAACATGTGGATGGCCAACAGACAGATTCAACTTCAACAGAAAAACTACAGTAACAATAGCCATTCTATTGACACAGTGTAGTTTATGTCTTCGGGCGGTACTTATGTTATGATTCTCGCTTTAGACTGTATTATTTTAAAATATTTACATGGTGTAAAATATTAAAACTCTTGTTTTATTATTATTAGTTCGTTTTTTTTCAATCCCTTTACAACTCGGTGTGCAATACACTACTTCATTATACTCGTTCATTAGATGCAATAAGCTGGTTCAGCCTACTGATACTGTACTTACAAATGATTCCTCCTCTGCGGTAGATCTCGTAGTTTCTGGCTGCTCGAGTTGAGCCATCTTCCTCTGAACCACGTTTGGATACTGTAACAAAAACTTTTCTTGCTTAGTATAACTTAGGCTACTGTTTAACAAATCTTTTAGGTTAGTAAAACTGGAAACTAAAACTGGCATTCTATAGTAAGTATTATCACTGAAGATTAACAGTTCTTATTAAACAACAATCGATTTTCACTACACAAATCGTTGATAACAACTTCTACATTTTTGATATCGTTTCTTCATAGTAGAAGCCAAAAGTTTGTATCATAAGAAGTTAATTACGATACAATACGTAGCCAAATAAACTGTATGCAAAGGACTATTCAATAAAAAGTATATGGTTTTATTTTTAACATGGGTTTAGTTTGTAACATGTTCAATTTTACACCGACTTCAATTGGAGTAAAATCATGAACTAATAATTTTAATTTTAATTTGTTTGTACACTCCCCCGACGCTGCTCAATACGGGGGTTTTTAGAAGAGCACCCAATACGAATACAGAATCTGTGTATTATTGAATGTTTAAACTTCCAAGTTAGGCCAGAGTGAGCTTTACATTATAGTCTACTTACCTTCCGCAACGAAGGGTGGTTTGATTTACCTACATTTAATTGAGTTTCTATTTTGATCATGACCCCTTAATCTCTATTTGTCATTCGATTAACTCACTTTGGCGAAATATTTTAAATACAATTCATTTTAACGTAAAACTAAAGCCAAGCACTTCCTTTAAAACCCAATCGAAATCCCTTCATTAAACCCAAACATCCAGCATCCAGCTATATGCTGAAGACCGTAAACTTTAATAGTCAATAAACAGCGAAGAGTCTGAAGAGCCGCGGGCCGATCTCCTGCTCCAGTCAGTTGGTGTATTCAATTACCACTCGCATATCATTACCATCGCAGTTCTAACCTGTGTTAACGTTCATTAAACTATTTAGTGCCGACGATAAGCTCAGTAAAAGGACATCATGACGCGCCGTATACGTGTGTGGATCGTCGACGTGTAAAAATAGATAAACACATTGGCAATTATAATAAACTCGTAGTGGCTGCTGGCTGCTGGGGTCGTCGTCCTAGCTTGCGCAAGCGATGTCCTTCACCTTGCGTGCTGGTGCTCCCCCCACTGTCCGAGGTGGAAATGGAAATTGGTGCAACCGCGCCGGTGCAACCAGAGAGGCGAAGTAGGAAGGACTGAGCATTGAAAGAGGTTTCATAAGCAATATAGGGCCTACATAATTGGCATAACTTCGCTGTACTCCTACAAAAGAAAGGGAGTATATTGAGGGTGTTGTGGGCTCAGAAATTAGCACATCTGCGTACACTCACAGCCTATTGTTGTATCTGATGCAATTCTATTTATATTGTTCGAAAACAGGGTTTTCTCGAAAAAAAGTTCGCTACGGTATTTTCCTATGAGTTATTTGTTTCTGAGTTCTTTCAAAGGACAACCTGAAAAATACGAAGGCTACATAGTTCATCGCATGCTAAACAATCAAAAATACTGGAAATATAGTCTTTAGTTTCGAGTATCAGCAGATTTTATAAATATAACTTCACAAAGGTTTAGAAACACAATGCCACAAGGTGTGCGTGAAGAAAGTAGTTGCACATTAGTTGTGCTTTAGTGTTGATACATGATCTGTGAGTCGCGAATGTAGTGCGTAGCTGAGGCGGCGCAGACTCCAGCAGCCCCGGGGCGAGCTGCCCTGGCGCCGCGGACAATTAACACATTCCTGCCCTGGCCGCAGTAATTGCAGGATCAACGGCCCTGCATAAACACGGGGCCGAGTATCGCGTATCCGGCGATCCGCAGGAAATCGGGGAGGTCGACGAGAACAATGGCTGATTATGATCTAAGAAATTATTACACGAATGTTGAGTGCTAAGCTGACAACTAGTGGTGAACAATAGTGGTATGTCTGTAAACTGGGATTATGGTGTTCCGTTCATAGAAAGGTGCTAAGTGTATACTCAGCCATCATTGATCGACGGTTTTTTAAACGGTCCTGGCTAAATGATTTAGTTAGGCTTGGGCCGTAACAAAGCTATCATCTCATCAATCGAACAATAATCCTTGACTCGTATTTGCATCCAGGTGTCGCAAGAATCTAATATAATAAAAAATACGTAGCGAAAACTTAAATATTACTTCTCTTGTCTGTGATGCAAGTCTTCCGCAATGGATTCACTCAGCTGACCCAGTAGGACACGGTGCAACTGCGCACTTGATTAAGAAATTAGTTAAGCGGACCCAGTACGGCGTCAGAGTTCACCTCATAGTGTAAGGCTGTAGGCAACATGCAATGGGGCAGGCTTACATTTCACTAAACTCTTAGGTTTTACAAAACAGGGCGATAGAAGAACATGTTGTAGAGCATTATTTGGCCACATAAATAGGCCTACTATCTGGGTATATTCAAATTTTAAAATGTGTAGCCGATTATCTACTAGGTATGGAATACGTGAGCATTAAAAGAACTCCTATACTTGTTTTGAAAACCTCAAGAATTTTATTAATATAAGAAGAAGTTCTCAGGACAGATTTTTAATTGTGAATTGGGTCCATATTTGTTATTATGACAGTTCATTACTATCTCAAGGATGAATTGGCTGAATCACAACGCAGATGTGTGTTAAGAAATCTTTGTTATGCCTTTGTACAGTGACGTCATAGCTTTTAACGGCTTCTTCACAGAAGGCTACGGTGATCGCAAGCCTCAAAGCCTGCAATTGGATTACCCACAACGCCAAGCTACAACGGCTTACGCAACTAGAGACCACGACCAGAGACTCTGGCGATTTATCTGCATTCCTACTGATTCAAGGTTAACGCGACACAAACCTGCTCATTGTTTGTTTCGTATACTAATTTTACGTTTAGAGTAAGAACTATAACTGATAATAGTTATTTGTGTAACTAGTGGTGAAAGTGGCACTTTGCTGCACACGAGAGCAATGTTTACGCACGAGCCGCAGGCGAGTGCGGAATGATCTCGAGTGCAGCAAAGGCCTTTTTCACTCGTGTTACACATTATATTTTTCCTACAGTCACTATAAAGTATATAAATAATTAGTCTTTCAAACACCATACAACACGTTTTTAGGTTCAGCTGGCAACACAAATGGTGCCCTAGAGAAAGTAGTACCCGCGGTCCATATCACTCCGCTATTTTTCCTCGGCAAGAAATGTGCTCCGCGTTTTGAGAATATAGTTCCGTATGTTTTTGTAATTTAAAATGGTTTCCGCGCCTAAAAAAATGCTTTAAAGGTATTTTCTTGTTTATTAAGATCGTAGGAATGTTTTAAAAACGTTTAAAAGAAAAGTCCAGAAAGATCAGAAATACCGAAACTATAAACACGAAATGACAGGTTAAATAGTAGTTATAATAGTCAATCAGCTGCTCATAGTATTATTATCTTTAAGTGTTGCCAACCTATTTCCAAGCGTACACGGATTACGTGCATAATAGAACCACGCTGTTTTGTGTTGTTTCGTTGGAATCCTGATGTGCGGCAAAGTATAAACCGTACGGCATAGTATAAACCGTACGGCAAAGTATAAATATGCAGCAATTAGCAGCTTTCTGTACTATAAACAGTACAAGGAAGCCAACTTTGCCGGGTGACTGTAGGAAAAATAATGAATGGTACGAATGCGTGTACTGAATAGCAGTTTGCGACTCGTCAAAGATACAGAATACAGATTTCGCGAACAATGGAATCAATGAAGGAGAACAGTACTTGAATGCGATGAGTTTGTTGTGGTCGTTAATTTTTGAATGCGGAATCGCTCACAGTTGTTGTAGAAAAAATACAGGCCACCTATCAATATTTTGGTTCTTTGAAAAAGCAGAGTGGGAACACCGTTCTTTTGCGTCCCCTTGCGTTTCCGCCCCACTACACTTACTGATACTGTACTGCTTGGGTGTAGATGACGTTTTGTCATATTATTGAGTAGTAGAAGAAGATAAGCATTTATCAAAATAGCATAATTCACATGGTAAATTGTCTGTAATTGAAATAGAACTAATCACTAATAATTAAGAATATTACAAGATATACTTCTGCGGAGTCTTCGCACAAATTTTCAATTTTTAAGAGCTAACATAGCGTCGTCCCAAATTTCATAACTGTAGATGTAATGATCAAAATCATGTTAATTTATGCTATGCATAATTATGCATATTTTCTTGCTCACTGTCATATCTCTAGTTTTAAAACGTTATACCATTGACTATTGGATACAGAAAGGTTATACCTTTGACTATTAATACAACACTGAGTAAAATGCTATAAACTACAACGCAAGCCAATTGTAAAAGCACATTACAAGTCTATAACCTGGACGTCAACACGTAATTTTTGTGGAGAATTTTGTAGGAACGATGGACGGTACAACACAAGACAAACTTGCTGAAACGCCGAAAGAAGCATTGCAGACTGGAGACGAGGCGCTAACCATAAACCACAAACGGAAGAGGACCAAACCAACACTAATTAAATACTAGCAGAAGACATCCAGGAAATGTAAGTGACGAGGAAGGAAGACGTTGGGCTGCAGCAGCAGTCAATGCTGCAGCAGCAACTTCTGCAACGCAGCTCTTCACGTGATCAAAACGTGCTCCGCCAGTAAATTCTGCCGTGTCGACCCTGATGACTAAAAATATCCCCTAACTAGTACCAACCACGACCAGTGGGCTATTTATAGCGGGGCTAACGACCAGGTTGTTGACCTCGTCTTTGTCTTCTGATCAGATCGGATTGAACGGGTTCCCCGCGCCGATCGCCGATCAGAGATCGCGGTTCCGTTAGATCGGCGCGACGGCGACGCTGCGACGGACTTTGGGACGAGGTCTGGTCGCGTTTTATGCCCCCAAGAAATACAACACGGGTCGTCGCTGATTTTATAGGCAGTAAACATCGCAATGCTGAACAACCGTTAGAGATCCTCTGCAAGATTTTAATTTTGGGTTTGTGGATTTTATTGGAAGAGATATACATTAACTGTTACATGGCTGTTAGTATGAGAAGTTTGTA